ACTAGGACGAACCGGGGGCGGCGGCACCGGCAGCACCGTGACCACCATCCACTCCGGACGAGCATAGTCATTGCTCAACCCCAAAATGCGCACTTCCTCATAAGAGATGTTCCGGAACACATTGAGCGCAACCTGGGGGGTGATCGTCTTCTTCTCCGGCTGCTGCATATCCATCTCGTCCATCATGCTCTTACTCGGCTTCCACGTGCCGACCAGGGTGATCCCCTCTTTGCGGATCGTAGGTTGGGCGTTCCCGCATCCACCGTGGAACCGCTGCGGCTTCGAGCTTTCTTTCGAGAACGGGTCGTCATCTTCCGGGGGGGGGTCTGCCTCGCAAACCAGGATATCTTTCGACATACGCCAGATGTGGTCGAAGCGTCTCTTCGGATCCCTCATTCGCAAAGCTTCGAGAAATTTGGAATCGGACTGGTATCAAGTCAGCAACACCGCCTGATGAGATTTGCCATCCCGTGAGGGATGACTAACCGAATCAGCTTTAATCTTTCCACAATTGTGGCAGACAGTCTCGAGTAATTTCTTGATTTTTGTCAAGAAACCTAGGTGGCAAGGTTAGCGATTTGCAAGATTCATTAACGCGTCGGTTTTGGTTCGCGCCGCATACCGATGTGAAAGACCGGAGTGGCCAGTTCGATATGTCCAAAATGACCAGGACACTCTTTCTGGCCTTCCTCGCAAGTCTCGCAGTTCCATTGTCGGTCGATCGTTCCCATACGAGGATCATTTAGACCCTTGGTCCGCGGGCGCTGTCTCTGGTCGTCCTATTTTTGTCGCCACGGGTCAGCATTTCATCGCTAGACTCGCCCAAAGAGGTGAATCAAAGAAGATAACAGAAGAGAAAAATAACAAAAAAGGAAAAACACGAAGTAATTATCCATGAAAAACAAAGAAAAAGCAAAAAGGAAGAAATCAAACCCACCATTGTCTCAGGATATTCCACATGGACCACGCTCATCCGCTTGATCTCCTCCGGAGCGAAAAGACCAAACTGGATCTCCTTGACGGTGCGCAAAGGCGCCTTGGAGTAGGGAAAGTAAACATTCGTCATGGTGGGCAGTCGTTGTCGTCACCGAGACGCGGATACTTGGACAAGGGGAACAGGATAAGACGGATCACAAAAAAGCAGACGAAGCACACGGGGGGGTTCTCAACGATCGGGGAGATGCGAATCCACGAGTTGTCGATATTTCTCGCTCTCAAGAGTCAGGGGAATCGACGTTGAAAAGATTTCGAAGCAGCTGGCCGGCTGAGGCCTCTGGCCGCCCTTGCCACGAGGGCGCCTGCGACCTTGTTCTCCGACGTCGCGAAACTCGAAAACGGGGAAAAGGCGTAGAAAAAGGCGTCAGGATAATCCGGGCGATGTCTCCAGCTCGTGAAACGAGATGGGGAACAAGAAGGCGATGGGCCGGGGGGGGATGGGGCGATGGGAGAGGTAGCGGTGTTGAGGCGATGAAAGGGAGATGGCGGACGTCAGGTTTGGGGGACGATGGGGCACGAGTTTTCCGAGCCGCAGGCAGGAAAGGCGGTGACTGAGGAATTCTGCCGTCACCCTCAGTGGTTGGAATCAGGCAGAAAGGCAGATCTGGCCAGTCAGCGGCGGTGGAATCAGGCCGAAGTGGAGCCGGATCACTCACTTTGGGTGCTTCACCGCCCGACGCCACCCTGCCTTTGCCTCAATCACTTGCTGATACAACAAATGGTGGTGATCAACAGTGCTGGAATCCTCATTGTATTGACCATACGTTTTCATCTGACTTCAAGAGTGAAATTCACTGGATGATTGTTTCCAGTGGTCTTTTCTGGCCTCACTTGCGGCCTGAGGCTTTGCTCTTTTCCTCTCACTAAAGCTTTACTTTCTCAGCGCATCACCATCGCCATGAATTTGTCGCTGATCGATCCTTTCGTCCTGGCTCAGGACTACCCTGATACTTTGACGGAGAAACTCAGTATGTTTATATCTTAGGCGATAATGGAGTGGAAAGCGAGAATTGAAGAATATCATCTAATTCGAACAGGAAGCGGACATGCGACATGTCTGCGCTTCAACCGCAGAGGAGACTACCTAGCCTCCGGACGAGTGTGTTTCCCTTCTATTGCTGCATCGCATTGTTGATACGAACCGGTATAGGTAGACGGAACGGTGGTTATTTTTGATATCGAGACAAATGGAGTCGCGCGCAAGCTACGGGGCCACACCAGGCAGATTCAATCGCTGAGGTATGTGCCGTACCGCCAGGCATCATTAGGATCATTGCTAATGAATATGGATACAGTTGGTCGCGCGATGGCCGGTACCTCCTCAGCTCGTCGCAAGACTGGAAGTGTATTCTTTGGGACTTGAAGGACGGGTCGCGCGTGCGCACCGTGCGATTCGAAGCCCCAGTATACATCGCTGAGCTACACCCTTACAATCAGTACGTACCTCCTCCCTCCAACAAAACCCACCCCCCCATCACATGTACTAATCCTCGTTATAACAGCCTCCTCTTCGTCGCCTCCCTCTTTGAAGACCAGCCCGTCCTAGTCGACATCTCATCCCCCAAACCCATCAAACGCATCCTCCCCTCGGCGCCATTCCGTCCCCCACCACCACCAGACGAAGAAGTCGACCCCGCCGTCCTTGCAAAACAAGCCGCCCAAGACGCGAAACACTCAACCTGCGTAACGATCTTCACAGCACTAGGCAACCACATCATCGCCGGAACATCCAAAGGCTGGCTCAACATCATCGAAACACAAACCTGCACAACCATCTACTCCATGCGTCTTTGCAACGGCGTCGTCATCCTCCTCCGCCTCTCCAGCAACGGCCGCGACCTCCTCTCCAACAGCTCCGACCGCGTCATCCGCACAATCGTCATGCCCGACCTCTCCCGCCTCGGCGTCGACCTCGAACCCTCCTCCATCAAACTCCAAGTCGAACACAAGTTCCAAGACGTCGTCAACCGCCTCAGCTGGAACCACGTGACCTTCTCCTCCACCAGCGAATTCGTCACAGCCTCCACCTTCATGAACCCAGACATCTACGTCTGGGAGCGCAGCCACGGCTCCCTCGTCAAGATCCTCGAAGGGCCCCGCGAGGAACTCGGCGTCGTCGAATGGCACCCCTCCCGCCCCATGGTCGTCGCCTGCGGCCTCGAGTCCGGCTGCCTCTACACGTGGTCGATCGTGTCCCCGCAGAAGTGGTCCGCGCTGGCGCCCGACTTCGGCGAAGTCGAAGAAAACGTCGTCTACATGGAGCGCGAGGACGAATTCGACGTCCACCCTGCAGAAGAAATCCACCAGCGCCGCCTCGACCAGGAAGACGAAGTCCCTGACGTGCTGACCATCGAGCCCTCCCTCCACTCCACCTATGCCCTTCCCGTCTCGGATCCAGCAGGTCTTCCCGATGCCGACGACCTCGGCTCGTTCCGCATGCCCGTCCTACTCGACATCTCCGACTCCGAAAGCGAAGAAGACATCGTCGCCGTCGGGCCGGGGACCATGCGTCGACGGAGTCCCGGAGCGGGTCGCGAGACGAGTGGTGAGGGCGAGAAGGAGAAGGCCGGGGCCGGCCGAGGAGGTGCTCAACGCGGTCGGCGGCGGAATGCATAGTCCTCTTTTCCTTTGACTTGTCTCTCCGTACCTATCTATCCTTTCTATCCTATATACCTATTGACGAAGCATGCGTCGGGTTCTGCGCAAGGTTTGTTTCGTTTGGTCGGTTGATTTAACTGGTCGTTGGCGTTGGTATTGGCGTTGGGCGTTGGGCGAGGCGGCATCATCGCATGATCTTTTTTCTATAGTTATTTAATTAGTCGTTCAAATAATACTGTACTATTACACAAATAGTTCACACGAAACTAGCAAGGAAAATAATAATTAATATAGTGTTGTAAAAATTGTGGCCTGAGGCAATTTATAGAGATATATATATCTCCCCTCCGGGAGGACGTATCAAAAGAAAGTGGGCAATACCATTTGGCGGATTCTGAACTTTGTTTGATTGCCTTTTCTTCTATTTGGTGTTTTGATGCTTTTCTGATTTCTTGAATGTATTGTTCACATTTTGTGTTCTTTTTCTTTGTTCTTTCTTTGCGAGCATTATTGTATAAGACTGGGCTATATACAGCGGTGTGGTAGCAGCAGCAGTGATAGTAAGAGTAGGGGAAGGCGAAGATCATTTGTCTTAACCACCTGGATGGTATATATTGTTTCATTTGAGATATATATTCAGACGACTCGTTGGATATTGACTGAGTCTATCAATACTCTCTACACAGGTCTCGAACAGAACCGACACCTAGGTATGTCGGTAGGTCTTCGGGAACATCGAACTATGTATGGTGGGGTTCTCTCAATCTGACAGAATACACTATCGGTGTCCTGACCCGCGATAGTATCTTGTAACTTCTTTTCCCAGTTCTCTTTTCCTTTCTTTCATTTGTTGTGTTGTATACCTCTTGCGTGGTGTTGTACGGACCTACCCGAGTCACGTGGTAGCCGTATTATGCCCCCACCAAGAGAATGCCCTGGTGGAACCTGGCGCTTCCAGCCCGTGACCTACTCCCGTATGGCTGTGTATATGCCCGGTGTTCTCACGTAGAGCGCTTCCACGATGGGAAGTTGCAGGGTGAAATCACTACATGGCCCTGATCTGGCGCAGCGCATGACGGAATGGTGCGTAGCAGGACTAACCTGCCGTCACCATTGTCTCTTCTCGATAGGGCGGATAGGTAGTCTCTGTTGGGCGCGCGATTGGACGGCGATGTGTGACGAGTTCTGTTAGTCCGTGCATGGGCGATGACTGACGGGAGAGAAGTTCACGAGATGACGAAGATCGAGGGAGTACCTCGGTCACCACCTGAACAGCCGTCTCCCTATTGGGGAGGAGACCGGGAGGCGAACGGTCAAAGGGACAATAGTCTTCCGAAGCCGTTATTTTGGCCCAGGACTGACGACCGTGACGACAATCGCAGGTGCCTGGAACGTTCCCGGACAGATCAATTGACGGCCTTGGGCTTCCGGGCCTGGTAGATATGAAGGATATTGTATGCGTGGATCTCCTTGTTGAAGGCCTCTGATTTGACCTCGGCGGCGAGGCGACGGATGCGTTTGACGTCCCAGCCGAAAGTGCGGTGGAAGGGCGCCAGGCTGAGGGACTCAATGCTCTCGGAAATGGCCAGGTTGTACCAGCGGGCGACTTTCTCCTCGTGTGCGTCTTGGAGCCAGGGGTTCAAGGGCAGACCGACCATCTGGTGGTCGATGTCGACGAACCCCGCGTCTTGCAGGTCGCGCATGGTTTGGCGAGAGCTGTGGGCGATAGGGCGCATGCGGGCCTCGGTTGCCTCCTTCAGGTTGTCGTACCAGTGTCGCAGCGCCAGTCCGTCCAGCGAGCGGTCGTCGCAGCGCGGCTCGAAGTCGATCTCGACCTGCTCGAACCAGGCCCCCGGGCGCAGATGGGCGAAGATTTTCTGATACAGGTTCGGCCATCCCAGGACGCTGCCGCAGCCCATCTGCAGATGGATCAGGTCCCAGGAATCTTCGCCCATGGCCCAGGGGGCTTCAAAGTCGAAGGGGGCGTAGAATTCGCAATTGTTGGGGCGGTTGGGCGGCTGGATGGGGGCGAGGTCGACCCCCGCCACGAAGGCGTCGGGGTATTTTTGGGCAACCTCGATGGACCAGATGCCGGTCCCGCAGCCCAGGTCGAGAAAGCGGCCATTGTCCGGGTGCGGCGCATAGATCAAGGCGTTGGAGACCCGGGCGACGGTGAAAAGTTTGTGGAAGATATCTAGACGGTCCTGCTCCTGTTCATCGCAGGGCAGAAAATACACTCCGCGGCGATAACCATGGTACGTGCGCCCATTCTCTTCATCGAAGGCGTGTCTAGAATTCCTGTAGTAGCGCGACAGGCGAAGCATGGCGCACACATTAGTCGTCCAGTGACACGAGTGGAAGAGGAGTTTGCGCTGATCAGGGATTCATTTGGGGGGGGGTAAAGAAATGGCGGGAGCCTGCACATGAACCCGTGGGGGGAAGAGCATGGGGGACACAACGACAGACAGAAAAAAAGAAAGCGGAGAGAAATACTTGCTAGCAGTGTCCTGTAGACCAGGAGACCCATTGGGGTTCCAATTGTAAGGGGGATTTCCAGATTCTCTGTCGGTGATGGTGTAGACATCCATGGCATCCGAGTTGTTTCTCGAACGACTCATGTCACTGGAACCCGCGGAGGAAGTGGTGAACGAGGGATGGACCGGCGACGCCATGGTGGAAAAATGGATGACCAGCCTGGCCCAAAATCTCAGTGGTGGTGATGATCAATAGGGCTGGGAGTAGTGGATTTTGGGGGGGGGAGGAGGGTGGTTTTAGGTGGGATATAGATCGAGAGATGGTGGACTACTACTGCCCATCGAGCGGAACGGGAGGAACGGGAGAGAGGTTTGGGTCCGGTTGATATAGAGGGGTCGAGATAGGAAGCAAAAGGGGAACGTGATGGCTGGTCCACCGCATGCAGAACCCAAGTGACGAGACAGAAAAGAAACGAGAAAGGAAAAAGTCAAAATGGTTCAATGTGGAAAGCGACGAGAAGGAGGGGATATGGGGCTCAAGAAGGAAAACGAGAGGGAAAAAAGAATACAAAATAAAATAAAAAAATAAAGTAGAACTAAAAAACCCCAAGAAAAGGATGAAAAATTAGACCCAAATGGAAACGAAAAAAAGGAAAAGAAAAAGACGAGAAAAATACAAGATACATACAGAATGCCAAAGGAATTACCAGTGAAACAGGAGGATCAACGTCAGGTCGAGCTGGCAGGTCAGCACAGACGATCCGACGAGTGGAACGGGAAAAGGGTCAGTCGGAAAAGCATCGGAGAGCGTCCACTGGGGGGAGATTAGGATATGGAAGAGTAGATCAAGAGAGAACCGAGATAGGCAAGCTGTGGAAGAGCAATGCTAAAGAAGAGAAGGAGAAGAAGAATGAAGAATGCAAAATGCAGCCTCCCCGCGATACTGACAGACCCGAAAATAGCGGTCACGGAGGGGCGATCCAGCAGGCAGGACAATGGACAGAACAGATCATTAGGATATAGGAAGAATTCTTGGAGAGATGGAAATCACGATGATAATCAATTCAGAAAATTGATAAAATATAATAAAAATAAAATAAGCAAAGAATAAGAAATCAAAAAATGAAAACAAATAATCAAAATAGTGGAGTCAGCAGTTGACAAGACGGCCTTGACCAGTCGTCAACCATGGATCGATGGTCGATCAGACACACCATTCTTGGGGGAAAGAAAACCTAATAGGTGAAGTTGATCTTAGAAGCATTGGGACTCATGATGTGATCAGAAAACTTTCTTTCCCTTTGATTTCGTCAATCTGCGACTACGAATCTGGAGCACTCCCTGGTGGGGTATATCTGAACCTGGCTATATCATCATATTGACCGCCATCATGATGATCATGGTATAGTCCATGAACACGACAAGTACGGGAAAACACTTAGCTGATGTTCTTCCCTTCTTTCCACTTTTGGTGATTATTGTTGTTATCATACTCATATTATTTGTTTTGAATGATATGGTGATTATAGTGAGTGAGACCCGACAGGGGGATGGATATCGCCTATCCCGTCGGATCATGGCTGGCTGTGCTGTCCATGTACACACTCAGACTTGCAAACAGGACCGATCGATTGATCAAGCCCGTCAAACCCAATCAAAACGAACTAGTTGACTCAGTTCATGTCTACTGGGATTCGTCCATTCTAGCCCAACCGCCCTCTAGACCCTCAGCTCTGGGCATGTCGAACCCGAGAACGTGGACATCACGCTCGCTATCTTTACCTACTCCGTACTTTATCACCCATCTGCATGGTTCCTGGAGATATAGTACGAGAGAGATGTAGGTACGGCTCGGTCTGCAGGACAGCCCGCAGTTGATAGGAACACGTATCATCCGTCCTTCTGATCTCCCCCTCCTTTTTTTTTTTTTTTTTCTCGAACACCAATCGAGATGGTAGAGTTGTAGGCGGGTGGCGTATCCAAATTGTCGGGCTCCTCGCCTCATCCTGCCATGCTACAGTTGGGAACAGAGCTAGGCTAGTCCGCAATAACCTTTTGCAGGAGGAGACCGAGGAGGTTCTAAAGTTTAGGGTTCGTTGATTTTGAATATATCATCTATTATTTTGTCTCGTATTTTAGTTTAGTTTATTACATTGAATTATTATATTATTATTTGATCTTTTTATCTATTTGTTATCTACTTTATATCTGAATTCTATGATTCTATACTTTTATGCTACTGATTTTTTCTCTTGGCAGAGTGGATTCTCCCACTCAGGCTAATCGAGATAGTCCGAACGGAGGGAGAATAAAAAATTGCAATCAATAAGACAATAATACAAAACAAAATGAAAGAAATAGAGTTGAACAGGTGAGTTGTCAGGGAAGACCAAGGCGTTGCGCTGCAAACCCCTTTTCATCCCCTACCTAGTCCCATGCAGACCCCGTCATAATGTATCGGCTGCTGCGGCATGGACCCAGCACGATCACGACGAGTTGGAGTATGTAGGAGGGATTCGGACTAGGGGTGAAGTTAAACTGGGATGATATAGGGTATAGAAAGGGCAAATAATGAGAGAATTTCCCCCATCAAGGCTAGAACAAGATATTGAAAAGGAACTAGGCAAAATAAAACAATAATAATAATCCATATAGTGCGAACCAACGACCCAAACAAAGGGAGTCTCGGGCGGGACGCGGTCCGCCTCCCACTTAAATCCATCGATGATACGATCTTTCATCCTCCGTACGGAGAGTTGGGACTCCTATCCATGATGTATCGGGCTTGGATTTTATATATATACATATATAATTTACATGAATCTATATATCTACCTATATATCTACCTATATATCTGATTATCTCTATTCGTATAACAATATCCCTAGTCTTGTCCCCGTAGCGCCCGAAGCAAACCCCGCCGCCCTTTCTTCCCCTTAATCAGCGATTCCAGCATTGCGTGCAGCCGCTCCGAGAGTGGATCCCCGCGGTTCGTGGAATTAAATCCTCAGGCTTGGAATTCATTCCATTTGACTGGAGTATCATCCTATCATCCCATGTTCCATGTCATCTTAGTAATCTGTGCACTACTTGGTCCACCAGGTTTCCTTTCCATCAACCAGGATACCATTCGACGATCGAACGAACCCCTTTCCGGGATGTGCCCGTCCTGTCTCCATCATCTACTCTCCAATCCACTCTCCTTTCACTGTCAATCCACGGTCAATCCCCACCTCGGGAATACTTTACTCCATATAGTATGATCACGTCCGATGGATCCCACCGGCCTTGATGGTTTCCCAATTCGTACATGTGCAGCAATCCACATCGTCACCAAACTGTGACAGCGTCCAATACACCAACCCCAGGGGATTCCCTTTTCAGGAGGCGAGGTCACCCGACCTGGTTACCTTACAAGTCGTCTCACCATGGGAGAGGACTGTCGGATGGATGCCCTTGTTGATCATTGCACCCCTTCCTCCCAGGGACCCAGAGTCTCGGGTCCGAGGTGAGGTTAGGCAGCCTGGTGCATGACCGGTATGTAGAACGATGTATGTACTAAAATCCTGATGCACGTCTTGTACGTTAGTGCAGAATCACCGCTGGTCTGATGCATATGCTGCCCAATTGGTTGGCTCCGGTTGTTTCCTCTTCTGCCCATATCGTCGTTGACGTGTACAGGAGATCGCCTTTTCAATTCACTATTGATATTTATTTATTTATTTATTTAATTCTCTTTTAGTTGACTTGGTTTGATTTTAGCCCCACTGACAGCACATGGAATGAATTAGGCACCGAACCGCCTCCAGCCACATACGGACTACTTACCGAGTACAGTGTATTGTGGCCGACGTCTAAGGTCTTGCTCATAGACCTCATCCACAATGGGACCCAACCCCAATTTTACGCGACGGGAAACCCGTTTCCCGCGGTGAGTGTCAGTTAGCCCACTGCCGAATCCACCGTCTTTGACCGTATCTGGTGGGTGGTCCATCGGATATATCTACCGTACGCTCTGGTCCATTCCATTCGTCCTCATTTGCTTGACCCAATTTCTCATCCCTTCCTTCTCCTTGGTGTGCAAAGAAGGTCGGTGGTAACCGCATTGAAACGCCCCACCTGTCCTGCGTGGAAATGCTTCAATTTGGGTATCGTACCGTGTTGGTGCCTCAGCTATATGACTTGGGTGACCCCGCGCAGCCTCTCCTCGTTCGCCTGGCGAGTCGCCCATCGGCCCCATGGTCTATCTCGGCTCCAGCCTGGAACACACCGTGTCTCTGATGGGGCTGAATCCTCGCCTCTCACGTCCCAGAGGTTCTCTGGGTGTTGGTCGCGTCCAGGGCCCAGAGACCCCGTCCAATCAGCGAGACAACCCCAGTAGCCAGCGCGCCACGGCAAGTCACCGAGACAGCGCAAAAAAAATGACGTCCTAGATCCCACCCGGAACAAATTTTTATTTTACCCTTTTACCTTGCTTTCATAGAAAAAAAAAGAGTTACCACTCCTTGGGTAGCGCGATGAGCGTCCGCCATCGATTTATACTATTGCCCTCTTCGTGCCTTGTTTTCATTTAGACCGACGCAGCTACAATCCTTCCAGAGGACGAACGGAGATGCTACTGCTCTAGTTGCATTGGTAGGGACCAATCCCCGTGGTCGCCTAAAATTGAATTTGACCGCTGCTGCCCATTGGCGGGCCCTGGATGGAGGCATGTCACCACCGTGTTGCCAGACTAACGCTGACTGGACTTCTCGCCAGTCGCCCACCGCATCGGACAGGTGACTCAGTCGCGACTAGCTGCAACGGAGACGCGCCTGACTGGGTCTGGATGGATGTCGCGAGAAAACATCCCTACCCCTCCCTCGAAAATTTTCTTTCCCTTTCCCTTTTTTTATCTCCTCCCTCCGGCGGTAGTGCGAGACGATGGTCCCTCCCGTTAGGTGCATTTAGGCCATGGAGCGACGGCCAGCGAGGCAAGCCAGTTCGTCCATGCGTGATCACGGGGGACTCCGATGCTCCACGCAGCGATAGCGCTGCAAATAAACGTCTCTGTGGACCCCACTGACCCTCCGATACCTCTCCTTGTCTCCAACTCTTACCGGCAATCGGACGCAGCCAGACGGACCCCAACCGTAGTTTTAGTGTCCAGAGCTCCTGTCGCTCTTCGCAGCCTGTGGCCGGGGCGAAGAGCCGGCGAGCGTCTAATGTCAGCCACTCACCAGCGTCTTCCTTGACCCTCCTCCCCCTTCCCGGACCGGTCACTAGCATTATTGGCCCATCGGCCCCGTTGCATGCAGCAGACCTCTGGTCCATCTCGGTCAATGGAAGGCCACAGGGCCACTCCCAGCACGCGTGTGATTCGAGTCGCGTTCGGTGGCTTGCTCAATTTCAATTTTATTTTACTTTATTCTATTCTTTTGTCTACTCGGCCCCGCATGCTGCGCATCGCGAACCAGAAAGTAAGGAGAGCAATCACAGCCCATCGTCGCCCCCGGTGGGGTTTGTCGCAGAAGTGGCTTGGAGATGGATCCCCTTCGTTTCCCCTCTGTACGCACCCGACCATCCAGTCGACGTAGGACTGCCGAAGTAGCTTAGCCGTGTGATTCCCCAAACGGCTTGAGCCGCCCTCTTGCTTGGGACTGAATAGACGCACGGGAAGGGAAAGGGTCCTGTTGTCCACCTGCGTTTGTATAGGTCGGGCCCAGACAGGCCGATGCGCTTGTCATGTGAGAGCGAAACCGATGGACTGTGACTTGGCGGATCCAGGCTTGAGACTCGATTGCCGTTATTGCATCGCCCGCTTGCTGATAGGGTTCGTTACCCCATCGGGCGAGATGGCACAAACACATGGCTTTCCAGATGGAATCGACTGATCGAGTGCCACTATCCAATTGAGTTCACCACCCGATAGATGAATCGGTATGAATGCATACGCTGATAGTCCTGGTCGGGGCGTGTCCAGCCAAGAACCGAATCGGAAGTTGTCCGTCGGTGCCTCATTGTTCAGGCAGAAAGACCAAAACAAAACCGAAAAAAAAAAAAAAAAAAAAAAAAAGGCAGGGGAATTTCTTGGCTTCCGCTCGTTCGGCTCATCGCGGGGATCTCAGACTGAAAAAAAAAAAGCAACGCCAAACTCAAATCAGCATTGCCTTTGCCTGTCCAATACTGCCCTACTGATACTATCTCCCCCTCACCCTACCAGTCAGTGGTTTCGATTGACCATCCCTATCACAAGCAGCCACGTCGTGGAAAGGCATCGCGGAAGGCGGATAAGAGGAGTATTTGATATCGATCTCCGTCCGCCACCAGACCCAAAAGAGCAACCCCTCGATCGCCTGACCCATTGACTTTGTAACTTATCTACTTTATTATTACTTTATTCTTTAGTTTATTTTGTTCCGTGCTGGGGGTGGACCAGCCTGAACATACCAATCTCATCCCAGACTCTGCTAGTCTGATTCGGGGAATCAACCCAGGTGCACAAATCCGGGGATTGCAGTGCAGCTGATCACAGTCCAGCGATGCATACTCTCCAAGCCACCGCCTCGTCGTCGCTTTCCCTGCCAGAGGGTAATTACATTTACTCCCTGGCTGCGGTATCGCCGACCTCGTTGGCTGCCATCTCCTCGGATGATTCTCTGCGTGTCTTTGATGCGGCCAATCTCGGTCATGTCTCTGTGGTCGCCCCAGACACCCATGAAGGTGTGACTGCATTGAAGACGTACGATGCGGGCCAGCAGGTCATGGCCACCGCGGGGAGAGACGGCAAAGTTAAGCTCTGGGATTTGCGGAACGGGGGTAGATTGGCGGTGGGAATGGAGACCTGTATGTTCTTCGATTGCATTCCTTTCCTTCTTTCATCCCTCTTATTTGATTGTCCTTTTGAATTTTATTTTACGTATTGTACCACCAAGTGGTCGGCTGATGAATCGGTTTTAACTTTCAACAGCAAACGGGGCCCCCGCCCTCTCCATCGCATGCAGTCCAGAAACCAATAGCCTTGTCGCAGGGACCGAGCTGGATTCGTCGCAGGCCATCGTTTCATTCTGGTAGGCCGTCCACCAATTACTACCGTGCTATCAGAATGTGTTTCCTGAGCTGCTAACTGACGCAACAGGGATGTCAGATTCGCGTCGGCGCCCTCGCTCCAGTACGTCGAGAGCCACAACGATGACGTGACAGAGGTGTGTCCCACATGTATTTGGGAGGCAAAAATGAATGACATGTTTCTAACACAAACAGCTTCAATACCACCCAACACGGAAGAACCTCGTGCTCTCAGGAAGCACAGATGGCCTTGTTAACATCTACAACACAAACATTACAGACGAGGACGACGCCCTCGTGCAAGTCATCAACCATGGATCTGTACACCATGCGGGCTTCCTAACCGAGCGCGCTATCTACGCCCTCAGCCACGACGAGGTCTTCTCTATCCATCCGGCGACGGATCCAGATGATGAGCAGACGCAAGAGCCTGAGCCTGTGCAATTCGGTGACCTGCGTCAGCCCTTGGGCTGTGAGTATATTGCGCAGCTGTGTGGGGGGAATCAGGGAGCTTATATTGCTGCTGGAAGTACCTCGTATGTATCTCTTTTTCCTTCTTTTTTCCTGCGACTTTATGTTTCTATGCTTTACTATGTCCGATCTTATTCAGAACTATAATACTGATTCCCGCAGAAACCACCAACTCGACCTGGTACCCCTTGTATCAGACCCATCCTGGCGGTTCGACCAGGACAACCTATGGCGTCTCCCCGGCGGACACGGAGAGGAGATTGTCCGCTCTGTTTACGTCGACGAACAGGTATGCATGCTCTCTTTAACATTTATCCTTCAGTAGACCGCAAGCTAACCAGACAGACCCAATCTATCTTCACCTGCGGCGAAGACGGGTTCGTCCGCGTGTGGAAGCAAGGTGAAGGCGCGGAGCCGGGCCCGGGCTCCGGGCAGGAGAAGAAGCCGAAGGAGAAGAAGGGGAAGGAGAAGGGGAGGTTTAGACCTTATTAGTATGAGAATGAATGTGAAGTGGGAGAAGGATGGGATGTGGTGGGAGGAGGGTGGACATGTGTAATATTCAACGCGGTGGTTCAAAATTTGTAAGCTTTACTGGATTATTATAGAGTATCAACTACATGCTGCATGAGCGCGTACCTCCCTTATGTATTGGTAAAACCCCCCTATATCAAGTCAATCCGCTTAGAAGGTGTTAAACCATACCGATAGCACAGTCTATCATCTACCAAGTGATTCAAGCCTTATGCTATCTTGGAGGTCACTGAACGACTAACCCTAATCTCACCTCGGCTATGACAGCTCTCCATACAGCCCATCTGAATGATTCTCACTTCGTGCAAGCTAGATCTACTCAATCTCGACTTGTCTGATACTATCTACTAAATATTCCCCCTTTATGATGATCAGTGGGAGATATCATTAGCCAAGGGCAGTGGTCCGTCACCTGACGAGAACGGTGTAGGTATCTGTTGTATTCTAAGTTGTTGTGTTGTGTTTCTTAACACCATCCAACAGCTCTCACCTTTGAATATCATCAGTTTCATCGAGGATCTTGGGATTTCATCAAAGATTTATTAGGTGGAATCTAGGTATGTTCAAACGGAAAATGACCGTCCAATATATGATATGCCAAATCTAATATACAGTCTATCACTACACACAGAGCTCCTCGCCACCAGACCAGGCCTATTCCCCTAGCCACCATGGTCACGATACTTTAGTTCAAACAACACATCACGTGTCTAATCACCGCGGAAGTGACGGTTCAAACCGCAAAAAACTATACCCATTCAGCGTCTCAGCCCACCGCAACCGAAACCCATACCACAAACCAAGCAGAACACATCCCGTCGCCCAAACGCCAAACAAAACAGCCGGAGCATGCGGCGGCAAATCACCAGGCCCAAGGACCTTCCCCGGCCGCGACGCAGTCAGGTTCTCGCCCAAGCGCGTATTATTAAACGTGTATATCCCATCGTACATAACCTGCAGCGCGTCCACCGCGTAAGCCCGCATCGCGGAGCTCAGCAGCTGCTCGGACTGGAAATACTGGTCGTAGAAACTGGCGTTCCTGAGCACTTTCTGCGGGTACGAGTTGACGGACTGCAGCAGGTTGTGGAAGACGTTGGGGTGGTCGTTCATTGGACGGAGGAAGTCGACAGGCCCGTATCCGAAGGGCTCGGTGCGGAGGCGCACGTTGCCTTCGCTGTAGTCTCCGGGGACCGGTGGGATGCGGGTGAAGTTGTGGAAGGACGAGTCGCTGGGGTCGACTCGTGCGCTGCCTAGTGTGGATGCGGATTGGCATCGTACGCCGATGGGTGAGGCGACTTCGATGATTTTGGATAGGTCGAGATGGCGGTTGAGGGGGCTGGTCCTCTCCTTGGGCTCGATGGCAAGGAATGATTCGTTTGCGTGGTGGTTCTCGGTGATTGGACTGCCTAGCCCGGCCACGGGGTGAGCGATTTCGCGGTTGAATATTTTGAGAGGAACTGATCGCATCGAGGGCTCCTGGACTAGCATCTGCCAGACGACGATCTCGAGGATCTCGGGGTCGGAGATCGTGCCGTCCCCTGCGAACCGTTCCACGTCCAAGTAATTGTCTCTGGTTGTGTTACCGCCGTTGCCGAATTCAACGTACGCGAGAAGGTTCTTCATGGTGGTGTTGTACACGTCGATCCATTCTGTCTTGCCCGGAACCAAACCGGACTCTAACCTGGTAGAGGCGGCATCACTGTTGACAGCATGAAATTGACCCTTCCGCGGCAGAATAGTCAACTCTGACGCATTGTGCACGATCGAGCAGTTGTACGACAGTCGAAGCCCCCAGATAATTCCACTAACCGGGGACTCAGCCTGGGGAGTAAGAAACAGATCCGGAACTTCCTGCTCGACGGACATGGAGTTGGGATATTCCTCCAGATATCCATATTCACTGCGATCCACCCCCGGCGCAGTGTAGGCAATTCCGACACCAGGGAGATTGACGCCCGCGCCAGACTGCCATACAACGAAGCCCCGGTCCGTGGGCTGATGCTCCGTCCGATTGTTGTAACTCTCCGGAAAGTATCCCATCATGAGAGGGTGTGCTGATAGCTGGACATACCCGTCAAACAGCTCCATGCTGAGCCCAGATAACGGCAGTGCGATCGTGACTGCGAGAGTGATCAGGCTCAGCAGCCACCATAACCGCTGCGCGGGGATCTTCCGTCGCCGAATTAGAATGTTTAAGCATCGAATCCACCCGCCGAACCCCGACCACGAGTGCTCGCTGTGCATCATCAGCGACGTGGTGTTGTCCGCGTGCCAGAAGCGGTCGTGCAGCATGGCTGCCTCCACCCCGGCCAGTCCATACTTGGACAGTCCCAGCCCGAAGACGCCCAGAATCCACCACGAGTAGAAGACTAGCTCCCCGTTCCGGTGTCCGTACTTGCTCATGTCGGGGTCCGGAACCATGTACACCCAATTGATGAGGATGAAGTATGCGGTGAGGAGCGGAGGCACCGTGACGAGGACGACCGCGCGGGTTGTATACCGTCGGAGAGGGTATGCCTGTTCGCACGCTTCTTGCGACTTGTTCGATGCTTGGCTGGAATCACTGCCATTGTAGCTGCGATGATGGTTGGACTGGCGGGCTGACGTCGCTGGGTGCTCGGCGAGCTCGTATCGCCCTGGAATCGACGGGTACAGTGACGAGATGCCGTCAGGGGATGCTCGCCGGTCGATCGATGACTCCATAGATGATTTCGACCATTGGGTCTAATAGTGGTCACGCGTGGGCTTCTGGCGGGCTTCCGAACGGACAGGGGGAAAGATAGCATTTCGCTAGTGGACCAGAGTCAGACTCGGGGTAAGTCCTACTATGTATGTTTGAACAGAACGCCAGACAACAAGGCTGACGCTGATCTCCCCTTATTGACCCAGTTCGTATTATACATCTTACTTGTCCTATTTTCCGCCCGAGACGATCTCGTGGCGAGGCTGGGGTAGGCACGCGACACTTCCTTCTCTGGATGTCGATCTCACCACGGGCGGTGCCTGGATGTGCCCGATATAGAACGATCGGCGGTCTTCTCACACTGTCTCTTTGGTTGCATAGATGTTTCAATGTTTTCCACTCTAGTCGGTGATAACTCTCTGACGATCTGAACACAAGTTCGCAAGGCATGCAGCCCGTTCGCCGAAGAATGGTACTTCAGGTTCACGCTGTACTCTCCGTGTAGCTCCAGACATAGCTCAGTCATGATATGGGGAGCCCCACAAGCCTGAGGATCATCGTGGCCGGTTTCCATCTGTGGTAGTAATCGAGTTAGCGGAAGGCTGTGCTGTTTCTAACACCCTTAAACAGTTTAGTCAGGCTTATGGTATACTTCTTCGATGGGACTTGATTCGGACATGTTATGTGACTCACATGAAACGTAGCGAGATTGATCAGCAGAAAGATTTGAGCATTCTGCTGAGCTATTTCCGTTGGTTTTCCCATCTGATGCAGATCTTGATATTCGGACACTACAAGAACTGCAGGGAGTATAGCAACGCTATTATCTACTACATATATCATGCGCCTTAACATTATTGGTGCATGTCCAAACCTATCTAGCTATAGTCGCAAATTACATTAAGAGTATCTTACACTGGACTATTGTATTGTTGATCTGTGATATTGGCCTGTCAATGAATAGCCTAGACTCTTAGAGCGTATAGTTGGCAGCTTACTATGGGTCAAGATGTCCCACTAACGGTTGATTGCTTGTCTTGAGCTTTAGATTTTTATTATCTAGTATGATGACGTACTTTGGAGAGTGTTTGAAATATATGATCTTCTTAATTAGGAAGTTGAAGAGAACTCGATTTGGATTGGGGACTTTCATATAGAGGTGGTAGACCAATATATACTTCCATGCCTTATCGGTTTGTCGAAGTACTGTCAGTAGTCACGAAAATGGAGTACAACAAACCTCCAATAATTGAATGTATCTAAAAAAGTATATTAAACCTGCCGACATTCAATAAATTGATCTCAATATAAAGTTCACCATCAATATCCGAATATAAATGTCCAAAGTACTAATGTACTCCAACAGTGCCAGTCCCAAGGCGGTGGCAGAACCCGACCCACCCGTATCAGACCAAGCAATCTAATCGCGCCGATAACAATTTGATTTTTTTTTTTATCTCAGGAACATCCGCGGTTTAACTGCGATCTCACTGTCTTTGCTGTCTTGACTTTCCTCCTTTTAATACCCCATCGCATTACACCAATTGGATTATGGTCTTGATCAATCTACCATAAATCAGATACGACATTTTCTATCTCTCGCCCTCATTTACCTCACGCCCTACCTCCCACCACACCATCCAATCCAACAGGAACAACATACAAACCACACCCACCCACCAACCACACCCAAAAATCGAAAGAAAGGACAGAATGAACGCAGAAGCCTACCTTCGCAACCACGGCTGGTCCGGCCCCGGCACCCCCCTCAACCCCAACCGCCGCCCCGGCGGCCCCAACGGCGGCCTCGGCCTCACGAAACCCATCCTCGTCGCCCGCCGCACCGGCAACCAGGGCGTCGGCAAGAAGACCACCAAGGATCATACCAATCAGTGGTGGCTGCGCGGGTTTGAAGATGCGCTCAAGGGCGTGGGTGGTCCGGCGAACTTGACGGGTTCCAGTGTGCGTCCGGGGAATGCGCTTACGAGTGAGCTTTATCGGTTTTTTGTGAGGGGGGAGACTGTTGCAGGGACACTTGGGGATAAGTTGGCGGAGGCGAAGGTGGATGAGGGGAAAGAGAATGGGAAGGGGAAGAAGGAGGGTGAGTCGAAGGAGGAGAGGAGACTGCGGAGGACGGAGAGGAAGGCGAGAAAGGAGGAGAGGAAGACGAGGAGGGAGGCCAGACGGGCGCGGAGAGACGAGAGACGCGCGAAGAAGGTTGAAAAGCGCGCATTGAAAGAGGCGAAACGGTCGAGAAAAGAACAGCCGCATAATCCCCAAGATGACTATCCCACGCCGCCGGCGACCGAACAAGAGCTGGTCGAGCCGAAGCTGAAGAAAGAGTCTAAGACGGACGGCCGCTCGAAGAAGTCTTCGCGGAAGGAGAAGAAACCCGAGTGATCCTGACCTGACTGTTTGTGCCTTTTTTGCATACGAGCGTGTTCGCATCTGAGATATAGATGATAGATAGATAGATACCCATCGTTGGTCGCGCTTCTAATGGCCATACTTCGTAACATCGATTCGCGTTTATAAGATAGTAGGTATAGAATAAAGTAACTAGATCATGCCCCCGACTCAACCGGCAGCTTTCCCGGTTTCCCAGACAGAATCCACGGCCGTTTCTCCCAGAACTCATCCTTGATGATATCGACATGATCGACCACCACCTGCGCCTTGCGCCGCAGTTTCTGCAGCTTGTCTTGTTGGGAGCGCGATGTTTGCGCTGGTTTCTCACCTTCAGTCGATTGCTCTGGCGTGGGCTTCGTTGCTTCTAGCTGATACTGTGTGGTGGGTTAGCACACGCTATGCACGGATCAAGATGACCATACCTGGCGGTAGACGACGCTGCCTTTTTTAAAAATTGGGTCTTCGTTGTTGTAGTTGATCCCGAACCGTTTGAATAGGATCTCGTTCTTGTCGGCGGACACCGTGCCCTGGGATTGTGAGCGGATTTCGCAAATGGATAGGATGGTGCATACCTGGAGCTCTTGCTCTGCGTCAGTGTTGCTCATGCCACCTTGTTGGACCATGGCCCAGAAGGTGGTGTTGTAGAGGTTGTTGATATGGCCTGGGGAGTTAGCCAACGTACAGAGGGGTAAAAAGAAAAAAAAAAAAAAAAAAAAAAAAAGAAAGAAGAACATACAGTCAACCTGCCTCCAACTCATATAATCCCGCATGTTCTGCACAGCCGGATACATGACCGCCCGGCCATCAAACGAAGGCAGATATGGCGATTGGAGGGGTTCATCGGGGAAATAGGTGCCCCACTGGTGGATGTAATGCGCCGTAAAGGTCGACACGATGGTAGTCACCAGTTTTCTACATAGTCAGCTATTGTCTCTCTTTCTCTCCCTATAAATAAGGATAAAAGTAACTCACGCATTTCGACGCTCAAAAAGCTGACAGCTCGGGTGGAAGACAAAACTGTACTCGTCGCTCACACCGTACGCGATGCACAGATCAGGCAGATCTTTCAGGACGGCGACGGCGGCGGCGTTCATGAGATCCAGGGCGCGACGATCATTGGGTTTGAGGAAGTGGTAGCGGTCGGAGAGTCTACCTCGTCAGTCAGCCTTATGAGACCCTGCGACTCGGGGTAAATGAGATGGGAGGACAGACTTGTGGAAGCCTCTGCCGTCGATGCGGACGACTACCCAGGTGTTGGGCAGCAGGGGGTCCGACTGTTCGAAGTCTTTGACGTATTCATATCTGGAGAATTATCTCTGTTCTTAGTTATCCCTGGATCCCCTCTTCGTCTTGAGGACTGGCAATGAGACGTACTTGGAGTTGGCCATGGCTGGTGGTTTTCCTATCTGCATCCAAGTGGAGACCGTACTGGTGGGATGAAGTTGTGCGGGAGTAACCGAAGGGACAGTAGATAGATGGAGGGTGATGTTCACGGTGATTGGGAGGCCATGTCATGGTGGACGTTGTTTCTAGTGTAGCTGATCGTTATATAGATAATTTGCCTACGATAATCTCTTGAGGACTGAATCTAGAGACTGGATGTAATTGATATACTTGATGAGGTTTAAGGTTGGATGGATGCATCGACTGATTGGTCGGATATCTACCTATCTATATTGATCATTGATTACTTTAATTACTATACTTTAACAAGTATAATGATGATTATATTAATCTCGTTACAACATATATAAATATAGATCTAATTGAATCGCCATCATGAAACTGGGTATATCCAGTGAACTAAAATATCCTCATAAATGATTACTCAGCGCATAACCCCACCCCAACCGAGGCACCCGACCCCGTGACCCGGCCCCGTGACCCGGCCTGGTTGGGCGCAAGAAGTCACGTTGAACTCCCAACATTATCATCATTCTCCTTTCTCCTATTTTCTGTATTTTCTTCTGGTCAATACTGTCGATCTGTGGCTTCTTTGTGTCACTTTCACTCGTTCCCCTTCGTTGTGATCTCGTTTGTCTCAACAGTGACCACTCGGACACTAGACACTTGACACTAGACAGTTCCCATTGAGACGACCAGCTCAATCCTTCTCCGCATGTGTCTCGGCCGCTGTCACATGGGCCGTATGTAGGCGCCACTTCCTACCCCGATTTCCTTCAACAACCCTTCACGCTTCCCATCTGTCCGATCGACGGTCTTCCGCCACCATGCAGTACGTGCGAAGTATCAGTGGCTCCGTCTCCAAGACCTGGAACTCCATCAATCCGGCCACCTTGAGTGGGGCCATCGACGTGATTGTCATCGAGCAGGAAGATGGTATGTACCCTCTCTCAGATCGGGGCGAAAGGATAGAACTGACCAGATGTAGGAACACTCGCCTGTTCGCCGTTCCACGTCCGCTTCGGAAAATTCTCCCTCCTCCGTCCGTATGAAAAGAAGGTACGACATCCGATGTCCGCCGCGAATCCCCGCGCTAAACAGAGCAGGTCGAGTTCAACGTGAATGGGGCCAAACAAGACTATTCCATGAAACTTGGCGAGGGCGGCGAGGCCTTCTTCGTCTTCGAGACGAACGAGCGCATCCCCGCCTCGCTGCAGACGTCGCCGCTGGTGTCGCCCGCCGCCAGTCCGAGGACCCGTAGCGAAGATAATCTCTCGTCGACCTTGCAGGAGCCCGAGTATTTGGATCTCGATCGCCCGGCGGTGGACCCCTTGGACGACAAATCTACCGATCTTCCGATCCTATCGCGGGCGACCCGGGCGACCAGTGATTTGGGTATGATCTGCGTTCCTCCGGTCGGACACAGACCGTTTGTACTGACGTACCATAGGTGCCATTACCCCCCTATCCCGATCGCCCGACGAGACGACGATCGGCCGGCCGTTTGACGACGGCCCCGGCAAGGCGGGCCGCACGATGTTGGACGACTTCATCGCGCCTACGCGCCGCCCCCGTCGCGACAGCGTGGCGGACCTCACCTACGGCACGCCGCTGACGGACCCCAGGGTCGCCAGCGACGACGAGACCAGCCAGGACCGTCCGTGCAGCCCCCCACCGCTGTCCCCCGAGGAAGCCGTGTCGCGCGCCGTGTCGCTGTCCAAGAAACTGTCCGGTTCCAACATCCCGTCGCACGTGACCGACACGGGCGACCTCATGCTCGACATGACCGGCTACAAGAGCAACGAGGAGAATGCGCTGCGCGCCGAGGTGGTCGCGCGCAAGATCCTGGCGGAGGAGCTGGAGGGCAACTACGACATCGGAGCGCTCATTGGGGCCGACGAACACGGGAACCTGTGGATCTACAGCAGCGAAGAAGCCAAGGAGGCGGCTGATCGACGGGCAACGTTCAACGTGATGCGACCCAGCTCGGCGCTGAGCGAGAACGCCGTGTCGGACCCCGGCTACCACAGCGACAGCGACCAGCCCCTCCACCAGAGCCTGGGGCCGCGGCACCTCCGCACGCAGTCGGATGTGCAACCCGGATTCCCGACGCCACCGCAGTCGCCCGTGCCGGGCGAGACGCGCAACTACGCCAAGACGCTGCGGCTGACCAGCGACCAGCTCAAGGCGCTGAATCTGAAGCCGGGGGCCAACGAGATGTCGTTCAGCGTCAACAAGGCGACGTGCACGGCGTCCATGTACCTGTGGAACGGCAACACGCCGCTGGTGATCTCCGACATCGACGGGACCATCACCAAGTCGGACGCCCTGGGCCACGTGCTCAACATGATCGGGCGCGACTGGACCCACGCCGGGGTGGCCAAGCTGTTCACCGATATCATCAACAACGGGTACAACGTCATGTACCTGACTAGTCGGTCGGTGGGGCAGGCGGACACGACGCGGACCTACCTGTACGGGGTGTGTCAGGACGGGTACCGGCTGCCCAAGGGGCCGGTGATCATGAGCCCGGACCGCACCATGGCGGCGCTGCGGCGCGAGATCTACCTGCGCAAGCCGGAGGTGTTCAAGATGGCCTGTCTGCGGGATATCTTGGGGCTGTTCAACGGGAAAGAGAACCCCTTCTACGCCGGGTTCGGCAACCGGCTGACGGACGCGCTGAGCTATCGGTCGGTGAACATCCCGTCGAGCCGGATCTTCACGATCAACTCGAACGCGGAGGTGTCGCTGGATCTGCTGAGTCTGACCAAGTACAAGAGCAGCTACGTGTCGATGCAGGAGCTGCTGGACCACTTCTTCCCGCCTACGAGTCTGCTGGTGCAGGCGGGCGGCGAGGAGTACACGGATTTTACGTACTGGCGGGATCCGCCGCCGGATCTGGATGACTTTTCCAGTACGGATAGTGAGGGCGAGGACGACGGGCCTGGACCGGATGAAGACGACGACGAGGATGACGATGACGACGAGGAAGAGGAGGAAGACGAGGAGGAGGGGGCGGATGACGACGATATCGAGGGAGAGGATGACGATGAGCTGGATGAGGACGAGGATGATGAAGGCGACGACGAAGACGAGTCCGACGGAGACTTGAGCGAGGATGAAGACCTCGGCGCCAGCTACCTGACCGAGTCGATGGAGGCGACTACGCTGGACGACAGGGACGACACCGTGAAGCCGGTGCCGTCGATAGAGTGAGTAATATATATCGCATAGCAAGGCGTTGTGGATAGACATAGATAATAGTACATATGGTTTATTTAAATTGCTGCATTGGAATATACCTTTCTGTTATACCAGTCTCGTCTCTACCATGTATAGTATGATAGAGTAGTATTCACCGCCTTCGCTATCGGTTAGCGGCGGCAGAATCCACCTCAGTTCGTTCATCTCAACATCTCATCTTCATCTTCATCTCCACTTCAGTCAACTCACTCGCGATCGCCCTGAATACATCCGAACCAGACCACCCGAATACAATAACACACCCCAAACTATCCGCGAACAACCCACATACTCCTCGCAATGGCCTCTCCAGGCCCAGCAAACCAACAACCCCTAACACCCCCCGCCGAACCATCCTCCTCCAACAACGCGCAACAATCGCAATCACAACCGCAATCGCAATCCCAATCCCAACAACCCTCACAACCCACCACCCATCAACAACCCTCACACCCCATCCAAATCAATGCCTCCGCAACCGCCACCCCCGCAAACAACCAACCAACCCCCATCCCACCCACCTCCCTCAAAGACAGCGGCAAGTCGCGCCGCCCGCGCGACATCCGCCTCATCCACATGCTCCTGTCTTCTCTAGGCGTTACGTCTTACCAGGAGCGCGTCCCGCTGCAGCTTCTTGATTTCGCGTACCGATATACTTCCGGCGTGCTGCAGGATGCGGTTCATCTCGCGACGGAGGGCTACGCGGGTGTCACCGATAGCGTTACGACGTCCTCTAAGGGTGGGGTCGGCCAGACTGCTGAGGTGAATAGTGTGACGCTGCCCGCGCTGCGACTGAGTATTGCTTCGCGACTGCACTATCAGTTCCAGACGGGCCTGCCGAAGGAGTTCCTGATGGATGTCGCTGGGGAGAGGAATAGGGTTGCGTTGCCGGGGGCGCGGAGGGCGTTTGAGGATGAGAATGCGGCGCAGGCGAAGGGCGCGCAGGGCGCGAATCAGAGTTTGCTCGTCGGGGGCATGAGGTTGCCGCCGGAGAGGTTCTGTTTGACTGGGACTGGGTGGGACATGAAGGAGGAGTGGGAGAGTGAGGGGGAGGAGGAGTTTTCGCTGGTTGGGGAGGGAGAGGGAGAGGGAAGGATGGGGAGGGAGAGGGAGAAGGTGAGGATGGGGACGAGGACGAGGATGGCAAGATGGAGGATGTGTTTGGGCCGGGTGGGGATGAGCGGGGGGATCAAGATCAAGATCAGGATGGCGATGGCGATGGCGATGGAGATCGCGATATGACTGATGTTTAGCATCTTTAATTGCATGGATGGAGTTGGCGTTTGGACGTATTTACGGTCATTATCAGACAATCCCTTCAGAGTGCGGAGTAGTAAGATGATAATATACAGTCGAACCTGTAAGAATACTATACATGCACATACGTAAAACAGACGCAACGCCAACCCAACATCAGTAAACACATAAAAGACCCCCGATCACCCTACAAATCACTTGGAAGCAGCAGCAAGCCTCTGCCTCTCCTCATCCTCCCTCATCAACCGAATCACCTCCGCCCGCCTAGCCTCCACCCTCCTCGTCTCCTCCTCCTTCTTCCGACGCCGCTCCCCATGCGTCGCGAACCATTCCTCCCGCGCGCGGTCTTCCTCTTCGGGCTTCGCGTGCTCCAGCATACACCCGTTCATGGCGAGGCGCTCGCTCCGGCAGAGCCATGTTGCTGTTATTGTGCGGTTGACGGCGCATTGAGCGAATGCTATCACCTCACGATTAGTACTCTTTGCTTTTATTGAGGCTAGCGGGAAGGGGGGGTAACGTGGTAGGTAGGAGGTAGAGTTGGAAAGAAGAAGATACACACCCTTGATTTCATCCGCGCAGTGGCTCCGTACGCGCTTGTAGAACATCTGCTTGACTTCTGTTTCCTGCGCTGCGGAGAGCGGCATTGGATTGCGCAGGTTGTAGGCTTTTGTTGGTGCTGGGGTGGAGGCACCCTCTGCTGTGTTTGTGGACATGGTTATGGTTGTCTTGCGTGGTAGTGATACCGGTGGTAGTGGTGGTGGTGTGGTGGTGAGGTGGTGGGGGAGGGTAATTGTTCGGGATGCGATTGTTGATTATCGATGACTGTAGATCATTCTTTATTTGAAGTAATTGTAGTGGTATTGTGTCGTGGTGGACGTGATGTTGTCGTTGTGGAGTAATGTTGGAGTTGCGGTTGAAAGTTCGAGCGGAGGTGGATTGGCCGACACCGACTGACCTTCTTCCTCTCTCAGTACTGCCGATCCGACTTTTCATCCGTCACTTTGTTACTTTTTACATCCACCTCACAACACCCCCAACGCTTTTCTTCAAATAAATACAACGACGGAAAGAAAACGACAGAAAAGAAAAAGGGAGAAGGAAAAGAAAAATTCAAAATGAGTACCATGCGCAACGCCGTTCAACGGCGCCAGCATCGCGAGCGAGGCCAGCTCGCCGGCCGCGAAAAATGGGGAATTCTGGAAAAGCACAAGGTACTTCCCTCTCTCTTCTCTTCTGCTATTTACCCTGCTTCAGCAGGTATCTTGGACCTAGGCTAATACTCTGTAAAATAGGACTACTCCCTCCGCGCAAAAGACTACAACACCAAAAAAGCCCAGATCAAGCGCCTCCAAGAAAAAGCCCACGACCGCAACCCCGATGAATTCGCCTTCGGCATGGTCTCCTCCCGCCAGGGGAAACACGGTGGTGGCGTCGGCGGCCGCGATTCAGCTGCCGCGAGGGGCCTCAGCCACGATGCGATTAAGCTCTATAAGACGCAGGATGCGGGGTACTTGCGGACTGTTGGGGAGAGGGTAAGGAGGCAGATGGAGAGGTTGGAGGAGGAGGTGCGGCTGCAGGGGTCGTTTGGGGAGAAACTGGGGGAGGAGGATAGTGAGGAGGAGGGGGGGGATGATGAGTCGGATTTTGAGGATTTCGATCTCGATGATGCGCCGGCTTCGAAGAAGAAGCGGAGTTTGCAGCAGCAGAAGAAGGTCGTTTATGCGGATGATCGGAAAGAGCAGAAGTCTTTGCGCAAGAAGCGCTTACGGGATGAGGATGCGTCGGATGAGGATGAGGATGAGATAATGGGTGGGGAGGCTCCGAAGAAGAAATCGCAGAAGCAGCTCCTGGCGGAGCGTCAGGCGCTGGTCGACAAGCGACGTGCGCGCAAGCTCAAGAAGCGTGCTGCGGAGGCCCGCCAGACCAAGCTGGCTGGCTTGCGCAAGCAGTACGCGGATATCACGGCCGCCGAGCGTGAGCTGGACTGGCAGCGTGGCCGCATGGACAACATCGTCGGCGGCACGAACAAGAATGGCATTAAGTGGAAGATCCGCGAGCGGAAGAAGTGATTGCATAGCTAGTACCCCCATGTTTATAGAAAAGTTCACGATACCACTTTTTTTTACTAATCTATCTGGTATATTAAATAAAAATTCAATCGCGATTACTGCATGTGGGCGACACGGATGCTGACTGCCCGCTTGTGCGCCTCCAGTCCTTCCACCCCGGCGAGCTGCTCCACCGTCTTGGCGAGGCCTTTCAGACCCTCCGCCGTCAGGTTCGAGCTGGTGATGTGCTTGAGGAACGAGCCCAGGTTGACGCCCGAGTACTGCTTGGCGTAGCCGTAGGTTGCTACATTAGTTGGATTAGCCTAGGTCACGAAGTGAAGAGGGAGGAGGGAACATACGGAGAGAGTGGTTCACACCCGCCGAGTAGTCGCCGACGCTTTCCGGCGTCCACGCGCCGATGAACACACTGCCGGCATTCTGCACCTGCTCGACGGCTGCCTCGGCATTCTCGATCTGCAAAATCAGATGCTCCGGCGCGTACTGGTTGCTGAGCGCCATCGCCTCCGCCAGGTCGCGCACCACGAACGTCACCGAGTGCGCCAGCGACCCCTTGACAATGTCCATCCGGGGCAGGGCGTGCGCCTGCTGGTCGACCTCGTCCTCGATCGCCTGCAGCTGCGCCTCGTCCAGGTCGATCGCGATGAGGATCACCTGCGAATCCACGCCGTGCTCCGCCTGGCTCAGCAGGTCCGAGGCCACGAACGCCGGGTTCGCCTGTCGGTCCGCGATGACCAGCACCTCACTGGGCCCCGCCGGCATGTCGATGCTGACGCCCGCCGACGTGTCGTTGGCCACCAGCATCTTGGCCGCCGTCACGAACTGGTTGCCCGGCCCCAGGATCTTGTCGACCTTGCTAACGCTCTCGGTGCCGTACGCCATGGCCGCCACGGCCTGCGCGCCGCCCGCCAGCACGATGCTCTCGGCGCCCACCTTGTGCGCCACGTACACGATCTCGGGCGACACGCTGCCGTCGGTGCGCGGCGGCGACGCCAGCACGATCTTCTGGCAGCCCGCCACCATGGCCGGGACACCCAACATCATGGCCGTCGACGGCAGCACCGCCGTGCCGCCGGGGATGTACAGGCCCACGCGCTCGATGGGGCGCGAGAACCGCGAGCACACCACGCCGGGCATAGTCTCCATGCTGAGGGCCTCGTTGCCGCCCTGCTGGGCGCTGTGGAACTTGGCGATGTTGTCGATGCTGACGTCGAGGGCCGCCTGGGTCTCGGGCGACAGCTGCATGAGCGAGTCCGGGAAGGGGGCGCGCAGCACGGGGGACGTTAAGGAGGTGGCCTTCTCGAACTTGTGGGTGTACTTGAGCACGGCCGCATCGCCGCCGTCGCGGACGTCCTGGACGATGGGGCGCACGAGGCCGACGATGGCGTCGTTGGACTTCTGCGACGGGCGCTTGAGGTGGTCCGCCACCACGGTGGCCGGCGTGCTCGCGGTGACGACGCGGGTCATCTCGATCCGGCCGTCGGCGGGGGCTGTTCTTCCTTGGCGGGGCGGGGCGGGGGCCGGGGTCGCTGCTTGGGACTGGTTGACGCCGAGCTTCTCGGCCCAGGGACCCTTGGCGTCGCCCTTGCGCCGCTTCACCTTCAAGTTCTTGAGGTCCAGGTTGCGCTCGACGTCCTCGAGGCTGACCCCGGCGGCGACACAGCGGGTCAGGGCGAAGTAGAACAGGTCAGCGGCCTCGAAGGCGACCTCCTCGGGGGTAGTGGCGCGGCACAGCTCGTCGGCCTCTTCCATGATCTTGGCCTGGGTGAGCTTGGGCTCGTTGAACAGGCGGGCCGTGTACGAGCCGGCGGGCGCGTCGGCCTTGCGGGCCTGCAGGGTCTTTTGCAGACGCGAGAGGCCGTTGTAGGGGCCGAAGCAGCTGGCCCTGCCCAGGTGGCAGAAGCCGCGACCGACCTGGTTGACGACGAAGACCAGGCAGTCGGAGTCGCAATCAAAGCCGACGCTGATCAGCTCCTGGACGTCGCCGCTGGACTGGCCCTTGTACCAGAGGCCCCGCTTGCGGCTCTGGTAAACGCCGGTGCCGGTGCGCAGGGCCTCGGAGATACTCTCGTCGCTGCTCCAGACCAGGCCCAAGCAGACGCCGCGGGCGTCAATGACGGTGGTGGCGTACAGGCCATTGTCGCTGGTGCGGACGGCGCGGAAGGAGACGAGAGCGGAGGCGACGATCTTGCCGGCGGGGTTGCGCTGGTCGAGGGTGAGGGCGTCGGCCGGGATGATGCTGACGCCGCCTTGCGTGATGGTGTCCCGCAGGCCCTCCTCCGTGACGGGCGATGTGTAGGTCCGGTAGAGGCTCTGCGTCTCCAGACTGACACCCAGCTTCTCCGCCAGGGCGGTGAACTCCACCTGGGGGTCGTTGGTGGAGAGGCCGGCTTCCTTGCGGCTGGCGTCCTCGCTGACCCAGCGCTGGAAGACCTCCAGTTCGTCCTTGCCGGAGTATTGGACGACCAAGCGATCGGCCGGGACGGACTGTTCCTGGGTCAGGGCCTGCAACTGGCCGAGGGTGATGAAGATCTTGGCGGCACCGGCATTGAGGATATCGACGAGGTCGGCGGTCTGAGGGATGGCGGTGGCGTCGGCGTAGACGTCTAGGCTGCGGACATGACGACGAATGAACTCTTCGGCCTGCTCCCGAGTGTCGACCTTGATGAGGACTCGCCCGAAGTAGGCGATTTGATTCAAAGTGAGGCCATTGGCGGAGGCGGGGTCGAGTGGGGGTTGACTCGGGTCAACCTGGACAATGAAGGGGACGGACATGGTGAGTCCCCGGGGGTGGGGTTGACAGCAGGGAAGATTGGGGACAAAGTAAACCGAGGCGAGACTTCAATGAGGGCGAGATGGAGAGGAGGAAGACGGGGAAGATGAAGCAAAAGTGGACAGCCGAAAGAGTCAAAAGAGTCATCGCGGGGGACGATCGACAAACGGTGCAAACCCGAGTGCCAAGAGGAATTGCCGGATCGGGTTAGACCGTTGGAGCCTAAGGCAGCGAGATGCGTGATGCCGACCCTTCCGCTTCGGGACTAGCGCATTCCCGCCATGCTGATCGTCTCACGCTTTCCTCCTTTCTTCTCTTCCTTCTCCATTCCTTCCTCGATCCTTCTGGTGCTGGATTGGGATCTGATGGAAGAGACTATCAGCACAAACACACCAAGTGGGGAGACTAATCGGCGTTATTGACGCACTAGTACCTAGCTGATCTGATCGAGGACGGTCTTAGTCGATGAGTTCCGTCTCCACCGGGCTGTGACCGGAACTATCAGTGGAGAGATGAACACTGTGGTGGAGGTCGAACAGAAGAATCAACGAGATGATATCCAACAAGGCTGCCTGACAGTTTGGGCAGTAAGAGGATGCATGTCGACATGGATGCTCTGCACAAATCAGGGGAGATGATGGAGCATATCATCTGACTAATTGTGCCCGCGACTGCAGCTGCCTCAGGTCATCTGCTTTGAGCGGCCCAGAGTGACCCGAACTGATGATCCAGTATACTTCAGTCTTGATGTGTTTGATACTTGAATTGGACCATTTGAAACATATCGACGGTGTTCCTGACTGAACTATCCAAGTCCTCAATACCACAACAACAGTCCGACTTCAGATGTACAGGATTGATCCCCTGCATCGCCCCATGCATACTTCCCCCCCATTCGACCAATCATCGCGTCCAGATCGACTGGCCTTGCCTGATCGGGTGATCAAGGCTGCAATCCTGCCTGAGTTCCCAGGCTCAACCGACCTATCCTCGTTCCTGCTTCCTTCTTTTTCTCCTCTTTTTCTCCTCTTTTCCTCTTCTCTCCTATCCTACTCTTCTTCTCTTCCCGTCCGTCTATCCAGCAGTCCCTCATTTCCCCTCTTTAGGTCTTGGCTGACCGTGTCGCTCTCTTCCCCTCCGATCGTCTGATCGACTATATAATCACTTCCGCCTCGCCGAGGCTGTCATTCGTTTTATTTACTTTATTTGTACCACCCCTTCCTTCTCTGGACTTTGTGCAAGGCCATTCTTTTGTATTATGCATTTCGCCTATCTGTCGGCCCTGCTGGCCGTTCCGGTCTGGGGCCTGCCCGCACAACATGCGATTCGCCGGGAGCCCTCGCGCGCCGATGTCGTCCGCGGGGCCTTCTCCCACGCCTGGGATGGATACCGGAAGTACGCCTTCCCCCACGATGAACTGCACCCCGTCAGCAACGGCCACGGCGACTCCCGCAATGGCTGGGGTGCCTCCGCGGTGGACGCCCTGTCCACCGCGATCGTCATGGGCAACGAGACCATCGTCAACGAGATTCTCGACTTTATCCCGACGATCGACTTCTCCCACACCGACGACGAGGTCAGCCTGTTTGAAACCACCATCCGCTACCTTGGTGGCATGCTGTCCGGCTACGATCTCCTGAAGGGCCCCGCCAAGGGGCTGGTCAAGGACCAGAAGAAGATCGATGCCTTGCTGACCCAGTCCCGTACCCTGGCCGATATTCTCAAGTTCGCCTTTGACACCCCGTCCGGCGTCCCCTACAATAATATTAATATCAACAAAAAGAGCAACGACGGGTCCACCACCAACGGTCTGGCCGTCACGGGTACCTTGGTCATGGAGTGGACGCGCCTGTCGGATCTGACCCGCGACGCGCAGTACGCCCGCCTCAGCCAGAAGGCCGAGTCGTACCTCCTGGACCCCAAACCCGCCAAGGGGGAGCCCTTCCCGGGCTTGGTGGGCAACGGCATCTACATCGAGAACGGCACCTTTGCCGACGGGCGCGTCAGCTGGAACGGCGGCGACGATTCCTTCTACGAGTATCTGATCAAGATGTACGTGTACGACCCCGAGCGGTTCGCCAAATACAAGGACCGCTGGGTGGTGGCCGCTGAGTCGACCATGAAGCACCTCGCCTCGCACCCGGAGTCGCGTCCGGACCTCACGTTCTTGGCCTCGTCCGACAACGGGAAGTTGGGGCTGACGTCCCAGCATCTGACCTGCTTTGATGGGGGCAGCTTCCTGCTGGGGGGTTCGCTACTGGATCGGGAGGACTTTATTCAGTTCGGTCTGGATCTGGTGAACGCCTGCCACACCACCTACACCGAGACACTGACGGGCATCGGGCCCGAGCAGTTTGGCTGGGATGCCAAGAAGGTGCCGTCCAACCAGAAGGAGTTGTACGAGCGGGCGGGCTTCTACGTCGTCAGCGGGGCGTACATCCTGCGGCCCGAGGTGATGGAGAGTTTCTACTACGCGTGGCGTCTCACAGGCGAGGAGAAGTACCGCGACTGGGTGTGGAAGGCGTTCGAGTCGATCAACCGGTACTGCCGCACCAAGTCGGGGTTTGCGGGACTGAAGAACGTCAACGCGGCGAACGGCGGGGGTCAAGATGACAACCAGGAGAGTTTCCTGTTCGCGGAAGTCATGAAGTACGCGTACCTGGCGCAGTCGGAGGACGCGGCGTGGCAGGTACAGCGGGGGAAGAACGAGTTTGTGTTCAACACGGAGGGCCATCCCATTGCCGTGGCTTGACTGGTTGGGAAGTATCCATAGCCCATACATAGTATAATAATGTGGACATAATATCATAATATGGAGTGGACTGATTCCGTGGTGGGTTAAAGCGGGACCTGCCCGCGCCAATAGAGGATAGACCCCGATGACGTATGGGTCCTATCGACCTCCTAATCTCGGCACGCAAAACAAACTACCTGTTCCTCACTACACTTCTTCCCCACGATTCAGACAACTGAACTGTAACACAATGGCTTCAACCAATGCAGCCCAATGGTCCGAAGGAACCGATCATGCTGAAGCAGACCCACTCCTGAACACCCTCCTCCAACAAGGCTGGCAACTCAACGACGACGCCAATGCGATCAGGAAATATTTTCGCTTTAACACGTATACTAAAGTTATGGTTTGTACATCATCCATTACCTACATGATATATATATGCATACATATGTATATGTATGTAGATATATATAATAAGAAAGAAGTTAATTGTGGATAGGACTACGCAAACTGCATCGCCATCAAGAGCAAACGCGCAAATCACCACTCGGAGCTAACACTGGTATGTCCATCCTTTACCCCCCCCCCCCAACCTTCCATATACTTGTAGAAAAAAGATGAGTGTGTACCTAGTAGACATCTCTAACAGTTTTATATAGAAAGCCCGCTCTGTCACCGTCCTCTGGACAACGCATGTCCCCAAAGGACTGTCCATGAAAGACCTGCGAATGGCGGAGTTTTGTGAGATGGCTGCTAAGGAGATGGTGCTTGCTGTTGAGGGGGGTCAGGAGGAGGAGTGTGGGCCTTGTGGGGGGTGAATCTTACTCGAGGGGTTGATGTGGGGTTCTTTGTCGATGCTGGGTAGGATTTATTGCGTTGTTTATAGTTAGTTGAGGAGTGGTGCTGGTGCTGGTGGATGTAGTATATATGACTGAAGAGTTGATGCATGATACTTCAACCTAGATACCCTCTATGATCTATTAAAAGGTTGGAGCCTCTGTATGGTTCGATAGACGGAATCAACTTAGCAAAGGTCAGTCCATGTGAAACAACCCAATAATTCAATTCTAAATAGTATTGTATGCGTCTCGCGCCATATTAATCGAAATCATCATATCTCATAACTTAACATCCGGGTATGCCATATCCAGACCAACCAACCAACAACCAACAAACCAGCCAAAAATGATAGAAAAATGCAATGAAATAACGAAATGCAAAACGAGCAAAAGAAAAACGACCAAAAGATGAAAATGAAGCTAAGTCCGGTAGATCTTCACGACACTGATGATACTCTTCCGGCAAATCGGGCACAAATCCACCTGCCGCGCGCACGTCACGCAAGCACACACATGTCCACAGTCGTAGAACAGCGCGTCCTGCTCCTCGCTGTAGCAGATCTGGCACAGGTCCATCTCCTCGTCGGCTACCTCCCAGTAGCTGATGCCCTTGCCGTGACGCTTGCCGTCTTTGTATCCGCCCACGTACCGGTTACCGGTCTTGTGCTCGACGAAGGTGCCCTGGCCGTGGCACTGGTTCTCTGCCCAGCTGCCGTCGTAGGTGTCACCCGTGGGGTACTCCATGCGGCCTTGGCCGTGACGTTTGCCTAGCACGAAGTCGCCCTCGTAGGTAACGACTGTGTCCGACACGTGCTTGCCCACGCCGTGGTGGTAGCCCTTGCAGAAGTCGCCGCTGTAGTAGTCTGTCGTGAACGACGCGTCGACTGTCTTGCGGCCCGTGAAGGCCTTGGTCGGGTGCTGCCGCGCCGCCGCCCAGAGGTACCGCACGAGGTGGTCTGGGTTGGTGAGGAGGCCGGCTTCGTTGAGTTGTGACCGGCGGTCTTTGGCCAGCTTGTCGCCCACGATGAAGCACGTGCCGTCCGGTACGAAGCCTTGGAAAGTCTGCAGTGAGGAAACGGTCGACACAGACGTGCCTTCTACGCGCTGCCAGATCTGGAAGTCTTTCGTCACCGGCCGCTGCAGGTGCTTCCGCAGCGCCTTCTTGATGTTCTCCTCCTTCTGCGAGAAGAACGATCCCACCGTGCGCAGGGCCTGAGCCTCCACGTCGAACAGCTGGATGAAGTAATAGACGTGATCCACCGGCAGGGTCACCGCCTGCTCATCCGTCGAGGGGGCTTCGGGGGCTTCAGGGGCTTCAGGGGATTCAAGGGCGTCGGGGCTTTCAGGGGCTTCGGGGGCTTCAGGGACTTCAGTAGCTGCCGGTGCGGCCGGGGAGCGGCCGGCTCAACCGGCGCGGGTGTGGGTGCCGGCGCTAACTCCGCCTCCGGAGCTGGCTCCGATGGCTCGGGGTCCAACTGCTGGACATCGGACGCAATGATGGCCGCGATGACAGCGTCATTCTCGGCGTCGCCGGTCAAAGAGTCCTGGCGGGCAGGGTCCGCGGAGGGGGTGACCGGGGCAGGGGATGCGGCCCGGGCCGCAGCCTCAGCCGGAGCACTTGGCTCAGCCGGGCCGGCGCCTCAACCGGCGCAGCGGGCTCCGCCCGGACCGTGGGGTCAACCACCCCATTGACGACGCTGTCATCCGACGACTCCACCGGTTGCGGCACCGTGCCGGACGAGCTAGCAAAGGCCGCGTCGGCGCTGCCCGTCGACGGCCGGTCGGGCTCCGCGCCCGCCTGCTCCGGCACGGTCTCCTCCACCTTGTTCGTGGCCACCGCCGCCTCGCGGGGATCGGCCATGGCGAAGTACTTGGCGTCGCCGTCCGACACCACCTGCATCCAGAACCGCACCGGGCCCAGCGACCCGTCCACGGTCGCGGTGAGGTCGGAGACCCGCGAAAAGGCCAGCGTTGGTCCGAACCGCTCACGGGTGTGGCCGATCTGCCACAGCCGGACGTGCTCCGGACGCAGGGGTGCCTCTGGGTCGGTGGAGTGGCCCCCCGCGATCGTCTTCCGCAGGTCCTGCAGGGTCGAGCCGCGCGGCACCGTTAGGTGCTGGACGCGACCGGCCGACTGGGCCTGCGCCATGAGGTCGTACGTGTCGAACAGGCTGTCGAGCTGGTCATACTCGGGCATGGTGTATACCTCCACCGGCACCGAGTCCGGTGTCGGGGCCCCGTCCGGCGTCGGCACCGGAGGGGTGCCCTGCTCGTAGTACGTCTTCATCGCGGCGGAGGTCTCCCACGGGCCCTGGGGACCCGGCAGGAACTCGTCGACGACATCGGCGCGGATGTACATGACAGCGATGGCGACGTCGTGGCCCGTCTTGTGGTCGGGCTTCTGTGACGCGTCGAGGCCCAAATGTGGGCCAAAGGCCGTCTTGCGGGTCAGACATTCCACGCGGTTGTCGCTGCCGTCGTCGAATGCCAACCACCGCGTACCGGGCCCGCCCGGGCGCAGGATGCTGAAGAACTTGCCCGAGGTGCGGCGCCCACGGTGTACGACGTAGCCGTACAGCACATACCGGCCGCATTCGCCCTCGAGCACCCACGGGGTCAGGTCGACCTCCTCGTCGGGTTCGACGCGGTTGTAGAGCAGGCGCCACTGGCGGGCCGCCTTGTCCAACCGCTGGCGGTTCAGCTCGACATGGAGGACGGGGGGCAGGACCCAGCGGCCCGGCTGCGCCCCCAGGTACCCCCGCAACGCCTCCTGGGTCGATGCGGCCTGGTCGGCGGGCACGCGGATGCGGGAGTTGGCCTCGCGGGGGAGGGTGTGGATGCCGCCGGCCGGCTCCGGGGCGTCCCGCAAGATAGCGGCCGGTGCGGGGGAGTCGAAGAGGCGCGCCAGGTCGTCGGCGGCGGCGGTGCCGGCCAGCTCGAGCTGGAGGGTCCGGCGGAGCGACTCCCAGAACTCGCACACGTCCCCGGCGTACTCGTGCAAATTGCGCAGGGTCGAGGTGATGGCGTCGGTGTCGACGTACTGCAGGGACTGGTCCCGGGCGCGCAGCTGCCACAGGAACTTCTGCAGGGCGTCGCACAGCGGCTTGGGTCTCACGACGCCGTTAGTGTGGTGTTCCAGCACGTTGGCCTGCTGGATGATGCGGCCGAAGGGGGCCAGGTGCAGCCAGCTGGCCAGGCCGGCGACCTCGGCGCTGTGGTTGATGACCGAGTCGCCCAACGGCCGGTAGCCCGTCAGGCCCAGGCTGTCCCAGGTGGGTTCGGAGTCGCTGGCGTGCCACCAGAGCGAGCAGGTGGGGTCGTCGACGATGCGGATGTACGCGTCGAAGGCCAAGGTGTCACTGCGGAGGAGGGCCTGGCGCTGGCCGCGCTGACGGCGGTGGATCTGGTCCCAGGGGCCGTGGAAGTTGGTCCAGCCCCAGTCCAGATTGTGGGGGTTGAACTGGTGGGAGGACGACTGCATCCAGCCGGTGCGCGGCTCATCCGGGTTGTAGAGGATGACGCCAATCTGGGCGGAGACGCGCCACGTCTTGGGGCCCGTCCCGTCGCACCTCGCGGCGGCGGGGTACTGGGCCTTGAAGGTATCCACCCAGGCCGGGTCGGCCGGGGGCAGCGCGGTGCACACTTCCTCCTCGTCCTTGCCCAGCGGCTGGCCGGCGGGCCCGCGCCGTACCGCAAAGTCGGTCTCGGGCAAGGTCTTGTCGCCGGATGGCATGGTGGGCGAGCACTCGAGGTAGATACTCAGGGAGCCGACATTGTTACCACGCGGGAAGAATTTGATGGTCCACCAGTAGCCGCCGATGTAGGCGGGTGGGGAGCGCATGATCTTGGCACGGTTGGGAGCATCCTTGGTGCCACGTACACCCTTGATGCGCCACGTCATGCGGCCCTTCTCGACGGGACGGTACTCGGGATCGTCGAGATCTGGGTGGAAGTTCTTCTCCCAGTACGGATCTAGCTGGTCAGCAGCTGCGTTGTTCTGTCGGAGGCCTGATGATAGCTTGATACTCACATTCGTAGGCACTGTAGTCCCCGTCGGCGGCAGACTCAATCTCCTTCATCTCTTCCTCGTCGGGCAAGGAGGTATCCTCCTCAATGTCCGCCCAGTAGGCATTCTCCACCTCGGGGGGCGCAGGACGGGGCGGGGTGGTGGTGGCGGCGGGGGATTGCTCCCCGGAAGCCTCCTGGGAGTCGGGCAGCGGCTGGGCCTCTGGCCGAGTCTCCTCGACCGACGGCTCCGGGGCCGTGTCGAGAATCAGGGTGGGCTCCGCGGGGGGTTGTCGGCATTGAGGGTGATGGGGGGAGGCACCTGCTGCAGCGCAACGGGTGGTTCCTGCGGGGGATCCATGGTGTGGATTCCGGCAAGGATGTAGACTCTGGCAAAAGAACGACAATGGACCAGGGAGTGGACGCAGAATTAATATATACGATGACTCTAGGCAACCGTGGGCCAGGCTACAAGTGAGTCAACGAGCGATGGAATGAGTCAACAACACAGCCCAGATCGGCGGTTAGGAACCTAACATAGATCCAGGACGGAGAGGTCTATGTGTCGACCGGTCCACGATGAGTCCGAGAATGGCCGGAGCGAAACAATGGATAAACAGAACAAAAGAAGGATAGATGAGAAGAGAGAGAGAGAGTGTGTGTGAGAAGAAGAAGAAGAAGAAGAAGAGGAAGAACAAGGAAGATAAGACGGGGCAGCCTTAGGCTTATCAGCCCAAAAGATGGGGCGCACTAGGCCGGATGCGGGTTAGGGCAGAAGGGTTGGGGATCGACCGATCGGATGGCGATATTGAAGGATATCCAATCCGAGGCCAATGACCATGCAAGGTCACAAAGACTGCAGAGGAAGGACAGATAGTGTACACGAGACAAATGCAATCTCTCACCGAAAGAAAGAAGTCTCACAACTCATGTTGGGAGAAGGAGAAGAAAAAGAAGAGAATGAGGCGCACACCGCTGGTTGGGGCGGATCGGTCGGCGGTGGCAGAAAAACGGTGATTGGCCCAGGGGAGTTGCCACCTGAGGCAGTTTTAGGAGGTGCCTGCAAATCCTGCCAGTTCCAACCGGTGGTTCAGGTGTCGAGGCCGGGTTGCCCCTGGCGGGTACGGATACCGGATGCGGTGATCATTAATATATATTCTACTGATATAGTATCTGTTATATAATATGGAATCATATAGATTGAAAATACATCTTATATTGTATCAGGGATCATGGTGATATTGGTGCTCATACAATGTCCATGTTCAATATCGATAACGGTCTAGGCCGTCTCCACACGGCCTGAGGCACCGGTCGCCTCCAGACCCACTTCGGTTATTCGGCTGTTCTATATTTGACATTTCATACGGGGGACCCGGAGACCCTGGACCCGAATAGGAAAGGAACTGGAGAAAAGGGAAAATAAGAAGAAGATAAAGATAAAATTACAAAGAAATCACAAATAAGGAGAATGGAAGAAAAGGATAGTCCCTCTAGTTAATGGAATTATGTACAACCCGAATCATCTCTATAGACCATGTTTAACGACCAGATCCCTCCGCAGACGGTTCAGACGCCCGTGCAAACGACCCCGCCACAATCAATGGCACCACCACCGTTGCCTCGGCAAACACCTTGACTGACGAGGCGTTGGGCTTGATCTTTCCCCAGCTGACCGCCTCATCTGGCCGCGCCCCGCGTCGCTGCCGTCGAACTCCTGCCCCGTGTTCACGTACACCGCGTGTTCCGCTCCGTTGCGCATTAGGCACGCGTTGGCGATGTGGTGCTTGATCACCCCACCCCCGAGGATGATCATCCCCGCCCGCGCCGCCTTCATGGCCATCAGGTTGATCCGTCGCACGTCCTCCACCACGTCGATCCGCAGCCGCTGCGGGTCCGATCGGAACGTGTGGAAGGTCAACATGTCTCCGAGACTTCCGTCCGTCAGCGCCGGGCAGAACACCGGGATCCCGTTGCGCGCCGCCCAGTAGAGCACCGAGTCCTCGTTGTCGATCTCGCGTCCCAGCCGCTCCGTCACTCGGCTCGGCGTCCAGTGGAGCTCGTCCTCGTCGTTGCCCGTCTCCCGCGCCTTCTGCTTGGCGGCCTCCTGTTCCGCCAGCATCCGGTCGAAGATGGGCACGATCCAGTCCTCGAACGCGCAGTAGTTCTTGTTGGGTACCACGAGGTTGCCGATCCGGTTCAGCCCCTTGGCCCGGAGGCCCGCCCCGGGCGCCGCGAAGGTCCCCATGTACGTTGGCCCCAAACACTTGATCAGGTCCTCCTCCACGCCGCCCGCCGTCGTAACGATGGCCGACACGTGCTTGTGACGGACGAGGTAGCGGAGGGTATCCCGGAGGCCGGACGAGATGAGGTTGGAGGTGTAACCGAGGAAGATGGTCGTCTTTTCGCCCGTTTCAGGGTGTCGATAGGCGCGCTAATCACGAGCACAACAGCAGTTAGCCAATCATTCTTCCTGACGAAGAATGGACGAGGACGCCATTCCCTACCATCTCGTTGACAATGCGGGTGGCCTCGGCGACGGCACTGCCCTGGAACCCCATGAACTCCATGTTGTCCACCAGCTCCGCCACGGTGATGTCACGACCCTGATACTGTTCAAAGTCGACGCCCTTGACTTCCCGGGCATCCTCAGGCGGCGCATCGGACGGCACCAGGACCGCCTCGCGAGCCGAGTCAAAATTGGTAGGATCGGGGGTGGGAGACATGGTGATGGACGACGGCGGGGTCGGTGGAGACGGCGGAAATTCGACCGGACGAGAAGGGGAAAGGGTGAAGAAGGGTGGATAGATGGATAGACGTAGTCCTCTTCATGCAACACAATACCGGATGTTATAAATTGGAAGGAGAGTTGTGATCCATGAATGCCGGAGACAGAAGTATGGCGACCGAAAAAATGGTGGAGAAAGAAGGAGGGGAAAATCTCGATAATCAGATGTGGGTGCCTGGGGCAGACACGGAGGGGCGAGCCTGCTGCAGGCATGCAGGCATGCAGGCGTGCAGGCACCCAGGCACCCAGGCACCCAGGCATTGGCATCGATTTCCTTTTCCAGACTGAACATCCATCCATCAAACCCAATCAATCCATTTCTCCATCCATGGATACTCCTGGATCCACTTCCAACTTCATCTTCCCTCTTTCAGTCTAGTTGCTGCGGTGGAAAGTCTGGGACTCCCATCTCAACGACTCCTCCCTCCTCACAGGCTCCATTCAAGGTTCTCTCTTTCTTTTCTCCTCATCTGGCCTGAACATCCTTTTTATCGACCTCAACGGAAACGATCCATGAAAGTATTCGAGTGAGGACCTCCTCCATCATCCATTCTGATTCCTTCATTATTAGTCCCTCTTTCGACCTTTCTTCGGATTCATTCCCTCTCCTGGACATTTGTTTGTTCCGAATCATCTCCGGCTGTCACATCCGGCGTCCCTGCGGCGTGACGAGATTTTGCTCCCCAGTCCGTCGGGTTTCAAGACATCCGACGCAAGGGTCTAATCATCAGTTCTGGATTTTGTGTCCTGTCTTTCTTCGTCTCGAGTCGGACGGTGCCCGTCTTTAATCCCGGTGCACCATTCCATCGGATTGGTTTTGGACGACAGAGCAACGTTGATGTTGCAGACGGGGAGAGCTGGGTTTCTCTGTCGTGGTACGTTCAATTTCGCTTTCTTCTCTCTCTCTCTCTCTCTCTTTTTTTTTTTTTTTTTTTTTTTTTTTATCTTTTTCAGATTATTATTTTGTTTTGATGTCAGTCTTTATCTTATTTTTGTTTTGAATTCTTTTTCTTCACTTTCTGTTTGATATTATTGGCCCTTGTTATGTCGCTCTTTAATGTGGCACCGTCTCCCTCATCTCCCGCATCATTCGTGTTGGCTTTTTTCCCCCGAGGGATCCTGGTCGATGGATGGACCGTGTCGCTAGATCAGCCAAGCCTTTCCCACCTTTCCCAGACGATCGTGGCCAGACAGATTGGCTCCTCTGCACACCCGAGGGCGTTTCGTGGCGCCCGCTAGACCGAATCGTCGTGCACTGGCCGGCATTATTCCTGACTCATCTGCATCCCGACCGCGTTGTGAACGCCATTGCCCGATCCGGTCTAGCGCTTTGGCCCGTGCTCTTCCCACGCCGTCCTCGGTCACGTGGTCTCCGTATCCCCCCGTTCGCGCTTCTGCCATTTCTGCTGCTGCTCGCGCGGGTCGTCTTGTCGCGCTTCCATGCTTCATCCTCTTCCCCCTCGGGTCGGGATCTGCCTCCAACTGTTGATTTATTTGCATTCGTCACTCCTTCGATCGTTCTGCGGTTGCTATTGTTCTTTGCATTCGCGGGTGGATACCGTTCATTCAACCCCCATTGCTCAGTGCACCTCACTAACCCGCCCTGTACGGCAGTCCCTTCCTCCTTCTCTGCCAGGTTTTCCCTTTCCGCCCACCACTTTAGCATGATCCGGTGATGTCGTCACGATACCCCCATCCCTCAGGCTACGGGGCTCGAGACCGTTCCCCACAACGCTTTCCCGACCGTCGACCACCGGCTGGTCCTCGTGGCTCCGACGATGGCAATCTACCGCCGCTCGGGCGAGAACCGCCCCGAGGTCCCAAGGCCCTGACCGATCCCCACCGGGGTGCCCCCTTTGGTGGTCGTGGACGGGGCTACCCGAGCAGAGCGGATTTCCGGGACCGTGATCGGGACCTCCGCGACCGCGATCGAGATCGGGACCGAGACCGTGACCGTGACCGAGACCGCGATCGTGATCGAGATTTTCGTGACCTCCGCGAGGGCCCGCCCCCCTTCCGGCGAGACCTCGACCGCGACTGGCCCCGACGCGATCGAGACTTCGACCCTCGCGAGCCTCGCATAGGCTTCGGCCGCGGCCGGTCGCGCTCGCCCCCGCTACCCCCGCTACCCCCGCGAGATTTCCGAGACGCGCGAGAATCGATAGGAAGGGACCCCGACTTGGTCCGCATGCGCCGCGGATCCCGGGACAGTCTCCTCTCGGTCGGCTCTAACGCCCCCGACACACCCTCGTCCGCGCCGGGACATCACCCCCGCAGTGGTCCCATCCGCGGCCGCGGCCGTGGCGATTGGGACATTGGCCGGGGTCGTGGCCGGGCCCCGTATCTGGACGACCGGGACTCATTCCGCCGTCGCAGTCGATCTCGGGACGGCCGATGGGACCGCGAGCGGGATCGAGACCGTGACCGCGACCGCGAACGGGATCGCGAACGGGATCGCCTGATGGATCGGGACCGTGAGCGGGACCGGGATCGTGTGCTCGACCGGGAGCGCGATCTGGATCGTCGAGACCGGGATCGGGACCTCGACCGTCGCGAGCGATTCGACCGCCGGGACGAGATCGACCGCCGCTTCGATCGGGAGGATCGTGATCGCCCGGGCGACCATTGGAAGCGGGATCGCCCCCCCAGTCGCGCCGAGAGTCGCCTGCCCAGCACCCCGACGCTCCCAGTCGGGCCCCCGACGACCCTCCCCGCGGCGCCTCCGTTGGCAGATCGACTGCCCGACCCCAGCCCGGACCTGCCCCGCAAGCCGTCGGTCGTCGACAGCCGCCGCGAACTCGACCGCGTCGAGCCTCCGGCGCCGCGCCCGGAACCCGCCAAGGAGGTCCCGCCCCCGTGAAACGCTCCCGCCGCCCGCTGCACCGCAGGTGCCGGCCTTTGGGTCGGTCACGGCCCCCATCCCGGATCTGTCGCCGGAGAAGCCGCCGCCGCCGCCCCCAGAGAGCACCGCCACGGCGGCCACGCCGACCAAACTCGAGAAAGAGCCGGAACGCCCGGAGCCCCCGTCCCGTCCGCCCGTCCACCCGCCGACGGGGCCCAAAGCGGAACGGATCCCGGCGCCACTGCCGCCCCTGCCGCCGACGGAGGTGCGAGCCCGACGGGAGGATGCGCCACGGGACGACGCCCCGGATGTCCAGCTGGAGCTCCCCGCGCGGCCGCCTAAGCCCCCGACGGGCCCCGCCCCAGCGCCCCCAGCGCCCCATCGCCCCGAAGCGGTCCGATCTCTCCCCGCCGACCGCCCCCGCCGCCATGACGGGCAAGGACGCGGTGGTATCTCCACTGCAGTCGCCGTCCGCCATCCGCCCGCCTCCCACCATGCCCTCACCGGAAATGGCCCGCACTCTTCCCCCGGCTGGTCGGGGATCGTCCCCCGACGCTCTGACCTCCCCGCGACCGCAACCCGCAGGGGGCATCCCCACCGGTCCCCGGGCCCTCCAGCATCGCGGCTCCATCTCCCGCGGCCCCAAGGGCATGAAACAGTGGGTGCGTCCGGGATACCCGCGTCCGCCGCCGGCAGCCGGCGCGACGGCCCCCCCGAAGCGCGAGTCGATTGATGCCACGGCGCAGGGTCCGCCCAGCCCCGATACCGGCCGACGCGATTCACACCTGTCGGTCGATGACGGGTCGGGGTTGGAAGCGGGCGAGATTGCCCCCGAGCCGGAGGTGTTGCCGCCCAAGCGCGAGCCGCCACGGTCCTCCACACCCCCTACCGTCATGGAGGCCAAGGCCCGGCCCCCGCCCACGACCCGTCCGCCTCCCGAAGCGCCGGCGGAGGCACCCCTAGAGGTGTCGGCGGAGGTACCCCCCGAAGCGCCGGCGGAGGCATACCCCGAGGTGCCGGCGGAGGCACACCCCGCTGCGACGGTTGACGATCACCGGCCCCAGCCTATCCCAGACTTTGCCCGATCAAGCGACGAAGAGGAGGAAGAGAACGTGGTGTTTACCCAAGACTACCTCGAGGAACGGCAGCGCATCTTCGAGAAGGACCTGACCGCGCTTCGAGCCGATTTGCCGCCGTCGCCGCTGACTGACCCGACAATTGTGAACCTGCTGTTGCGCATCCAGCTGCTGGGCATGATCGCCAACGAGACGTCCTCGCCCCGACCGCCCACGCCGGCTCCGGCTCCGGCTCCCGTCGAAGGGGGCGAGAAGCTGGACGGGAAGCCCCCGGTGCTCTCCCCGGATGCAAAGCCAGAAGCCCCGGCAGATGGTCTGGAAGTTCCGACCAAGATGGACCTGGACACCCTGCCCCCGGCCGATGCGGTCACCGTCGACCACCTCCCATTCCTCCATTCGGGCCCGCCCACTCCCTTGTCGGATCTGGACACCTACCACGCCAACAAAAATGCGAACGAGGCGCGGAAAGACGTCTTCCACTCGGAGATGATGAGGCGGCGCAAGGAGGTTGCCCGGAAGAACGCGGCGCTGCGTCAGGAGTATCTCAACTTCTACATCCCCTGGCGGTTGCAGATCTGGGACCTGGACCGTCAAAAGAACAAGCCCATCGTCTCTCCAGATCCCGCATCGCCCCCGGCGGGTGCCCTGGCTGTCACGCCCACGCCCGTTCCCGAAACCCGAGAAGGCCGCGAAGCCCGCGAGGGGCGACGATACAAGGGCAACAGCGAACTGGACTTCCAGAATGCCTTGCGTGCCTCCGAGATCTCGGCCCAGGAAGAGCTGGAACGGCGGCGCGGGAACAAGATCACGGCGCACCCGGATCTCGCGCGGGAAGCTGAGATTCCCGACATGCTGGAGTTGCCCGAGGCCCGCGCCCGCATCTACAAGGATACCAACAACATTGTCGATGCGTCCAAGGCCATGGAGGTCTTTGAGTTCTCCCCGCCGCCCGACGACTTTACCCCTGAGGAACACGAGGTCTTCACCGACGCCTTCATGGCGCATCCCAAGAAATGGGGCAAGATCGCCGAATCTCTGCCCGGGCGCGGTTACGCCCAGTGTATCGTGCACTATTATCTCACCAAAGAGGAGATCAAGTATAAGGCGAAACTCAACAAACGCTGGAGCCGACGAGGCCGCGCCCGGCGCTCCGCCCGTCCCAAGTCCAACGCTCTCATGGTGGATCTGGGCGTCGTCAAGCCCGACTACGTTGGCGAGGAAGAGCCCGCGCCCGTCACGGATACGGGCCGCCCACGGCGTGCTGCGGCACCCACGTTTGGCGACTCGTCCGCCGACCCCGATCATTCCAACGGTCGCCGGGGCAATTCCGGCAAGGATGGGGAAGCGCCCGAGAAACCGGCCGGTCGTCGCGGCGGTGCCCGTACGGGTGCCGGCACTCGTGGTGGTCGACGAGGCAAGGCTGCGCAGCAGCAGCAACTGCAACAACAGCTTCTGCAGCAAAAACAGCAGCAGCAGAAGACAGCGACACCGACTGCAGCCGAGCCGCCCGTCCCGCCCCTCCCGGTGGGTGTGGTGGCGTCCCCTGCGCCGCCGACCAAGGTCGAACCGGCCGGGGTTTCAATGGATGGCACCATCGAGACGACCGTTTTGCAATCCAGAGAGCCCGTGGAACGGGCACCAGCCGAAGCTCCCCCGCGCGTGAAATCGGGACGTGGTCGCCAGCGAGACTCGGCGTTCGTCCTCGAGTCCACCGAAACAGAGAGCCCAGGGGCCTCGGCGGGACGGCAGTCGGAGAGTGGGCATGGCTCTTTGCAGCCGACGAGCTACTGGTCGGTCCCTGAACAACGCGACTTTCCTACTCTGCTGGCCCATTTTGGTCGCAACTTCGAGGGTATCTCGAACTTTATGAAGACCAAGACGACAGTGATGGTCAGTACACGTTCCACCTTTTTCTTTTCTTTTTCTTTTTTTCTTTTTTTTGTCAATTCCGTGCATCGCTAACTCCCCATCAGGTCAAGAACTACTTCCAACGGCGCATCGACTCCGGCCAAAAAGACTTTGACGATATCGTTGCGGATACGGAGAGTAAGAAAGCTCGTGGTGAACGAACCGGCCCTCTTCCAACCCCTAATCCCGCCTCCAAACGCCGCTACGAAGCCACACCCTCCTCCATCGTGCCGCGACCTCTGGCACCGCACACGGAGGCTGCCCCCGAGACAGACGACGGCCGACTGGCGCCCAAGACTCAGGCGGTCGCTGCAACACAGCCCGTTCATTTGCACGCGCGCCCACCGACGGAGAAGGAACGCTCGGTATCCCGCTATCCACCGCTGGCTCAAGCCAGCAGTGCACCTATCGCCCCGGCACCGTGCTGACCGAAGACCCTGCGCGAGGGATGCGCCCGCAGGCGGCCATGTCGTCACGGATGCCCGGTCCACCCTTGGGTTACTTTACCGAGGATCGACGCGAGATCCCCGCGGTGCTGCCTCAGGCGACCCCACGATCTCAGGAGACGGCGTCCCTGGCCGCGCGACCAACGCAGGTTTCTGCCGCAGAGATGTCGCGAATGGAGCCGTTGCCTGCTCACGGATATCGCCCCGCCGACGTGCATGGGTCACCTCTCCTCGCTGGCCAATCCATCATTCAGTCATCGCAGCAACCCTATATGCAGTCCACCCTAATGCCGTCGGCCTCTCACTCGCGGCAGACCAGCCTCAGCAAGCCGCCGGGCTCGCCCGCGCCGCCACTGCAGCGATCGGAGGCGGACGTCTCGCCCATCCGCCGTGACTCGGTGAGTCAGAGACCGTTCTATGCCTACCCGGGCCAGCATCCTGCGATGGCACAGCCTCCGCCCGTTTTGTCACCGGCCACGGAAGTTCCGCGACCAGGCTCCACGCCTCTTGAGCCACTCGAGACGCCCCGCCACGTCCCGGCGAAACGGTCCAATATCATGAGCATTCTCAATGATGAGCCCGAGGAGCCACAGCCGCGTAAGCGGTTCGCCAGCGACCAGGCATCGGTGCCGGGCGGAGGTGCGGTGTCTCCGTCGCGACCAGTGTATTCCGGGGCACCGTCCTACTCGCAGCAGCCACCCGCGCGACTGGAAGAACAGAAACCCCCACTGTACAGCCAACCTAGTTCGTATGCCCAGCCACCGCGCGGCTACTCGGAGTATTCGTCGTACGCGCCCATGTCGGGCGGCTCGGCGCCGACAGGCAACGACTGGATGGCTCGATTCGATCCCCGCGGCCAGCAACCGACGCCCCAGCAAGCGCCTCCGCCGCAACCTAGCACTCGGCCCCCTGCTTCCATGGCCCCGCAACCGCCCTTTTCTCCCTTCACGTCGGCTCAATCGCTATCCGGGCCGTCGCTTTCGACCCTGACGGCGCCGTCTCCCGCCCCGACCCCTTCGCCGGCACCCTCCCAACGGCCCTACGCCGGATCCGTCTACACTGCATCGCCCGCACCACACCCTGCGTCGGTGTCGCGCGAGCTTCCGCCGCAGAGTGCGATGTACCGACCTAGTATCGGATCGCCGACCATGCGGAATACGGGCATCCCGTACGGGTCTCGCGCGGGGCCACCCACCCCCATCCAGTCTCCGTCCAGCCTTCTCGGGGTGGGTCCCCGTCAGGCCTCGGCGACCACGTACGGCTCGCCGGTTCCGGCCCATGTGCAAGGCCCGCCCACCCCAGTTGGCCATCAATCTTACCAGCAGCACGTCCAGACTATGGTCTCGGGGGCGCATCAGCCACCGGCGCATCGGACTCCGCTTGGGTTCAGCGGGGGCCCGTACGGTCGTAGCACGCCGCCGCCCCCACCTCCCTCACAGCCCTCACAGACCTCGCGGGGTCCCGTCCTAGCGGGCGGTCCACCTCCAGGAATGACCATGGCCCGGCCATACAGCCCGCCCACGATCCTGCAGCCCAGCCCCGCCGCGGGTCTTAGCTATGCTGCCGGTGGACCTCCGCCGCCAGTCGGGGCCGTGCACCCGTACCAGACCCGTCCGGGGACCTTGGCCGAAGTGGTACACACACCGGGCCACCACCGCGGCTACAGTCAAGGGTCAAACGTGGGACTGCCAGGATCAGGCACGCCCCAGCATCCACCCCGTTAATTCCCCCCTCTCCCCCCATCATGTGATTGATTGAATACCTTGCATGTCTGTCTATATCATTTGTCAGTGTATTGTAGACTCTTATTTTCATTCTCCTTTGCATGTGCTTTCGTCCCTCCTTTGTTTAGCTGGATGTCGGATGTATGTACAATAAATGAGGAATGGATTAGTGGCGTGTTGTGGATGAGATATCATCCGCGGCACGACCACCATACACGAGTTACCAACCATTAATATCGTAAGATTAGTTTACTCGTAGTTTGATATGTCCCAGCTGGTGGGTCAACTGGTTTCTTGAAGCGTTGTTACTTTTGCTAGAATCAATTAGGTATGTAAAGCTGGCCCGTCTTACCCGGTGTCACGACGGCCTTCAAATGATGTTGTGAGATATGCACTCAGCAAACGTCACCCCACGAACTGTGGTTTTAATTCTTGCAATCTTGTAACCGTTCATGACTTTCCCACGGTCTTTAAGAGTTGTCAAAATGTCGAATAGTTTTGGACTATTTCATTGGTCTTCCCACAGTTGGCACAAATATAATGACTATTTATATATATATATGGACCAGAGATAATACCTCCCATATATATCCTTCGGTATTCTCGATGGATCAGTTAGAGGGACACGGTATGAGAGTCTATAGTCTGTGTCAGCCTTCACGGCTATATCTTTTCGTCGGTTGAATATGTATTTGATGGGTGGAACTATGGACTCGGGGGTGGGGTCTCATTTCACTAGGTCCATCAAATCTTCGCTGATGGTAGCTTGTATCCGGGCTTCTTGTACCTAGGCTGGGACTCGCATACTGTCCAGTGTCCCGACCAGTTGGGAAACCAACCGACGTATTGCTCCTAGTAAAGTCCTTCGTATAAGAAAAATGATATCTTCGATAAAACTGACAACTCTATACAAGGTAAACTGCCGGCGGTTCCACCCGTTGGCGGCCGTCCGTATAAATGAGGTAGTCCCAAGGACCGCGATATAAACATGGCCACGCAGGCATAGATAGGAAAAATCAACGATCTACTCCCCCGGACAATTCCCACGGTTCAAATCAAATATGTGGAATATAAACATCCAGATCAAAAGGGCGAATCAGCGGGAAGACCAGTGTCACCCTCGCAAGGCACAGCACAGCTAGACAAGTCATCAACACCAGGCTCTATCATACGGCCGAAAGGGAAGAAAACTCACGTATATCCAAAGACCATACCACCCTTCTTGAATTGATCCTTGACACCGCCGGAGCACAGTCCTTCACCGTACTCCTTATCCACATCCCCGGACATGGATTCCCAAGTGTTCAGAATGATCTCACGATCATCCCGATAAAAGGTAATCTGAGGATTGCAGATGCCCTCGCCCTGACAACCTTCCGCTCCTTCAATATCCTCATTGACCTCGTCCTTGTCTTTGGCGGTAAAGACAATGCTATACTTACCAATACCACTTTCATAACATGTTAGCTCGGGGAACTAGTTGCCTCGCGGATAGGAAACTCACGGGTCAGTGAAGTATTGTTTTCCGGAAATCTTCTTCTCGTCATCCCACCAGCACACATTCCAGTCTCCATCATGCTCTGTAGGCTCTCTGTCTTTCCCAGTGCTCTCACCAGGGGTTGTGTTCACGTTGCAATTTCCCTGGTCCCTTGTCAGTCTCAGTCCACCCAAGTCTCTTTGTGCCCGGATATCTACTCACCCCACCTTGGGTAGAGATGTACATCAGACAATTCCCGGACTCCATCTCCTACACAACGGTCAGCAGCTGATCAATAGATGGGTACCTTCAACCCAGGATCTCCCTCCACCAGTAACATACATAAGGGCGGGCCTTTCCGTAACCCAGATGGTCCAACCGACCCTCGGTCCTTTCGCCGGCCTTGGTACCCCGAAGAAACTTCACGAACATTCCCCCCGCACGTATGAGGTTTCTCTTCTCTAATCCATTTTCTTCAAAAGTGGCATTATTAGGAGGAACGGCTAATGCGGACGACGTCGCCGTCAAGCAGAGCAGCGGTACGAGGAAGTTCTTCATCGCGATGGGCACGAAAACGGATCAGGTGATAGTCGATATAAGTCTTGTTTTGAGGATCGGATGGTTTGCTGGCAACTGAAGGAGCTGGTTTACTTCTCTTCTTCTTCCACTGGAAGGGCCAGCAGCTACCCTTTTATAGCCCATTCCAGGGCCTTGAGCCATTTGGATCGGCACAAGATTGTAGCACAGCCTGCGCCCGCAATCTGTTTTCTTCCAACACCCCATCCACGAGAACTGCCTTGACTGAGCTTCCCTCGGGGATACAGAATTGCTGTTACGGAATGCCATGCTCAGATGGAGAGTCATGTCAGCCTCAGGGAAGCTTGGCACGGGGGCCAAAATATGGCGTCTCCTATGGCCTTCTGCCATCCCGCCATGCACCCGTCGCAGCTAGCTGCTTTCATATAAGCTCACCAGCCTTGCGCGCTTGGCGTTCGCAGGAGTGCCTTCCTCCCAAGGGACCACTGTCCCCATTCGGCTAAGTCTCGTCTTTCTACTCCGTATGGGGGCGGAAAACGTCGAGTGCACTGCCTGGGGCTGAAGGGTAAGCGCCCCCACTATCCTGTCATCACCGGATATTGCGTAGATCGACACCGTACATACATAGCATATACTATGCACAATGCTTGGTCCAGGCAGCCTTGTTGCTGATCTCCTTGGCCTAGTGGTGTCGAGAACCGAGAATATCAAAGAGACCGGCTCAAACCGCATAATCTATGCCAGTCACGAGACGTGCACTGTTCACCCTTGTTTTTATACAGAAAATGGTAACTCGCGGGTTGAGCCCAGGCCGAGGGTTTCCATTTTCTGTATAACTAATCCGCACCCGTGCTCACTGTCGATCAATTACCTTGATATCTCTGTCGAGCCGCTAAAGGTCTTGTCTGGTTCTACGACTGCCTGCAACCTGAGGATGAATGGGTGGGCAATGGGAAAAGATCCGAGCATGTTAATAATCCAGATGTATGGCATCCCACGTCTACCGGGGAACGGACTGCGTGCTGGTATCCCTGATAAAATGGTTGTCTGACGGCCATCTCATGGCGCCATCTGGACGCCACGTCCTTCCTGCATCGGGTTCGGTCGGTCGCACAGCAGATGGACAATGAAGGATCCCCACTTATTACCACGGAACTATGCGACGGAAGCCAGATCAAGGCAGCCCACATACCCAGCATGTATACGCAAGGGGTAAACTCGCATTGACTCCGACAGCGAGCCGTGAACGCGAATCTGACTGCCGCCCATGACGGCCCGCATGATATGGCTGCCCTCTTCTCAGCGACCATCATGACGCCGTTTTCAGGGCACACGCCATCGTGATGTCATGCAATCACAACCAGGTTGTCTTACTCGTGAAAGCCAATTGTCATCGCTAGTGCCATTGCGTCATAACGCCCCTCGGCCCTCGGATTACTCTTTCGAGTCATCCGATAAGCGCCACGGCCAATCACTCGGTCGAGGTACATGTTCCCTGGACTGGGTCAGGGGAGTTACAGGAAAGACAACATAACTGCCCTCTCTGCTAGACGCAAGGATGGTCGCCACTCGCCGACTCTGCGGACTGGCCGACGGCCCGTCCTGACAAGTGGCCCGTCTGGGATCCCGGGGAGCCCGTTTGACTGTCATCCACACGATTTGCCCCATGCGAGGAGGCCAACGTGGAATGAGGTAGTGATGGGCCTGGGGAAGGTTCTCTCCTACCCCATTGGAGAAGGGATCCGCAAGTCATACCCAGTCGTGAGATCTACACCCGAGGCCAGCGATCTGATGGGGGAGTCGAGAAACGCCATGACGTCGAAAAACCTGGGGTTTCTGAACGCGGATCGACGATGGGGTGACCGCACCGACCAGATATAAAGCTTGGATGATTGGTGCCTGATATCTTTTCTACCTTTGACCATATTTTTATACCTGTGCTACTGTCGCCCTTTCCGTGGCCCAGTTCGACTCATATCTTGTGGCCTCACTATACAATCTTTATTTAATTTGATTTTACGATTGTCGTCTCCCACCCCACTCGTCCAAGGTGGTCGGATGCATCGTGCCACCATGATACCCGACGAAATCACCAATTCGCCCACGCCGACCGAGGGCCTGAAGAAAGAAAAGGACCAACCCCACCCCACGAGTCCTACGCAAATTCCTAAGAACACCCACGCCGAAGATGCAGCGCAGTCGGATGGCGACAGCGAACCGCACGGCAAGTATACGGCCGACGGCAAACGGGAGCTGACCGAAGACGAATGCTACGAAAAGCTGGGGTTCTGCTTCCCGTGGTACAAGAAATGGGCCATCTTGACTGTAATCTTCACGGTGCAGATGTCCATGAACTTCAACTCCAGCGTGTATGCGAACGCGGTGACGCCGCTGTCCGAACACTTCCATATCAGCGAACAGGCGGCCCGTGTGGGACAGATGATCTTCCTCGTCTCGTACGCCTTTGGCTGCGAGCTGTGGGCACCGTGGAGCGAGGAATTCGGGCGCTGGCCGATCATGCAGCTGAGCCTGTTCCTGGTCAACATCTGGCAAATTCCCTGCGCGCTGGCGCCTAATTTCGGTACTATCGTCGTCTGCCGGTTCCTGGGCGGTCTCAGCTCCGCCGGCGGCTCGGTCACGCTGGGGATGACGGCGGATATGTGGGAAGCTGATGATCAGGGGTTCGCGGTGGCGTATGTGGTCCTGTCGTCGGTCGGCGGCACCACCATCGGGCCCATCTTCGGCGGGCTGATCCAACAGTGGCTCCCGTGGCAGTGGAATTTCTGGATCCAGCTGATCTTCGGCGGGGTCACGCAGCTGATGCACTTCTTCTTCGTGTCGGAGACGCGGTCCACCATCTTGATCGACCGCGAGGCGAAGCGCCGCCGGAAGACCGGCGAGGACCCCCACTGCTACGGCCCCAACGAGATGCGCACGCCGCGCCTCGACGCCAAGGATGTCTTGCACGTGTGGCGCCGTCCCTTTGAGATGTTCGTACGCGAGCCCATCGTGCTGTTCCTGTCCCTGCTCTCCGGCTTTTCCGACGCCTTGATCTTCACCTGCATCGAATCGTTCAACCTGGTCTTCAAGCAGTGGGGCTTCCAACCCTGGCAGATCGGCATGTGCTTTGTTTCCATTATCATAGGATACGTGGTAGCGTACGGCATCTTCCTGCCGGACATCTGGCGGCAGCGTCAGGTGCGGCAGAAGCACGGCAAGGACGCACGCTTTCCGGAGCGCCGCCTGCTACTCCTATTGTTCATTGCGCCGCTGGAGACGGTCGGCCTGTTCGGGTTCGCCTGGACGTCCATGGGCCCGGACTATACTCACTACATTGTTCCGTTGGTGTTTGCGTTCCTGATCGCCATCGCTAACTATGGCATCTACATGGCCACGATCGACTACATGGTGGCCGCCTACGGGCCGTACTCGGCCTCAGCCACGGGTGGTAACGGGTTCGCTCGCGACCTGCTCGCCGGGCTGTCGGCCATGTACGCGACACCGATGTACAGCAACATTGGCGCCAACACGCGGTTCCACCTGCAGTGGGCGAGCACCATCTTGGGGTGTCTGGCTATCATCGTGACGATCCCCATCTACGTCTTCTACTGGAAGGGGCCTGAGATCCGGTCGCGGAGCAAGTTCGCGCAGACCCTGGCGGCCGACCGGCGAAAGAGCGAAGGACGGCGGGCGAGTCGACTGGCAGGGGACGAGAAGCCGTATGGTGTGTAGAAGAGTGTTATCTGGATCGACTGTAAATAGTATCACGATTAACGGCATTATGTATTTACGATGTATTCTATATATTTTATATTCTATTTCAGATCATTTTATTTCTATTTATCCATTACTCTATCCATTTATTTATTTTTATTTGCTGTATCGCCCTGCATTCCGCGCGGAAGGACATTCCGAACCACCGCGTCTTGACGGACGGAAATCCTCGGCGACGGCGCATCCCCCGCATCCACTATTGATCTGCTGCGTCTTCTCCGCACTCGTCGTGGCACCAGCCGTCTTTTTCAATTCTTCCCCGCCATTTCAGTTAGTTCCACGGAGTGCAGTCTGCTTTCTTTGGGAATAAGCTCGGAAATGTCCCGTGGGCGGATGTCGCTGACGGCCTGAATAGCATGACGTTGCGCTGCCTATAAATCCCACCAACCGCACCATCCAGCTCTGACGTGAACCTTCTCCGACCAGGGTCTGTGTTTAATTCTCTTTGCATTTCTGTCATCTCACGATGGCTATACAAACGGTCGCGATCGCCGCTATCGCGGTGGTCTACTTTATCATCCGCTATTTCAACCGCACCGACGTGCCCAAGATCAAAGGCCTCCCCGAAATCCCCGGCGTGCCCATCTTCGGGAATCTATTACAGCTCGGCGACAAACATGCGACGGTAGCTGGCGCGTGGGCGAAGAAATTTGGCCCCGTCTTCCAGGTGCGCATGGGCAACAAGCGCGTGGTCTTCGCAAACAGCTTCGACTCGGTGCGCCAGCTCTGGATCAAGGACCAGTCCGCCCTCATCTCCCGCCCTACATTCCACACCTTCCACAGCGTCGTGTCCAGCTCGCAGGGTTTCACCATCGGTACTTCCCCCTGGGACGAGTCGTGCAAGCGCCGTCGCAAGGCCGCCGCCACCGCGCTGAACCGCCCCGCCGTGCAGTCGTACATGCCCATCATCGACCTCGAGGCCACGGCCAGTATCAAAGAATTGTTCAAGGATAGCCAGGGCGGAACAGTGGACGTCAATCCCACGGCGTACTTCCAGCGGTTTGCGCTCAACACCAGTCTGACGCTCAACTATGGGTTCCGCATCGAGGGCAACGTCGACGACAAGCTGCTCAAGGAGATCTGCGACGTCGAGCGTGGCGTGTCCAACTTCCGCTCGACGAGCAACAACTGGCAGGACTATATCCCGCTGCTGCGCATCTTCCCCAAGATGAACAACGAGGCGCAGGAGTTCCGTGAACGTCGCGACAAGTACCTGACTTATCTGCTAAGTATCCTCAAGGAGCGCATGGCCAGCGGCACGGATAAGCCCTGCATCACGGGCAATATTCTCAAGGACCCTGAAGCGAAGCTGAATGAAGGTAACTACCCTTTCCATCGGATCTTCCTACTCTCCAACCCTCAATGCTAATATCTCCCCAGCCGAAGTCAAATCGATCTGTCTGACCATGGTGTCCGCCGGCCTGGACACCGTCCCTGGAAACCTCATCATGGGCATCGCCTATCTCGCCTCCGAAGACGGCCAGCGCATTCAACAAAAAGCATACGACGAGATCATGGCCGTGTACCCCGACGGCGACGCCTGGGAGCGCTGCCTGGTCGAGGAGAAGGTCCCGTACATCACCGCTCTGGTCAAGGAGATTCTGCGATTCTGGACTGTCATTCCCATCTGTCTGCCGCGGGAGAGCACTAAGGATATCAAGTACGAGGGGGCTACCATTCCTGCTGGAACGACCTTTTTCATGGTGCGTCTCTCTTACCTTCTTTCCCATATTGCTGTTTTCTTCCAGCTTACTAACTGGCAATATAGAACGCCTGGGCAGCCGACTACGACGAAGACCACTTCAAAATGGCCGACCGCTTCATCCCCGAGCGCTACCTCGAGGTCGGCGAAGGCTCCGGCACCCCCCACTACGGCTACGGCGCCGGCTCGCGCATGTGCGCCGGTTCTCACCTCGCCAACCGCGAGCTCTTCACGGCGTTCGTCCGGCTCATCACGGCCTTTACGATGCATCCTGCGCGTGATCCGGCTGATGCGCCTATCCTCAACGCTATTGACTGCAATGCTATCGCCACGGCGCTGACGACGGAGCCCAAGCCGTTTAAGGTGGGCTTTAAGCCGAGGGATGAGGTCGCGTTGCGGAGGTGGATTGAGGAGAGTGATGAGCGGACGAAGGAGTTATAATCTTTCTTTCTTTTTATTCTTTATGATACTTTGAGGATCAACGTGTGGAATGATATAATATTGATTGACTAGGATAGGATATGATCATCACGTCGTATTTTGCGAGTGATTCAAATGGAATGTACTGTGTATACTACGCTGCAATGGGATGAGCGAAATCTCCAAACATATTATGTCTAGCCACTATTGAGCTCATCACGGGTTTACCCTATCTTACCACAGCCCTTTGAAAACGATCAAGTAAAAAGAGGCCGTATCTCCTGCTCCCAGTCGAAATTCTCGAACAATGTCTCAAAATCTATGTCTGTATCCCCGGATAAACCACCGTCGACTGCCCTGGTTTCATCAGAAGGTTGTCCTGACACAGCGCCTGCGCATGCCGACAGGACAGAATCGAGAACCCGTCGAATATATGCGAGGCCTTTCATACAGGTATCGTAATCACCTTCCCTACTGGGGAAGAAGGTTTCGATCTGTGCTGCAAAAACACTGAGATTTTGGATAATCTTGGATCGGGGAAAGGATGTCCCGCTTGTTGCTTGGTTTGCGGATGACTGTGAGCGGCGGAGCAATTCCTTCGACAAGACGGCAGCGGCTGGAAGACCGATATAGGAGAACTAATACTGTTAGACGAGAATTTCTAAAGCATCGAAACTAGATGATTTGATACGTACATCGAATATGGTGAGATGACTCACAGGTCCTGCTCGGGATTGCTTCGAGACCAAATCTAGAAGGCCCGCGAGGATATCCTGGGATGTATCAATTAAGGGGTCCGGGATCTGTCCAGTCTTTCTTGCGACTGTCTGGTAGAGGAGAAGGTCTTGATAGAGAAATTCGAGACGAAGCGACGCTGCTAATGGATGTGTGTTACTAGGCGACCAGCGGAGGAAAGGAGGAAGTCTGAGTCGGATCTGATTCGACTCGTGGCGGATCTTTCTGCGCCCACAATATCAAATTAGCAAAAACACAGAAGTATACGTTTGAAGGCACGAACTCCACCCTGTCCCACAAGTTATCCACATCCCGGCTGAGCGACAGTTCCAGGATCATCTCCCGGAGAATGCTGGCCAGCAGGGTGAGTCGGGGTCTCGCTCCTTTGTCCGGGTCTCCCTGCACATTCCAACCATCTGGATTGAGTTGCTGGATTGCGGCCTCCCGAATGGAGGCCTCTGCCACCAGGTCATCCCAGCTAATATCCAGAGGAAACCGTAGATCACAGTATTGCCGGCAAATGCGAGGAGGCCGACCCAGAAAGGTAGCCAGCTCCTTGTCCATCGAGTATGCAGCTACCATGGTTCGGCTGCGGATTTCAGACAAGAAGAAGGGAGTGCGCTCATCCACCGTTCGCTGGTGAAGGCCAAGGGCAAATACCAGGGAAACTACTTCGCCTTGTCTCTGCCATGTTCTGTAATCTTAGACAAGGTCAGATCTCCATCCCATAGGCGGACGGAACACTGACCATTGGACCCGTGCATGTCGATTATGAAAACGGTGTGTTGAACGGCTGCCCAGCACAGGGGATCACTGATTACACCGACCTTATTGCAGAATTGCAAGCACATATCGCTGACTGCGACGGCGATCTTTCGCAACCCATGCCGATCTTTCCCCGGGATCCCGTCACGCGTGAGGACCGCTTCGCCTGGTGAAATCCGATACGTTGCGGTACCTACCAAGGCAAAGATTAACCCGATGGTTTCCCATCTCGGAGTCGTCTGTGCAACATATTCGGACAATGTCATAGCAGGATCCGTTTCGATCGTGGCTACGGTGTTGCGGAAAACCAGTCTCGACCCTTCTAGAAGACGGGCATGTCGATTATTAGCACTGGAATCTTGCACCACACCGTGGTATAGCATCCGCAATCCGAGTAGAGCTTCTCGGATCAGTTGTGGGCCAAAGATCCACCCCTCAAACAGGTTGAACCGCTTTTCAAGCAACTCTGCGTAGAAGGGAAGGTGGTCTAACAGCGACAGGATCTGTGCTCCGATTTCCACCATTGTTGAATCAACTGCCTCCGTGTTGATGTCAGCGAGAAGACTCAGCTGCGACCCACCATCCGATGCATCATCACCGAAGACCGTTGCATGGCTCGTGGGGCCCAAAAACCCCAGTGGGGAGAACGATTCATCCCGATTCCCGGTTGGCTTCGGTTCGAATCTACGAGCAGGGACGGAGGGCGATTTGTCTACCCAGTCGAACGGTTCCCTATTCGGGGAGACATCATCATCATCAGGGTAAGATTCTCTCTGGTTTTGATTGCTACGGACCAAGGTTCTCTTCGGTCGGCCTTTGGTGAGAGGGCACGGGTGATAGGTGCATTGCTGTGTTCGACGGCTTGTTACACACCGCTGACAGACTGGAAGAGTGTGATCGCATCGGAGCTTGGATTTGCGGCATGGCTCGCATGATGAAAGTAGGCCATTCCGTCGAGGAGCTGACATGATCTGTGGGGTAGCAATATCCTAGTAGGGGGGATGATCTTGGTGATCAAGGAGGAGGAGGGGTCGTAGTGTAAAGAAGTGATCAGACAGGGGTCTGTTCAGCGCTATGACTATTTCGCCCAAATGGCTGCCGCTAGCCAATGTTAATGCTTCTGGTGGATTTCGCTAAACAAACACTGGTCGTCGTGGTAGTAGTATCAGAACTGATAGATGTACTGATATCTTGAAAGTCTCTCGGGTATTTACCAGGAGTCCCGTGACCTTCTATATGGAACTTGCGCTTACTATACAATCAAAAGTTATATATAGAAGACCACCTTAGAAGATGCCTAGAGTTGAACCTGGTATGATGTCGTACCTCAATAGGGTTATCCTACCCCGGCTACTTATTCTCCTACTTAGTGATCACTCAACTATCATCGCCGGGTGCTTAGTACTAAGTTAGGGAGGAGGCGTCGGAGCTGTCTGTAGAAAAGCACGTACACATACGGATCATATGTGAGAATCAAGGCAGTGAGCTATATGCTACGATTTTGCTCGAACAAGAGATACAATATACTATCTTGTACACTGAATCAAGAGAAATGCCAACATTCGTAATAATTGTTATTTTATCATAATGAAGAGACCTTGAATGTTAAGATTAGACGGTTCTGATAAAAAATAGAATAAGACACAGGAAAGAATAAGAGATGAAAAAAAGAAATAAGAAAGAAGACCGGAAAATATCAGAGATAGAATAAGAGATAGAACAAGCATACTGGATACTCAATCAGGTTGTTCATTAGATGTTGGGATATCAGTCACATCAAGCCTGACTACGATGCCATTCGGTATTTTGGTGCAGCGGCGGAGAGACAATAGAACGAACGGATTGAAGACTACAATCTACTTCTTCAATTGAAATTGCCCCGTCGCACTGACAAGAAAATCCTCACCACTTCTCTGCCACGGCCAGTCAAGCGGCGGCCCTTGCCGCTTAGAAAAATCATACCTCTTCCTCACTTGCCGGCAATGGAGAAAGTGCCCCGGCAGGTCCGTCGCCCTAAATGCACGGTCATAGGCCACCTTCACCGACGGCTGCTTTTTCCACGACGCCGCTGGAAATATCGGCCACTTAAGGGAGAACTTATCTTCCGCCACCTTCTCCTCCCAGTGGTAGGTGCAGGCGCGGCAGTACGTGCCCGGCTCGAGGGTCTGCGTCTCGCAATCCCAGTAAGGAAACGCCGTTGCGCCGCAGTGCCGCCAAAAGTCGGCGTCACCGTTGTGGGCCGGGTGCGGCGGGATGCCCCGGCGACGAACGGGCTTAGTGCGACGTCCCTGCCGGAGATCACCCCGTCGCTGGCGGTAGGCGTCGTCTGCGGCCGTCGAACGCTCCTTGGCTAGCTGCTTCATAGTCTCCAGACTGCCGTGCTTGCGGAGGCCCAGTTTCTGCGCCTGGGCCACGTCCACGAACTTGTGTCTTTGGGTTCCCTCCCCCGGGAATTCCTCCTCCGAGATGTTGTGTATCACCGGCAGTGATTTGATCTGGTGGCGGGAGATGCCGAAATGGAACATCACTTGCCGCACAGGGGCGACTCGATAGTCGGGGCTAAAGAGGCAGCACTGGAAGCAGAGACGGGTCACCGTGGGAAGGTAGAGATATGGTCCGAACTCTCCACAGGAGCGGCACCAGGGCTGGCAGAACTCAGTGAACAGCCAGTGGATGGGGAAGAAAGACGCGCACTTAGTAGCATGCATGACCCGCAAGGCATCCGGAGCGTGTTGTCGCAGCAACTGATATACCGGAAAGGATTCGACGAGGTGCCTTGTCGCAAGGTTGACTCGGCGTACCTGTCCCAAACTGGGCACGTCGAGCTCGAGGAAGATCTGATGGATGAGCTCAAGTGGGAGTTGGCTGGCGAGCGACGGCACGAGTAGTTTGCCTGACATTCTTTTGATGGGTGGGGCCTTGTACAAGTTGACGACTGGCCTTGATTTATGGGTAGTTGGATATAGATGGAGAAAATCCATCCCGGGGTGGTCCCAGCGATATGCTGTTCCTGAAGACATGGTCTTGTATGGAATGCGATGGTCTTTGATAGAACATATATGGTGGAGTCAGTATAAATCAAGTGGTATGCACTCTACCTTCCCATCATACCAACATCGTTGTTTCATTTCTGTCGTCATTGATGGTCATCCGCCGTACATCCACGGGTATCGAAATTGATATCCGGAACAACACCTGACACGAGATACTACAATAATCTTCTATAAACCCTAATGCTCAGGTTTACATTGGGCCGGAGATAAAGAGGGGTTAGATCCCTAGCACCTAAACTTAGTAGATACTAGAACAAGGCTGCAGATGGACATCATCATGACATATCTGGGATATAGTACTCGTCAATACTATAGATTAACCTCAGCCACAGCACCGATGTAACAGATTAGTATCAAATTTAGGCTTGACATGACTGATATCTCGATATATAACATGGATAATGTACTAGACATCATTGATAGTATACTTTAGGAACAAATATATAGTCCTATCTTACGCTCACGTCATTGCTTCATCATTCGCCAACTCGTCATTTGACTCATGGGCAGTGTTAAGGGTATTGACCTCCTCCCATGTGCCGCCAGGGCGATCATATACCCTGAGGGTCCGATGTCCCACCAGGTGGTTGTAGCAATAGGCCGGGACCCGCATCTCCTGCCTAGACTGCAATGGATCGCGACATGATTTGGTGCCGCTGCCGGGGATCCCGCAGTGTGTACATCAATACTAGTACCTGATCCGGAACCAGAAACACCTGCCATCGATCAATACAAAACTCTGAATCTCCCCGAATATGATTCCCTATATTGGGACAGAGAGGACGATATTTAGAGTCCTAGCACACAACTTTTAGTACGTACTAGGTGCTGGACCGGGGCTGTAGATGGACATGACATACCTGGAATCTGATAGTTTGGTCCTTATCATGCATTGATCAGCCACTGTCCTAGAATACCGAACGCTATTTGATCGGGCTTGATATGCCAGATATTCGACGTTTAAGGTGGAGAAATTGCTGTAGATGTCATTAATTGGAGTGTATAATTTTCCCTCCATTCGTCATTATCCGTCATTGACCTTCATCCAAATCCTCCTTTGGGCCATCACGCCGACAGTATACCGTCCTCGCCTCACGTCCCACCAGGTGGGAGTAGCAGTATCCAGGCATTCTGACTTGGTGTCTAGGCCCCAAAGGATCGCACCGTGAGTTGGTGCTTCGGCGGGGGTCACATTGCCGAAATGCCCCGCGGTGGGAGCAACCACACCGGTACGTGATTTCGTACCAGAAACACCTGCCATAAATTACTACAAAATCTCTCTATTAGTTCGTATATTCCGGCTCACATGGGGACAGAGAGAAACAGTGGTTGCAGTACTAGCTCACACCCGTTAGTAGGTGCTAAACCGGACCTGCAGATGGACATGACATACCTGAGTACTATAGTATTGATCAATATCATCCGCAGTACCAAAACAGCGAATAGTATCTGGCGATATTCAAAATGTAGTATGTGTCATCAATTGTATATGTTTCGTGATAGTAATATAGCCTCCCATCTCGTCCACTTGTCATCGACCGTCATTGATTTCCATCTAAGCTCGCCCATTGGGCATCAGGTCAGCCAAACATCATCGTGGCTTTACGTACCACCAGGTGGGAAAAGCAATATGTTGAATCTCACCTCGGCCATGCAGCGAATTGCACCGGGTATATTTCTCCCAGCGGGGGTCGCATTGGCGGTATGCCCCTCGTTGTTTGCACCCCCACCGGTATCTGGTTTGAAACCAGGAACACCCGCCATGAAGTACTATAACAACTCTTTATCAACTCTCATATTTTGGATCACATTTGGGGGGGAGGGTGGTGACTGTGGTACTAGGACAAAACCGTTAGTTGGTGCTAAATTGGAGCTGCAGGTAGACATGACCTACGTGCTTTTTGTTGGTGAATTGCGCTGATTGCTTTTTGTTCCAGACAATTTGCCCGGGTAAAGGCATGTCCCAACCCCCGATATATGTGACTTGGACGTGTCTGAGTGGAAATTTCTTTCCGTGTATGGGGTATGAGGCTGATTGGTTTACTCCTAGCATATAAGTTTGGCAGCGGACGGAGTTTTGAGCCTGATATATGGGATTATTGTGTCGGCTACGTGGATTGGCAGGAACATCCCAGGTAGATTCCTGCCTTCATGCACAATGCGCCTTCCGTAGGAGGACTGATGACAACGGTCAAAATATAGATAAATTTCATAATTATCAATACAATGAAAAAGTTGCGAATAGTTGCTAGGAACATGAAGAGTCAAAAGATAGTCTACATGGAAAAAGAGTGCAAGTCAGCTGAGGTTGGCCGACATTATGTTCCCTTTTTCACATTTCATAGCCAGACAATGCAGTGAATTCAACCTTCACTTTCCGACCTATACACCAGTCACCTTGGAAGCTTCTACAAATCTACAAACTCACGTTTGGCACATTCACTCCTCATCCCACGCCATACTTCCCACCCCTAGTCTTGCAATGAACAAATCCTCTGGATCCCACGTCTGCTGAATCCTCAGCAAGCGTCCATATTTCTCCCCATATCAGTACATTCTCTGGAAGCCGTCCTGTAAGAACGCACTCACGTTCCATGTCCAATAGCTGTACGAGCTTGCTCTCGGAGTGCAGCTAACGGGGGCTTGGATGATCTTGGGACTGCGGTCCAGCGTCTGTCAGCCGCTCGCTGAGTCGCTGATTCTTGCTATGAGCTTGTCACGGGAATATGCTTGTAAGTGGGGACTATGGGCACGAGGGTAGCCGGTATGGAATGGTTTATTTCCGATCAGAGACGAGTACGGGCCTTGCTGAGTGTTAGGACTAACCTGTGGTACTAAGTCTGCTCACCGCACTACTGTAAAATGGAATATAGACTGTGAATATGTGACTGATACAGGTGAAATACTTATAGACATTCTGCGAAGAATATTTCCCCCAAATTCCCCAACAATCACCCCAACGGCTCATCTGATGCTTCAACTCCACGCACAAATTACATTCGTAATAGACATAAGAGAGCATGTCCCGTTAACTGATATTGAGCCGAGTCTCACCAAGCACCAAACAAAAGCGCAAGCCAACTCACGACCCATTCACACCGCATCCTCCCAAAATCGGATCATCATCCTTATCCAGACACTCATTATGAGGGTCCAAATTCGTACACCTATGGCGGGAGCAGAATTTCGTCTCCCCCTTCTCGTTCCAGTTTCCAACCTTGAGATAGCACCAGTTCTGCTTCTCCCCGTCCTTGACTTTTAACCCTGAAGGGATTCCATGCCGGTAATCGGACGACGGGTAGCACGTTGTTCGGCACATTCGGTTCCAGCATTCGACGGAATTTCCCTCTGTTGATGGTTAGATCTTACTTTGTCCTTTTCGATTCAGACGTATAGATACAGGGAGACTTACGTGGTTCCACGGCCGCCGACACGAGGGGTCCGGTGGCGAGGAGGAGGAATCCGAGGCCGAGAGTGGTTTTCATTTTGACGAAAGTTATTGACTGTGGTAAGATAGAAAGACCAAAGAATTTGCACAGCTAAACGAGGATGCTTATGCTTATGCCCAAAGACCGACGAAGCAGGGACGAGGCGAGCACTTTTATGCTGCCTTCAACCACGACGGTATAGTAGTGCAACAGACTGGATAACAACCCCAGACACTAGGCGGTGCTTCGAAGTGTAACCTATTCCGCTCTCTTTGTTTATAGACATGGGATCCCCTCGCTCGCTCCTTTGTTTGGATTCCACCAGGGCATGGATTGACCGGAAAGGGGCAATGGTTAGGGCCCGAGGGGTCACGTGTGTTGATTGTTCTTTGCTTTGGGAAGTATCTTCCATTTCCCTGCTCAATTGGACAATATCAGGCTGGACAATACGAAGGGTCTTACTGAATACTAACAAGGGCCATTCGGGTGTTGGGCGTCTTACCCTGCTAGGTGCATGAGCCGGTTCTTTGTCTGGAGCATAGACACCACGCTGTATGACGCATCCAGGTTGATGGTTGGCGTAATGGGCATTGCTAGTAAGAATTCTACAACGAAACCTAAAGTGTCTTTGATTGTTTACTAAGATGTGTGTAGGATGAAGATTGTTGAGTGTTGGGAGGACATATGGCATATTGATCCGTAATATATCGATGGAAGTTGGATAGAATGGGCTTACTGGTTCATGAGATAGCCCCGGTATTAGTATTCCAACCAGTCTGAAAGGCACATCAGAGTCCGATAATTTCAAATTCACCGTTCTTGATTGGAAATACAACTTCAGGAAGTAAGATACCTATACACATCAGTGTTGACACATACAATCTCAAGTAACCCACCTATTCACCTATTCGTCAGAAAAGCTTCACCCACGGACAGTACGACCAAAGAGGAAGTGGGTCTCGAACTGCATCCTGATTAGTTGCAAGACTCCACATCCCCAGGGTTATCCTCGGCTACGGAATGAATCCCCGTCATTTCCGCGTCTTGTCCCTATTACTATGTGATATCCCGGATATCTGCCAATATCCCGCTCTCCTCCCCACTATGATTGATCGCACCATGTCTTCCTCCCTGGATGAACGACCCATATCAATCCACGACAATGATCCTCCGCGGAAACGCCGGCGGAAGTACATCGCCAAAGCCTGGTATGCCCGCCCTTCTCGGAAGTCAATGGCCGACACTGACCGGCCAGCAATGAATGTAAACGCCGCAAGATCAAATGCAACGGACAGATCCCCTGCCTCCGCTGCGGTCGCCAAGGCATCGACTGCGTGTACGCCGATCGTCCCAGCCGCGGCGACGACGATGACGACCCTCAAATTCTGGAGCGGCTATGCGCGCAAATGAGCGCCATGCAGGACCAGATCGCCACGCTGTCCGCCACCGTCCAGACCCTATCGCGCCCCGACCTGGGGAGTCAGACCGCGGCCCGCGCCCGGCCCAGTCCCCGCACGGTCCTCCGCGGCGCCCCATCCCCGCGCGAACCTCCCTTCCAGGGCCCGACCACCTCGGGCTTCGGCTTCGACCTGGCCCGCTCCAGTCTAGAGCAGCGCGGCATAGTCCAGCCCCGCGACGCCTCTCCAGCTCTCCTCCCCCCGTCGCCGCCGGCCGTCCCGCCCGCCCCCTCGGGGGAGGACCCGCTCGCGACGATCTCCAAGACCGAAGCCCTGCGGCTCTGCCGCGTCTACGAGGAGGAAATGGGCATCATGTACCCCGTCCTCGACCTGCCCGACCTCCTCCACCAGGTTGAGGTACTCTACTCCCCCGCGGGCGAGGCGGCCCTAACCCGCGACGACGTCGACATCCTCCGGCTGGTGTTCGCGTGCGCCCTGACGGCCGAAGCCAGCGGACGCAGCGAGCTGGCCCTCGCCCTCTTCGACACTGTCCGCGACGGCGCCGACCAGTGCGTCTGGGGCCCGCCCGACATCCCCAAGATCATCTGCCTAACGCTCGTCTCCATCCTGTACTTCCAGCTCGACGAGGAGACCCTCGCCTGGCGTACGATCGGCATCGTCGAGCGCATGTGTCTCGAGCGCGGCCTCCACCGTCGCGAGTCGCTGCACCAGCCGGCCGTCATCGCCGCCGGGCGCGAGCGCGTCGTCCGCCTCTTCTGGTCCATCTATGTGCTGGATATGCGCTGGAGTCTCGGCACCGGCATGCCCTTCGCCCTAGAAGACACCGACATCGACCCCTGGCTTCCCGAGCCCGAGGAGCACCAGACCCCCTACCTGCGCGTGATGATCCGCTACAGTCGCCTGGCCGCCAGGGTGTGGAAGTTCGTCGCTGCCTTCAACAACACCAACGAGATCAAGAAAGACGAGATGCACTACCTCGACTGGCAGGTTCTGCGCTGGGTCGCCGACATGCCGGATGCGCTACGTCTCGACCCGCCGGCCTCATCCTCGTCGCCATCCACGACAAAGTCAGCAACCACCATCCCCGAAACGCGCGGTCTTCGCCGCCTCCGCTGCATGCTATCTCTCCGCGCAAACCAGCTCCGCCTTCTCATCCACCGCCCCGTCCTCCACTCAGCCGCACACATCGTCCGCTACCCAGCCGAAAGCCAAACCGTCGTCGACATCGCAGCCGACACCGTCCGCAGCATCACGCGCCTCAACGCTACCTCCGACATCTACCGCCTGCAGCAAGTCACCTTCAACTACTTCCTAGTGTCCGCGCTGGCAGTGCTCTTCCTCGCCGTGGCGCAGACCCCCGCGCAGTTCAGCGCCCGCTGCAAAGACGAGTTTTACATGGCCCTCGAGCTTGTCAAGGGATTTTCCTCCCGCTCTTACATCTCTCGCCGGCTGTGGACGTCTCTGCGTGGCTTGCGCCAGTTGGGTCCGCAGCTCGGCTTGCAGACTCATCCTGACGGTGGTGTGGAGGGAGGTGTACCGCCCCTGCAGTCCGCTCCCGCAGCACCCCCTGAGGGCGGGAGTGCGCTGGACGGCCCGCAGATGACGCGCGAGCTGATGGAGTGGTTCGAGGCGGTGGGAAACCTCGAGGACCAGATCATGGGTGTTGGCGTTGGCGCATCGGACGAGTGGCTGGGCGGACGGGGATATCCGCTGGATTATGGAGCGGAGCTGTCGAGTGTGATGAGGGATTGTTTCTGAGGTATATTTGTATTAATCATGGTAGCATGTATTGTTTAGTAACAACTGTAAGAATATAAGAATATGGTATAATGATATCACCGCAATCCGCCCCGCAAGCCCTCCAGGTCCTCTGTCTTCCAATCGGTAACCAGCATATGTCCCGGTTCGTGAGAAAAGACTAGTCCCTCGATCTTGTCGCCCGCGGACTCGACTGCCAATTGGGGAGTAACACCACACGCCTGCCACAACATGATCAGTAAGTCTGTCAACGAGAAAAAGGGAAGAGAACGGGGAACAAACCCAGAAAACAGGAACCTCCCCCTCCTCAAACACCTGCGGCTGGCCAAAATCCGGTCGTCCAATGTCCGTAATCCCTAGCCTTTCCACCGCATCCCACCCCCACGCCACGGGCTCCCCATGCGCCGCCAGATACGGGCGCGACACTTCGCGTACGCGCTCAATATCTTCCGGCCTGTAGGGCCGCATGGATACCACGCAGGTGGCGTTTGTGAAGATCCCTGCGGGGAGGAGCGGAATGGTACTGCGGTACATGGCGACGATACGGCCGGTGGAGTAGTGACGAGGTGGGAGGCCTGCCGCGGCGAGGGCGTCCTCAAAGGAGAACGAGCATCCGATGAGGAACCCCACATAGCGTTGGTGGGCGTCCCATACGTCGAGTAGGTCGGTTCGCGTCTCGAGGTATTTCCCGTTGCGGTAGACGCGGTATTTGGGGAAGTCGGTGCGCAGGTCGAAGTCACTGGCGGGTTGGATGCATTGCGCGGGTGTGATGGAGTTCGTGGAACCGGGTTGCGTGCTGATTCCGAGGAGGGGGCAGGAGACTGGGTTGCGTAGACAGAGGTCGTGGAAGTCACTGGCGTGTTGGGCGGGCAGGATGAGGAGGTTGGCTTGGAGGTGACCGGGGGCGAGGCCTGCGGTGTTGGTGATCTTGTTGGTGCGACTAAGAAGCCGGGTGTCGTATGCGGACATGTTATTGCTGTTGTTGTATCTGTCTGTATCTCTGTCACTGTATCTGTATATTGCTTTGAAGTTGTTGTACAGAGAGATATGGTTAGTGTCGTGTTGAAGGATCTGGATATCGACATGACGGAGAGTACGATAATTGGAGATATACATCGGAGCCCATAACCCGACACCCCCAGATAATGGCCGTCCTGGTCTCTCCGCACGCCTATCAATGGGTGTGATTGGCGTTATAGAGACCCTGGGTGGGCCCATCTCCACTTCCTGTGCCACAATCACGAATGAAGCCTTAAGGATGAATCTCCAGACCCACCACTTATCAGCTCATCGGCCCGACGGCGTATCCAGACGGCAGATATTCGCCGATCCAGGCGCTGGAAAGACGCGACAGGATGGTCTGACGGGTCCGGGGAGTTTTCATTACCTGATGGATGAATGTGATATGGGGTTCCCCACGCTTATCGATGGGCCAAGTTCTTTTTAACCCCGGATTTCTCCTGACGAATTCACATTCCCCACGGACAGCCTCGAACCAAATACATCATGGCTGAAACAGAGAAGGTCGACGACCTGAAACCGACGGAGCTCGATGTCAAGGAGACCGACTTTGAAAATGTCGAGAATATTGTGTTGGACCCGAAAAAGGAGAAGAAGCTGCTCATGAAGTTGGACTTGGCTTTTGTTCCCATTATTATGGTGACATATCTCTCCTGCTTCTTGGACCGGACCAACATTGGTATGCTTTTGGAATTCCTAGAGCCCCAACAACAGATGAACTAATGAGAACAGGAAATGTCAAAGTAGCCGGCATGCCCGAGGCCATCGGCGCCTCAGACAGCCAGTTCTCCACCGCCGTCTCGATTTTTTACGTCACTTACGTCCTGCTGGAGGCTCCCTGGGCGGTGCTCATGAAGAAGCTCACTCCCCGGAATATCCTCACCGGGCTGTGCATCGTGTGGTCGGTGGCCACCGTGTTCACCGGGTTTGTGGAGAATGTCGCATCGCTGTATGCCACGCGCCTTATCCTGGGCGCTTGCGAGGCGGGCCTCTTTCCCTGTCTCAACCTATACTTGACGATGGTGTATCGTCGTGAGGAGCAAGCCAAGCGCGTCTCGTATCTGATGAGTTGTGCGGCCATCTCGGGTGCCGTGGGGGGGTTGCTTGCGTATGGACTGCTGCATATGGATGGGATTGGAGGGAAGGCTGGCTGGAGGTATGCATATTCATCTTCCCATCCCCCCCTGGGCTTGACCGTCGTGGTCCATCATACCATGCTATATTGTACTGACGGTGATTAGATGGGTATACATCATTGAAGGCCTCTTCAGCATCGTCTGCGCCCTCCTGATCTGGTTCGGTCTGCCCAACGACCCCGCCAACGCCTACTTCCTCACCGACGAAGAGAAGTGGATGATGCGCGTGCGTAACGAGCAGCGCCGCCACTACATGGGCAGCGAGCACTTTACTTGGGAGGAGATGTGGCTTGCCCTACGCGATCCCAAGCTCGCCTTCAGCGCCGTCGTTCAATTCTGTCAGGATATCCTGCTCTATGGGTTCAGCACGTTCCTCCCGACGATCCTGCAGAGTATTGGGTATGATTCGCTGATGAGCAATGTGTTGACCGTGCCAGTGTATATCTGGGCGGCGATTGTGTTTGTCATTCTGGCGTTTATGGCGGATCGGTACTCGAAGTTTGCGGTCGTATGTCTCCCCCCTTTTCTTTTTCTCTGGCCCGTTTGTGCTAATAAACACAGTTCCTTATCGGGAGTAACGTCTTTGGCATCATCGGATATATTCTCCTGCTATCTGTCTCCAATAACTCCGTCAAGTACTTCGCCACCTACCTCTGCGGCATCGCGACCTACACCGGTGTGGGACTCAACATTGCCTGGCTGAACGTCAACGTCGCGCCGCATTACCGTCGCGCCATGGAGATCGGTCTGCAGCAGACGGTGGGAAACTGCGCGGGTATTGTGGCCGGGCAGATCTATCGGAAGTCGCCGTATGTACTCGGAAATTCGTTCAGTCTAGGGGCGTTGGTGGTCGCGCAGGGGGTCATCGCCGTGCACGCGTGGTATTTACGACGGGAGAATGCAGAGAAGGTGGCGATTGAGGGGGGGAAGGAAGACACGCGGCGTGTCCGGACGGGAGACGGCGAGGTAGAATTTCGGTATCATTATTAGATTGTTGGCTGTATTCTATGTACGTGGTTTGCATGTATATCCCTTTGCGGTGCTCTAGATGCTGGCAGTTTGGTAGAGTTGTCATGTTGTCTTGAACGAGGGGATGGGCTTCAGTGACTCATACCATCTTTTATATTTCTCAACAGTCCAATCCAAGCAGATCCCAGACCAGAACACCTCGCTAGTAGGTGCCCTGATGAAATAAATTCACTTCATCTGCCAAACCCACGCTGCATCATCATAAACCCATCACTTACCATTCTATATCTCCATTGCCTCTTCTCATATTGGGACAGTGTTGTCCATCACACATTACCTCGAAATGTCCACAGAGCACCTGGAATTAGACGCCGAGTATGGCGCTCTTGCATTCGACTGTTACGTCGTGGTTTGTCTATCCTGTCCCAACCAGAACGTGACTCACATCGGTAGGACCATTGGAAGGACGATTCTCCTGAGGAAAGCCAGCAACAATGGGAGCGACTGGTATGGGAATATCAAAGACTGTCTCTCAAAGAGCGTAATGTTTGTTTTCCCGGGTCAGTCATCTCTAGTATTGGTTCTTATCTATGACAGCAGAAATACCACCATCGCACTCAGAGCATCCCCATGGAGATAACCCCCACCCATGTCCAAATCCTCCGCACCCACCAAACCATCTACGAGCGCAACCTGGGCATCCCAAACTGCACAGGGATCCAGACTGTCTGGTTGCGCACGTGTTACGATGCGGACGTTGCCGAGAAATACGCAGATATGAAGGCCGACGCGTATGTCATCGGAGACAAGGTCCTAGACGACCCCGCGCGGTATGCCTTCGCTGAGGACTGGCGAATGGTTCTCGGGCGTATGCCCGGCATTACGGATTTTTGGGGTCTTTCTGACCAGAACGGCGATGGAGCCATGCTCAAGTATCGGTCGGGGTTGGACGATGGGGCGATCCGGGCTCAGTACGAGAGGATCGAGGATGCGGATGCTCAGACTCTGGCGCTCAAGGCGCTGGAGTTCCAGGCGTTGTTGTATTTGGTAGATCGCGAGGCTATTGAAACGGGACTCATCAAGCTACTCTGGCTGGATGAGCATGGGTGCAGTGCTTGGGAGAATCGGGTGGCCCCGGCGAGCATGTACCAGTTGGCAGGCGCGCTTCTCGGTGCCACGGGTCTTGGGGAACTCACACAAGGGAATGCCACGCGAGGCTGTTTAATCGAACTATAGATTGTTGTGAGTAGCCTAATGTCATATGGAGCTAATCCTAGGAGGCTTCTGTGCCACAAAATCGGAAATACTCCTCCATCATACAGCCACTTCATCTACTCTGTGATACTGATTTCGGTATCTGACAGACATTCCCCAATATCCAATCTCGTCAGAACAGATCCATTTCGAGAAGAGGCACTCTTGTCTCCGGATATGGCATACCACACACGGACTGGACCCGCTTTCGGTCTCTTTTCAGGTCCATTCCACTGATGAATTGACATCAAGGGATACACCCCTTGCATACCACACGCTCTCGGCGACGCACACGAGAGGGACCGGAGAGGGAACCGTCCTATTAACTCTCCCTATCATCAAGGGTCATGGTCAATACAGATTCCCATCATCCCACCCATGCATCTCTGGCGCAACAATTTTCCCGTCGATGGCAAGGTAAGAATCCCGCCCCACCAACGTATAGTTCCCTCTCTGACCGTCCAGCTTGTCGTCGTCGCCGGGGGCTCCAAAGGGCTTGGCCGGGCATTGGCCCTGGAGTTGGCCGGAAAAGGTGGGCCAGAGCACTCTCATCGCACGACTTCTGCTCATCCTGTATAGGAGCGAATCTATTGATCCTCGCGCGCGAAGAACTCGCTCTGAACCGCACTCGCACCGATCTCCAAGCCGCCTGTGTCTCGTCCAAGCAGATTGTCGACGCCATCTCCGTAGACCTGACGCAGCCAAATGACGTGCGCTAGACCCCTCTCCCATGCACCCAGCCAGCCACACTAACAAGACAGATCGATCGCGTCCTCGCCCACTACCACCCCCCCGACGTCCTCATCTGCACGGCCGGCGGCATCCCCGACGAACCGGGCTTCCTAGCCAACCTATCCCCCGCCGCGATCACGTCCTGCCTCGAGCAAAACTACTACACGGCCATCTTCCCCGTGCAAGCCTGCCTCCAGCGATGGCTGGCGACACGGACACCCCACACCACACGACACATCGTGTTGACCTCCACCGCAACAGCCCTAGCCAGCCTCCCCGGCTACGCCGCCTACACGCCCGTGAAAGCTGCCATCCGTGCCCTCGCCGACACCCTCCGCCAGGAACTGCTCCTCTACGGCCGCGACACCTTCCGCGTGCACTGCGCCTTCCCCGCCAACTTCCTCGGCGAGTCTTTCCTGCGCGCGCACCCCACCAAGCCGCGCTTGACGAAGCTCCTCGAGGGCACGGATGTGCCGCCCCAGCGGCTGAGCGATAATGTCCCTGCGTCGCGGGAGGTTGCGCGCGCTATCGTCCGGGCGTTGGAAGCGGGAAAGACTTATATCACGGTGGATAGGCGGACCGAGTTGATGTTGAACCATATGCGCGGGCCGAGTCCGCGGTTTTGGACGCTGTATGATTTGCTCATGGGGTGGTTGGCGATCGGGATGTGTTGGGTGTGGAGGGTGAGGGCGGATCGTCAGACGGTTAAGTATGGACGGGAGAATGGGATGGAGCGGTAATTCTTTTTTCTTTTTTTTTTCCTGCATGCTTTCTGACTTTTTATCGCGGTTTGTATTCTTCGTTTTGTTTCTGCCTGATTATTGTTTGTTTTCTGTGGTGGAACATGGAATTCTATACCTGGCGTGGCGTTATCTCCAGGAACAGCGGTACTATTTCACACTCCTAAACCTCCACCAGTCTTCACAATAACCCAGAAGTAACAATACATGCAGGACAAAGTTAGACAGTCCCCTGGGCGAACCTGACTTGAATCAATGGATATGTGGAGATCGATCTACCAGATCAAGATCGGATATGACGTCAGCCCTTCGTTCCTTGCTTGTTTACACCGGGCGCGTTGCTTCTCAGCTGAGCTCACCGCACCTTCTCCTTCTTTATTATTGATCCAAACAACCCTGCTGGATTATAACAAAACATCCAACCATAACCTCTACAACCAGGACACCAATCCACAACCAACCAAACTACAAACACGATCGATCTAAAACACCATGAAATTCTCCGCCCTCCTCACGATAACAACCCTCCTCGCAACCACAACCGCGAAAGAAAAAATCAGCCTCCAATGGGCCATCTGCAACCCCAACCCCCAAGACGTCCTCCCCCAACTGGGTCTCTCGGCAAATACACCCCCCTACAAGGAAAACCCCATCACCTACTACGACGCGCAACCCCCGCGCCACATCGCCCACGGCTTGATGTTCCGCACGAAGACGAATAAGGGTCATCCCCTGTCGACTGTCAAGGCGCCGCTTCCGGGAGATGTCGAGGCGCCGGGTTTTGTGGAATGTGCGTGGGCGAGCTATGGGGAGAATCCGGCGACGTATACGTGTGAGAAGCGGTGTCCGCGGGATGGCGACGGGGATGAGGATGAGGAGGATTACGAGGCAGAGGGTGGCCTGTGGTGTCCGGAGCAGATGGAGTTTGTGAAGAGTGTGGCGCCCGACCCTGTGGAGTGGTCCGCGCTGGCGCCGTATGGCCCCTTTGCGAATGCCAAGTGGAAGGTCAAGGTGGACGGGGTGAAAGCCAAGTTCGACGACGTCGTTGTTCCTGAGCACGGGCTGCACTTGATGGAGATCGAGACCAAGGTGAAAGCCTCCAAGGCGGAGAAGGCGCGCGTTGCCATAACGGAGTATCTGGTGAAACAGGGAGTCGAGCTGTGTGAGCTGCAAGAGGGCAAGACGAAGAGGCTGTTTCGCGCCATGGGGTATACAGATACGGAGGAGGAAGACAAAGTCGAGCTGTAATGGGTATTGATATCATTCGGTATTGATATCATTCATTGATTAGCGTAACACATTGCTAACATAATCGCTCAACTCCATAAATCAAGACACTGAACTCATAATAATCCCCGCCCGCCGATAACTACAACATATACCGGAACCCCTTCTGCAGCTGGCGAGCTTGCTCGACGGAGACACCCTCCACCTCGGCCGTCCGTTGCAGCTGCGCCCGGTCGGCGTCGCTCAGCGGCATGTCGACATCCTCGAACCGGTCCAGCTGGCGATTCTGATGCCGCATGTGGAAGTAAAGGAAGAGCGCGCACAGCGCCGCGACCACCTGCAGCGCGATACACACGCCCATGGCAGGCCGGTACTCCGGGTCGTCTTGCTCGCGGTAGGTGAAGGGGGTCCAGATGCTGGCGGAGTTGCCGATGGCGTTGATGAAGCCGTAGGCGGCGGCGCGCTTGGCGGGCGGGCGCGGGATGGAGTTGGCGATCCAGGAGAAGAAGGTGCCGAACTGGGCGAAGACGAAGATCATGAGGAAGAAGGAGATGTAGCGCGCGGCGAAGCTGGTGGTCGTCGTGAAGAGGATGAACCCGACGATTGTGATCGGGATCGGGTACACGAAGAACCAGAACCGTCGGTTGTAGCGGTCGGAGAGGTACGAGTGCGTCAAGCTGAAGAACACCATGAAGATGTAGGGCGGCGCGACCAGCAGGAGCGACACCAGCTTGCTGTAGCCTAAGGTCTGCGTGAGCGTCGGGAAGTAGTTCTGGAACCCGCTGGCCCCGGTGATGGCCAGGTAGGCGAGGGCCAGGACGTAGGTCTTGACGTCCGTGAAGGCGAGCTTGAGGCCGCGGAGCTGGCCCGCGCCGCCCTCGGCGTCGATGTCTGCTTCGGCGGCCTCGACGGCCAGACGGCGCGCGGCCACGTCTCTCATCTCTGGGGAGAGGAGCTTCCATGTCTCGGGGAAGTCGGGCAACATGATGCAGATGATGAGACCGAATGCGACCGTAATGGAGCCCTCAATGATATAGAGCCATTGCCAGGCGGAGATGCCGCGCTCTCCAGCCAGACCGTCCAAGATTCCTATCTTTCATGAGCAGGTGTGCGGAGTTGAGTACGGGAGGAGACTCACCGGCCGCAATCAGGTTCCCGAAAGCACCACTGAGGAGGGAGCCCGAGTAAAAAATACTCATACGCAGGGCGAGTTCGTTCTTGGTGTACCACTTGGAGAGATAGAACAGAACCCCGGAGAAGAACGGTGCCTCTGCAGCTTGTTAGCTTGCCTCTCGACGTCGCAGTGGACCCTGACACTGACCGACTAAGCCCAGAATAAACCGACACGCCACGATGCCGCCGTAGGAAGACACCTTGCAGGTCAGGGCGGACACCAGCCCCCACGCGCAGACGAAGAAACCGAGATAGAAGGACGGCCGGCCGACGTAGTTGAGCAGGAGGTTGGATGGACTGGGACGTTAGTCGGGAAGGGTGGGGATCTGTGGAATCTGGGACTCACGTCTGCATGAGGATATAACCAACGAACAGAATCGACAGACCCACCTGGTACTGCTGTTCGTCGATGTGGAGATCCTCCTTCAACCCCTGGAGTTTGGCTGCCGCATAATTATTCCTAGATCTGTCAGTCGTGTTTCTCCCAGTCTCTACCATGGCTACCTACCGATCAATGTAGTTCATCAGGTAGACCAGAATGACCAACGGCATGATCAACATATCGATCCGACGCCGCAGCTTTTTCTCCAGCGCCTGTTCCTCCGGCGTCAATCCCACCTGGTGCGCAACATCCTTGGCGACGGCGATATCTTCATGGTACACCGACCCCTTCTCGGCTTCCTCCTGGGTGATTGACTTCCGATCAGTGTCCATGATGTAGGGTCCGTCCGGGTGATTCTCTGTCCGACTCGACCGGGGAAATTCCTGGGGAAAACATCCGGGGGCGGGTCGACTTTAAGACAAAAAATCGGGTCGCATGGAGACAGAGTGCGGAGAAAAGCCGGGGCAGGTCCAAACGCGGTCCCGTCCGACCGAATGTTGCCAAAGTTGCCATTCCCGGTTTTTGCTTCCCCGGGTTTGCTGTCGGTGGGTCTGGGGACGTGGGATGCTGATGGGGCGACGTGGGGGTTGCATCGTCGGTCTCGGCCTCAGTTACTGCATCGGGGGGTTTGAGTGGTCGGTCATTGCCGAAGTGGATGCCGATGAGCTCATGGGATTGGATTTATATTGATCTGTTGAGACTCACCGGGGTCTACACGAGAATTCGGTCGGGAATGGCACATGCGAGGTCGGGGCATCTCCGAGGTTAGGGCTTCATGGTCTGCCGGATCGAGTTTAAATCATGCCAGTTTAGGATCAGGGACGAGTGGAGCTTTGCCACTGGACCATACATTCATACGGGGGAAAATGCCTCATCGTGCTATCGTCATGCAAGGAGATCTGGTTGATCAGATGGTTGGGGTTGATGTGAGGTCTCTGGATTCTTCAGTGGTCTGTCTATATAACAGAGTTCAGCCACCACTATAATATCATTTATTATAGGTATCTCTAAATATTGGTTCAGTATCCACATGTATCAGACACTGTCTACGGAGTTCAATCACGCCGGCACAATGTTAGTTACGGATATCTTCGTATGCTCTTCATGTATATTGAAGATATTTGATATATAATAAATCAAATGACCAATTGACAGCAAAAACAGTCTCGTGGGAACAGTCAAGTCTAGTATTATATATTCCCTCCCCATCTGTCCTTAACAACATGACCGCACCAGCTTGCTCTTACCCCACTCCACCACAACGTGAAAGATATATATCCCATGTTATGTTTCAATAAGACTCAAAATATATCACTACACCTCCCTATTTCCAAGGCATCTTCATCAGTGTGAAGTTTATAATCACGCCATCTCCAGTCCCACACATACTCACTCAATAGACTCAGAATATATCTCCGATTATGTCTCCGGCGTGTCAATTGATGCATTTGTCAGCACATCCAGCACATCATCTCGTTAGAATAAAATCGAATTTACTGCAACACCTCAGGGTATAAATAAGATCCCTACACCAAGACAGGCCACCAGCAGTCAAACCCATCCAACTCACCATGGGCTCAATCGCACCCGCCGTTATCCGCGCCCCCGAAACCCCCTACTTCACCCCCGCCAACCACGATGTCGGCGCCGCCCTCAACCCGAACGACCCCTCCACCCCCACCCTTTTCCGCCCCCTAACCATCCGCGGCGTCACCCTCAAGAACCGCATCGCCGTCTCCCCTATGTGCATGTACTCCGCCGAGTCCGACCCCGCCGCCCCGGACGTCGGCGCCCTAACCGACTACCACCTCGCCCACCTCGGCCAATTCGCCCTCAAAGGAGCCGGCCTCGTCTTCGTCGAGGCACAGGGCGTCGAGCCCCGCGGCCGCATCTCTCCCAACGACGCCGGCCTCTGGCAGCACGACACCGACAGCCCCCAATTCCGCTCTCTCCAGCGCGTCGTCCACTTTTGCCGCAGTCAGGGCGCCCACGTCGGCATCCAGATCGCCCACGCCGGCCGCAAAGCCAGCGTCACCGCCCCCTGGGTCGCCCGCCAGGCCGGCCGCCCCAGCCTGCGCGCCGAGGCCGCCGTCGGTGGCTGGCCTGACGACGTGATCGGCCCTTCCGGCGGCGACGACCACCGCTGGGATGCCGAGGGCGACTACTGGACCCCGCGCGCCGCGACCGTAGCGGAGATCCAGGGCATCGTGCGTGCCTTCGCCGACAGCGCCGCCTGCGGAGTCCGCGCGGGTGTTGAGGTCGTCGAGATCCACGCCGCCCACGGGTACCTCCTGCACCAGTTCCTCAGCCCCGTCACGAACCGTCGCACGGACGACTACGGTGGCAGCTTTGAGAACCGCATCCGACTGCTGCGCGAGGTGGTCGTCGCCGTGCGGGCGGCTGTGCCGGAGCAGACAGCCGTGTTTGTGCGCATCAGCGCCACCGAGTGGCTCGAGGGCCAGCCTGTGGAGACTGAAGCCGGCGGCAGCTGGGACGTCGCCAGCTCCGAGCGGCTGGTGCCCATCCTGGCGGATCTGGGCGTGGACCTGGTCGATGTCAGCTCGGGTGGGAACCACCGCGACCAGCGCATCCCGCACGGCTCGGTCTCGTACCAGACGGACCTGGCTGGGCGGCTGCGGCGCACACTGCGCGCGACGGGCCGATCGACGCGGATCGGGGCGGTGGGCTTTATCACGGGGGCGGACCAGGCGCGGGGCCTCGTTGAGGGCTCCGACGAGGCGGAACGGGCGGCGGCCACAGTGGCCGGGGCGGACCCGGCGGCGGACGTGGTGCTCCTCGGGCGGCAGTTCCTGCGCGAGCCCGAATGGGTGATGCTTACGGCGCAGCGGCTCGGGGTGAAGGTGGGCTCGCCGAAGCAGTTCTGGCGGGCGGGAGGGGCATTTGACTAGTTTAATTATTCAATATTCATTATCTATATATTCTACATATTGTATATGTCTATACATCTATGACTTGATAGTTCATTACACTCCACTTCCACCAAGTAATCAGAGATAGATGGTATAAACCTCGGCTGATCCCGACGGAGACGGCCGGACATAACGGTCTTAGCGGCATCGCACGTAATCCGGATACGATACGGTATCATCATTTCCCCCGCACCAACTCAACCCCTCCATCTTCTCTCCTTCTTTCTCCCTTCATCCCTCCATTGCACAACCAAATCATATCAAAATGACTGTCAAACCCGGTGACTCCTTCCCCAACGACGTTGTTTTCCAGTACGTCCCCTGGACGGAGGAAAACAGCGGCGTCCAGGCATGTGGCATCCCGATCAACTACAATGCCTCCAAGGAATGGGCCGATAAGAAGGTCGTGCTGTTCTCTGTTCCTGGTATGGCTTTCGTGTGTCCATGTTCATATGACAAATCTAATTAAACAGGCGCGTTCACCCCTACCTGCTCGGTCAACCACCTCCCCGGCTACATCCAGAACCTGCCGCAGCTGCGCGAGAAAGGCGTCCAGATCGTGGCCGTCCTCGCCTCCAACGACCCCTTCGTCATGAGCGCCTGGGGCAAGGCCAACCAGGTCCGCGGCGACGATATCCTCTTCCTGACTGATCCGGAAGCTCGCTTCTCGTCCTCGTTGGGATGGGCCAATGCGGGCCGCACCGGCCGGTACGCCATTATCATCGACCATGGGAAGGTCACTTATGCCGATATCGAGACGAAGAAGGGCGCTGTTGAGGTGTCGGGGGTGGATTCCGTGCTGGCCCATCTGTAATTTATCTGTCTCTGTCTTCTGTCTCCATCTTAGGTAGTTCGCCTGACTGGACTCAATAAAAACTGCCAGACTTGGATATGGACTGTTTGTTGACGCTGTATAAATCGTGTCTGAAGCCGATATTTGTAATCATGTGCATATTGGGATGTTATGCACAGGCGGTGAAGCCATAGTGGGGAAATGAAGAACGAGGGGGAGAAAGACATCTGGTCGGAATCCTTCCCCTGTTTCTATTCTTTCTTCATTCATTATTCAATTTGTCCTTGACCTTTCTTATTGTTTGTTAATAGAATGTCCCTTCACAAGAGCAAGCTCGCTTTCATCGGCGGCGGCAACATGGCCTCCGCCATCATCGGCGGCCTTATCACCCAAGGTGTCCCCAAGACTAATATCTAGGTTGCTGAACCCTGGGATGTCAACCGTGATAAGATGGCTGCTCTGGGTGTTCAAGCAACCGCCTCTAATGTTGAAGCTGGTGGCCAGGCCGACATTATTATCATTGCTGTCAAACCCCAGGTTGCTCAAGGAACTCGCCGCTGCCTGGTCCAACCGCGATACTCTCCCTGTTGTGGTGAGTATTGCTGCTGGTATCACTTTGCAGAGCTTGCAGGACTGGCTGCGGACGAAGAATAGCCCCACAGCACACACGAAGGATGGTCGCACGGCGCACACGGTGCGTGTCATGCCTAATACGCCTGCGTTGCTGGGTCAGGGCGCGTCCGGCGTGTTTGCCAGTGCAGATGTCACGGCTGAGGAGAAGACCCTGGTAAATGATCTGCTGGCAAGCGTGAGCCAGGCGACCGAGTGGGTGGATCGGGAAGAGTTGCTGGATGTGGTGACTGGGCTGTCGGGTGAGTTGATCTGTCGGGTGAGTTGATTATACCTGGAAGTGGAGAGGAAAAAAGACAGTGCTGATACAATAGTGTCTAGGATCCGGCCCGCCCTATTTCTTTGCAATGGTAGAACATCTTGTATCCAGCGCCACTGCCCTGGGTCTGTCCTCGGAGCAGGCTACTCGTCTGGCTGCGCAGACATGCCTCGGGGCGGGCAAGATGCTCGTTGAATCCTCTGATACCCCGACCAAGCTGCGCCAGAATGTCACCAGCCCGAATGGTACAACACACGCAGCCCTGCAGACCTTCGAAGCCGAGGGCTTCCAGGAGATCGTGGACAAGGCAGTCAAGGCAGCAACCAATCGGGCGGCGGAGCTGGGGAATACACTGGCCGGAAAATAGACTTACGGTTGACGGGTATGGATGATAGCGCAGTACTTAAATGGTGGAGTTGGCGGTTCTAGTAACATTGTGATGCACCATCCGTAGGTGAGCTATCGGTTGTAGGATGCCCACTTGGTGTCAATGCTGGGATATCAGTAGCATTCCATGCTCGGTCTGGGCCGGTGACTCATGTCTCACATGGATCGGGTTGCTTGTCGAATCGAGCTACGCGCCTGTACACCTACATCTGTTCCAACATCTCACTACTACGGAGATATTGACGACCATGTCAGCACACGGTGAACCGACCCACTCAGATCAGCCGTGGGGCTGATGTGCGGACTTAGTGGACATTCACGCACATGGCTGACAGGGGGGATCCAATAATGGTGACCGATTCCTCTGCACAAGTCCATTTAACTGATTTAACTCCGATACCTGGATGATGACCGACACGAACCGCGAAGATCGCGCCGCAAACCGGTCAGCGATGGGTTGGGCTGAATAATGAAAAGGCCGTGATGTCATCCGTGCGTTTCTCAGCCTCTATATCAACCCCGCGAATCCCTCTAACCTCCAACTCTTTTTCAAATACTTGTACCACCATCAACTGTCTATAATCAATAATCTACTCCGTTAATCATGGCCCCCAAAGTCCTCGTCGTCCTCACATCCGCGGACAAGATCCCCGCCAACGGGGCCCCCACGGGGTGGTATCTGGTACGTCACTGACCCCTCATTCATCTGACATCAGCTCAATCTGAACCATTAGCCCGAATTCGCCCATCCCTGGGAAGTCCTGCATGAGAAGACCGAGCTCACCATTGCCTCCCCCAAAGGCGGCGAGGCGCCTCTCGACCAGGCCTCCGTTGAATTGTTCAAGAGCGATGCCACATCCGTCGATTTTCTGAACAACCACAAAGACCTCTGGACCAACACCGTCAAGCTTGCCGACGTGGCCAACCGCGTCGGCGACTACGATGCCATCTTCTATGTCGGTGGTCATGGCCGTATGTTCTTCCGGATCCTCCGGTGAAGTTTATTTCTGACTAATCTGTCTGAGCACATAGCGATGTTCGACCTCCACTATGACCCCGTCTCTCTTGGCCTGATCCAAGCCTTCGCAGCTGCCAAGAAACCTGTCGCAGCCGTCTGCCACGGTCCGACGGTGTTCCTCCGCGCGACCACCGCGCAGGGCGAGCCGCTGCTGTCCGGCGCGACGGTCACCGGATTTTCCAACGAGGAGGAGGACCAGGCTCAGAAGACGCAGTTTATGCCGTACATGCTCGAGACGGAGCTGAAGAAGATCAACAACGTGAAATATGTCAAGGCTGACCAGGCGTGGGGCGAGAAGGTCGTCGTGTCCCAGGTAGCTGGCACGGGCAGTCCCCTGATCACCGGACAGAACCCTGCCAGTGCCACTGGTGTGGGGAAGGAGATTCTCAAAGCGTTAGGACTGTAATTCTTCATCAACATGGCTTGCCTTATTGTGGTTTATTTCTTATCTTCCCATTTTATTATTGTGTAGGCTTGAATAATGTACCTGGTCCGGATACCCGTCGGTCCCCGATCGGGGTTGGTCGGTGGGGAGAGAAATGGGGAAATTGGTCCCTTAATATCAAACCTGCCGACGACGATCCCCTCACCCCCAACGAATCAGATTGGCAATTCAACTCCATGTGTGTCCCGCTAGCTGCAAGGCACGTATCATTGGCGCGGCTCGAACACGATCAGATGGTCTTCTGCGAGAATCTACCGTTAGAGATTAAGATAAGGGTTGGATATACCCGCCCGCAAGGGGTGGGTTACATCGTGAAACGGACAAGTCGAGATGCCCCTCTCGGCACCTTGTATTTAACCCGTCCATGTCTCGCGCGGCTTTTCGTCCCTCACGGCGGGTGTAATATCACGAAGGACCCAGAACGTTCATCATGGTCAAATTGCTCACTGTGGCCCTCGTGGCGCTTCCCCTCATCGCGGCCGCCCCGAACCCCCTGCCTACGCCCCCCGGCGTGCCCTCCAAATCGGAAGCAGAGAGTGATCTGGCCGGGTTGACGGTCGCTGAGCAGGGCTCTGGCGATGACTATGACCGGGACAAGTTCCCTCACTGGATTGACCAGGGAGAGTATGTATCTTTTGTTCTTTGTTGGAGATGGAGTAGAAAAAGCTAACTGGTCAGCTCTTGCAACACCCGCGAGATGGTCCTCAACCGCGATGGCACCGACATCGACAAGGGCTCCGACTGCTACCCGAGCAGTGGGAAATGGGTCTCTTTGTACGACGGCGAGACTTGGACGAAGGCTTCCGATGTCGATATTGACCATGTTGTGCCACTGTCGAACGCGTGGAAGGTACGTCCCGTGACTATTGAGCCCTAGTTCCGGTATACTGGATCGATGCTGACTGACCTCTTTAGTCCGGCGCCGACGAGTGGACCAACGAACAGCGTGAGAAGTTTGCCAACGATCTGGAGAACCCCCAGCTCCTCGCGGTGACCGATAGTGTCAACCAGCAGAAGAGTGACAGCGGGCCGGAGGAGTGGAAGCCTCCTTTGGGTGAGTAATTCTGTATTCTATTATATTCTTTCCTATGGACACTAATCGATGATGTAGAATCGTACCACTGCGACTACGCCAAGATGTGGGTTAAGATCAAGTCGATCTACGAGCTGACGATCACGGAGGATGAGAAGAGCGCCCTGGTGGGCATGCTGGATACGTGCTAGTTCTTCTCAGTCATTACGAGTGTTTGTTCTATGGTCTATACAGTACTATGCTTTCAATATGAACTGGATTCGTCATATTCCCGTTACATCTAGCCTGTATACCCCCGATTTTGCTCGTCGCCATGCCCTGTAAGACCGTGGATTAGTATAGGTTATCTATGGGAAGGTATATCAGCCCAACAGCCCCACGCCAAGTCTTCGCCGAGGGTTCTCCACGATGTGCTCAAAATCCGACCCTGCCACGCGCGCATAATCATAGGGTTCACGGCCCGCCACGTCCCGGATATACGGACTGTTCCAGTCCATGTTCTGCTGAATCAGGCGCACCATGCGCGCATTCCGGGCGATGAGCGCGTACACGAGCGGGGAGCGCCCGTCTTCGTCCAAGGCACCGGCATCAACCTGCTCGTTTTCCATCAGCATCCTCGCCACCTCCAAGTGTCCGCCCGCCACTGCGTATGATAGCGGCGTGCGCCCGACCCCGTCCCGCCGGTGGGCGACGATATCGGACCGCGCGAGGAGCTGCGCGACCATCCTGGCGTCGCCGGCTTCGGCGGCGTAGGACAGCGACGTCCGCCGCGTAAATTCGTCCTCGCGGTTGACGTTGACCTCGGGAAGGGCGAGCAGCAGTTGTGCTGTCCGATGGGCTCCGTGCAGGACGGCGTACATCAGCGGAGTGCGGCCGGATTGACACGCGGCGTTGACGTCGGCGACCTGCGCCTCGGTGAGGGTGTAGGGCCCCGGCTCGTAGTACAGCCCCAGCAGCATGCGGATGATGAGGGTGTTGCCGCTTTGGGCGGCATGGGAGAGCGGCGTGCGGAGGTTGATGTCCATATTCCCGGGGCAAATCTTGGGATGCGCGAGGAGGACGCTGACGACTTTGGGCCGCCCCTCGTGGCAGGCGTACATGAGCGGGGTAAACCCAGTGGTGCCGGCGAGGTTGACGTCGACGTCATCGCGGGCGATCAACTTCTCGACGACGCGTGCGACGCCGACCCCGGCGGCTACCATAAGCGGGGACGTGCCGTGGATGGCAAGCTTGTCGACCTGGATGTCGGGCCGCGCCAGGAGCATGTCGATCATGAGGTCGTTATAGGGCTGCTTGTCACGGGAGTAGGACAAGGCGCAGGCCAGCGGGGTAAAGCCCTGTCGGTTCCCGACGTTGATGTCAATGACCGGACGGCCCAGGATTCGCCGGCAGAGCTCGTCGTAATTGTCATCATGGCGACCGAGCCGGCTCAGGTAGTGGAGGACGGTGTTACCCTTAGAATCGGCCGCTTTTGCGAGCTGTCGGGAGGGAAGCCAATTGACGAGCCAGGGCAGTATTTGCAGCAGGCGGAGCAGATCCTCCGGCTGGAGAGCGTCAGTGATATCAAGGATGATATCCAAGGGGAGGTCTGTAAGGGATCGGTCAGCCATGTTTTCTGTTAGTTATTTGCAATTGAGAGGGGACGATGAGCGTGATATCACAAACAGGTACAGATCGGATTGGCTGGTATTGTGTAGGCTTGTGTAGGCTTGTGCTGTGTTGTCGAGTTGTTGTGTTTGAGGATAGGTTGGTATTAGAAAACATAACTGGGTTTTATAACTCCTGGTGCCTGGCGATGCCAGTATTGATATCTGAACAAAGCATGGTGGTGGTCAATGTGCTCAGCTTTGTATATACATTTCACAATGAGAGGTGAAACAGTGGTGGACTCGGGTTTCTTTATCTTCATTGTATGAAGAGCGGATAATGTTGAGGCTTTAGCCACACATGGTTTCAACGTAAACAACACATCAATGGATTGTACTAGACAATAAGAACAAAGAAAAACATTACGTCAAGGACAAAGCCCTCCGTGAGTCAGGATGATCTGGTCATTGGCCGGTCCGACTTCTCTGACGCCATCTATTCTCCTGTGTACCGATTGGCGGACAGTTAGGGCTGCGAACTGCTATCCAACACCTACCATTAACCTCGAGGTCAACAGTGAATAGTCGTGTCACCCACATTGAATAACATCATGAGACTGCCCACCGTCCTCATCACCGGTTGCAGCGACGGCGGGATTGGGTCCGCCCTGGCCCTCGCCTTCCACAAACGAGGTTATCACGTCTTCGCTACGGCCAGAGATACCTCGAAGATGGGCCTCCTGCGCGACCTTGCAAACGCGACGTATCTCCAACTGGACGTGACCAAGCCCTACCAGATTGCTCTAGCGGTGGACGCTGTCCGCGAGCGCACTGACGGACGGCTCGACTTCCTCATCAACAACGCCGGATACACTCGGTTCATGCCGTTGCTGGACGAGGACCCCGACGCGTGTCGTCAGCTCTTCGAAACCAACGTCTGGGGCGCCCTCGCCGTCACGCAGTCCTTCGCCCCACTGCTGATCCGGGCGCGGGGCTCGGTGGGCTTTATTACCTCTATTACAGGCCACACCCATCTGCCGTTCATGGGTGAGCACTTCGTACTCAATCCTACTAGAATCAATTCCAGATAATAACCCCTACAAGGCGTCTACAGCGCATCAAAAGCTTCCATGGACCTCATGGCCGAAACACTTAGACTGGAACTCGCCCCATTCGGTGTCAAAACCGTGTCTCTCATCACCGGGGCCGTCGAGACTCGCGCCCTGGCATTCTTCAACACCTGGTCCCTGCCCCCTGCATCTCGGTATAAACCCATTGAGCCGGTAATCACCGCCCGCGTTCGCGGCGTGGAGACCTTCCTCCAGACCCCTATAATGGATTATGCGGACCAGGTGGCAGATAAGCTCATCAAGGGTACGTCGGGGAGAGTGTGGACGGGTGCCAATTCCACACTGATGTGGTTGCTGGTGAACTACGTGCCGGGATGGATTCAGGTACGCTCCTCACTCCCTTCCTGGGTGGAGTATGACTGATTTCATGCAGGATAGAGTCTTGTTCTCTAGGTCGGGGCTGGGCCGGATCACCGCGCACAGAGAGTAATCACAATCTTGTTATTTTTGAGGGAGGTGTAATGATATTACAAGATTCCACAACATCCACATAACAAGTCATCCTCTCCTTCCTCCGTAGCCCAGCCTTTCTCGTTCATGTACTCCGTATTTTCCTCATCCTGATACAGCGCTCGAAACACCCCGATAGAACGCACCTCCATCTGGAATGCACCCTCCTGCGCACCAAAAAAGCTGCACCTTTTAGTCTCACGCATCTGCCTCTCCACTAGCAGAGAACATACCTCCTAATCATGATCCGAAACCGCCGCACGCGACTCAAATCTAAAGGTCGTGCAACAGGCACCTCCTTGCCTCGATACGTCGGTCGCAGCTCGCTCCACTTCACTCGGAATACCCCGTCCGTATGTTCAGGGCAAAAATCCACCTCCCAGATCAGGGCGCTCTGCTCGCGACCGTCGGGTCGACGCTCAGGGATCTCGTCTGTCACTGCCACGGTGTACCGCTTGCTGTCGCAGGCATGGACGTCAAGCTCGAGTCCATCGTAGTCCGACAAGTCCCAGGTCTTCTCAGTGCTGACGGTTTTCTGCGATGCGAACCCCGCGCCGCCGAGTGCTTTGATGTCGAGGTTTCCGTGGAAGAGGACGCCGTGGGGCGTGCGAGACAAGCATGACGTCGAGCGGCCGCCGCGGACGCGGTCGTCCGAGGCTGCCCACTCTTGCAGGTCCCAGGGGGGACTGAACAATTTTTTGCTATTTGCGTATTCCATGTTGTCTGTCAGGCGAAATTTGTGGAATATGAATTCAAATGGCAATGGTATGCTTTATATAAGTGACGGATCGATCGATCGATCGATCTGGTCGGGATGACCTCATCGAACCCTAATCCACTTCCTTCCAGCCAACTATATTCCTCGAACCGGGTATCAAGCAAAGAAGAAAAAAAGAATTACAACTTCGCTCGCGTCCGCTCATCTCGCACCACCAACCGCTTCCCCTCGACCGGATTCCGTTCTCGATCTCGCAGCACTCGTCGCAGGATCTTCCCACTCGCACTCTTGGGCACTTCGTCCACAAACTCCACCTCCACCAACCACTTATCCCGCACCTTGCGAGCCCGCACAAACTCCAAGATCTGGCGTCCCACGTCCACTAACCCGTCTATATCCGCGGGAGACCCCTGCGCCAGCACCACATATGCCTTGGGCTTCTCCCCTGCGTAGTCGTCCGTCACAGCCGTAACGGCTACGTCGTCCACGGCTTCATGCCCCAGGAGCAAATCTTCCAGCTCCGCCGGCGATACCTGCACGCCCTTGACCTTGATCATCTCCTTGATGCGGTCGGTAATAGTCACGAACCCCTCCTCGTCCACGAACCCCACGTCACCCGTGTGGAGCCACCGCTCCCCGGGCCCCGAGAACGTCTCGCGCGTGGCCTTCTCGTTCCCCAGATAGCCCATGACCACCTGGGGCCCGCGCGCGACGATCTCGCCCTCCTGGCGCACACCCAGCTCATCCCCGCTCGATACGTCAAGCACTTTGACCTCCGTGTTGGCGACGAGGACGCCTCCGCGCGTGGCGTACGCGTACGTCGACTTGTCGGGCGGATGCGCCGTAATGCAGCTGCAGCTTTCGGTCATGCCGTAGCCTTGCTTAAACCCCGTGTGCGGGAAGCGGGCTTGCAGCTGCGATAGCACCTCCGCTGCGATGGGCGCCGCCCCGGAGAAGAAGCGCTCCACGTGCGAAAGATCGTACTTTGCTACGATGGGGTCGCTAAGCAGTCGGATGAGAATGGGCGGGACGAGGAGCAGCTCGCGGATGTGGTATTCCACGACTGTGTCGAGCATGGTTTTCATGCTGAATGAGGGAAGCATGTAGACTTCCGAGTTGAGGAGGATGGGGAGGTGCATCTGGTGGACGAGGCCAGTGACTGCCCTTAAGTTAGTGGATTAATCGGACTGGAGAGGAGAAAGGGGGAACATGCTGTGGAAGAGAGGCAGAACTGCAAGCGACCGTCTGTGATTTGCTGGGGTCATCTGCTGGATCTGCATGCATTGCGCAATGACGTTGGAATGCGCGATCATCACCTAGTACTTCATCAATACCCCTGACAGCCCTGCTCGGGGAAAGGTAAATCTACCGCTTTTGGCAGCCCCGTCGTCCCACTGCTGAAGCTCAAAAACCCACATATATCCTGGTTCGTCTTCCCCACAGGCAGCTGGAACGAAGCGACTTGACCGTCGGCACTGTAGTCTCGTCCGATGGCGATGAGCTGCTGCACGGTCACATACCCATCCTCCGCCCCTTCCAGGAGGAAGATGCGTTCCTTCGGAATCCCAGCCTGCGCCGCAGCAGGCACGGCAACGACCAGTGACGACGGCACCGTCATCAGGAACCGCGCATGTGCAGTCTTCAGCGCGTACGCCATCTCCTCGACGTTGTAGGCGGGCGATGCGCCCGATATAATGCCTCCTAGTCGTCGTTAGTGCATTGCGCCCATTTGCTATAGGATCGGTGGGAGTCAACAAACCAACTCTCACGGTCGCAAGCATGGCAACCGGGTACCAAATGGTGTTGGGGCTGAATAGTGCGATCGTCTGACCTGGTTCTAGACCATATCTCTTCACGAGGGCCGTGGAAATGGCCGTGGTGAGCTCTTTGAGCGCATCGTAGCGGACTTCTTCCTTGGTAATGGCATTGACGTAGCCGCCTAGCTGGGAGGCTGGAAATTGACGAAGGGGAGAGTAGTCCGAGTCAAAGAGGAAGTCCCAGATTGGGAGGCTGGTGGGGACTGATCGACATCAGTAAATCAATGGGTAAGTGAGGATAGCGAGTCGAGTGGGCTTACTGTCTAGTCGCGGCTGCGTAGATGTGAATACCATGGTGTCTATCTAACCTTCGCTGTGGAAGTGGATGGGAGTAGACAAATTCCACCAGACCTGGCCAGCCTCGTATTCATATAGGTTTCTACAGGACTCTGGACCTCCCTTGCAGACAGTTAAACGAGTCGGACCTCGGAGGGAGCAAGGTGGTTTCGCTTCCCCGCATCCAAGGCAGGATCAACCCCTCGACTACCTGCTGCGCCATGCCCTGTACGAGCAGGATCCCCGCATCTCACCTCATTCTGGATAGAGACAAAAACATTCCTGCTAGAATAGCGCATATTGTATATTGAAGGTCATAATCATACATTATCATACATGGTAGTCAGTCATACATTATCATACATAGTGGTCAATCATACGTCATAAGTCTTCCCCCCAACGACTTCCACAGGAGCGCCTGCCAACCGACTGCGCCCCCGCAGTCCCGGTCCATAAATCTGGAAGACGACCGGGATTGGGATCATCAACACGGCGATGCACCCCAGCAAGGTGCCCGCCCACTGCACCCCCAGGTTCTCCATCATCTGTCGCGAGAACAGCGGGAACGAACACCCGACCGCCGAACGGAGAATCGTGTTTGCCGCGATAGTAGACGCCGCCCTAGATCTTGTCAGTGGTTTGGAAGATTTGTATAGGAAAAGGGTATAGGAACATACAGGGTAGGATAGCAGTCCACAATGTAGTTAAAGCACTGCAGGAAGATCAGGAAGATTCCGGCCCCCGTGAACAGCCCTGACGCGACGGGCGCCATCCAATGGATGGAAGCCGTATATCCGGTCCAGCCGAACCAGAACAATCCCACGGCGAAAACCACGGCTCCGATGATCGCCGGCGGCAGACGCCATTCGGGCACGGGCTGATCCCCGTTCGCAACCAGCTTGCGCACGTACGAGCCCTGTTGCGTGAGGACGTAGACGCCGCCCAGCAGCTCCCCCAGGATCAGGCCCACGAACGATAAGCCCCCCACCCCCATGCTCATTCCATACACGCCCTGGAAGACAACGGGGTATGCCCCCAGCAGCGCGTACATCAGCCCGTAGATGAAGGATATGTAAAGGGAGATGAGGAGCAGGATCGGCTCGGTGAATAGCATCTTTACGGGTCGGCTGAAGTTGTTCCGCACCAGCTCCATGAAGTCAACCTCCACTTCGTCCTGTCTTGCGTGGATGCCCCAGTTATGCGTCTGGCGGCGGAGGGTAGCGGCCTTGCGCACCAGGATGACAGGTGCGTAGCTCTCGTCCAGGAACAACACAACCAGGACAAATCCGGCCAGGACCAGGATGGCGGAGATGTACATCGTCCACCGCCAGCCCAGCTCGCTGGTGGCGATGAACCCCCCGACGAAGGGGGCGGCGAACGGCCCGATAAAGACGGCCATGCAGAAGACGGACATGATGATCCCTCGTTGCGCATTGTTGAAGAGATCGGCGAAAACCGCCGGGACGATCGAGACTGGGCCGGCGGCGAACAAGCCTGCGAAGAACCGGGTGATCATGATCGTCTGGACGTCCTTGCCCGTCGCACAGGCTACGGTGAAGATGCCGCATCCGAACAGTCCTATGGAGAGGGGCACACGCCGGCCAATGAGCTCCGATAGAGGCGCCCAGATCGTCGGACCGGCAGCGAAGCCAAGCACGTACAGCGCGACGCCCAGTGAGCCGACCTCGTGTCCGACCCCAAACTCTTCGCTAAACCCCTCGATGGCGGCAGAGAAGATGGCGCTATTCATGGACCCAGCGAAGGTACCGAAGCATAGGATGCAAACCAGCAGGACCCTGGAAAGAATCAGTTATATGTCTATCAGCTTGGGGGGGAGGGGGAGGGACATACCGTCTCAGTATAGACCAGTTGTAGGGATGCAGAGGGTCAGTAGACCCCTCAAAGTCTACGACGAAATTTCCGGGGTCCGGTAGCAGGGGGGGATACTCCTTGCCAGCCCCCATAGGAAGCCATTCTTCCCGCGGGAGAGGGCCCCGTGTCGATCCAACGGTGGTCTTTTGTTGTAGCCGGTAGGTGTTGATGCGGGTGAGCTCGAGCGACTCGAGGGGCTCGATGGTGTCATCAGAACTATGGGAACTGCGCGAGTCACTAGTGGGGAATTCCTTGTCCCGCCCAGTATAGAGGTCCATTGGCACGGTGTGCTGTCGCGGTCAATAATTGCTCGGATGGATTCAGGAATGCTGTCTTGTCTGTCCAGCTGTGAGCAACCGGCGCTATATAGGGTGATTGCCCCATCGGCACAGAGGTTGGCTTTTCGACATTTTTTTCCCTGGTGGCCCAAGTTGGCGTCAAAGTCTTCATCCACAATGGGTCCATCGGCCGCCATGATCCAGCGATACTGGGCAATGGACCGCGACAGCTTGATCCATCTTTTTCCGCCCTGGGCACTTGCACGCTTTTGATATCCACCCTCCAGCCACACTTGGGCGGAAAGCGGTGTGGCACCCAATCAGTGACGGTGCCTGGCACGGCTACCCTCGGTGGTGTGGCTAGTGTCGACGCGCAACCGAGCGACCGACTACAGCCGTCCGTACCCGTTATCAAACTTGTTTCAGGCGAGGAAAATTTTCACGGCCATGGTCGAGATAACATTCACTGCATGGCAGTTTGATTGGCTCGGAGGTCGAACCATGGTAGTGGCGAGCGCATGGACCCGGCCTTGTTGATAAATATATCGCATCCTTCCACCAATGTTTGATTCGGGTTCAGCTACCGACTATATACAGTGCACGGGAAGTGACGGCCGTACCCGTCCATGCCGTGATACCGTTGAGGCGCCTCGGTTACCCTAATGCATATTTATAGTCCCTTTGGCGGAGCTCAATTCAAATCTTCTCCAAAATACCCCGAAGTTGGGTTGCTGAACGTCGTCATTCGACGGTAACGCACAAGATATATCTTGGTACTTCTAGACGTCACAAAAATCTCGTGAAGATCGCCACTCCGAAAAATTGCCCATGCGCTAATTTAGTCGCTTATGAGATCGATCATCATCCTCATGGGATTCCGAGGCACCGGTATCTATCCTCCGTCCGCTAGGTGCGCTAGGTGACGCAGAATAGCACCGCTCATATCCATGATACCCGATTCGGACGGTGATGTAACTAGAGCCGCCGTGTCGTCCCGTCACTTGACCGACAAACGATGATTCTAATCAGGGAACGTGTAGTCTAGTTTCTGTTTCTAACAACGACAACCTTAGGACTCGCTGCGGAGAGTCATTTAGCCGTACTAAATTGTTGTATATATCTCTGCAGGTCCAGATTGCTCAGACCTTGCGAAGTCATTGTATACGGACAGGCACTGCACCAAATGCCGAATCTATATGTATTCCGGCGTGTTATGACATATCCCAGCAGATATTACCCACCTAGAATACGTTCTCGGTCGGGTAATTGTGATTGGTTGATGGTGAAGTCAAACAAGCTGTATCCTGCATTCTTATATTGCCCGAAAGAAACCAGAAGTGATGATAATGATTTTGGAGGAAGTAGTACAAAAAACAAAAAGGATGACCGTCTCTCATCCAAGGTTTGACACGGACATCATACTAGTATCATAATCTTTTCTAAGCTAACGAATACCTCGGCATGAAGTAACGCCGACATTACAACGTTTAACAAAAGCGAATACAATAAGAGTTGCCCTTTGACCTCGTCTATATTTGACCGTATTTAAGCGATAGGACCGAAAAAGCTTAACTTATTTTCGGGATCGTACTCCTTTTTCAGGGACAGCAGGCGATCCTGACGCCACCGCTCACCCCCGTACCACTGCTCCGGCGTCTCGTCACCATAAGCATAGTTGACATAGACGCCCATTTCTTTCAATCCACTGCCTTCGTGGAGTATATTGCGAAGACGATTACCCAGCTTCGCAGCCTTGTCTTCCAGCTCCGCCCCGGCGGGCACGTAGGTGATGAGCGGCGCAGCGAGAAGATTCTCTCCCCGGAAGGCAAAGGCACTGGATTTGCTGTCGATAGCCTGGACACCTTGCGTGGAATATCCCTCGAACATGAATATCGAATTATTAAAAGCCGAGGACCCGCGGATGGCGGAGGCAAACACGTCGTATGCCCTTTTCTGGGCCGGGACATTGTAGCCCTGGAGATAGATGGGGAAACGGGGATTGGCGAGTCCTGCCTTTTGGCATGGCGGCGAGGTCGCAGCAATATTGGTCCATCCAGCGAGGTCGGTGTAGCTTCCTCCGACAGAGTCGGCAGACAGCGGGCCGATATCATGGAATGGTTTGGTGTACACTGGGTCGACCTTCTGCACCCCTTCCTGGATAATGTAGAAGAGGATAATGGGCTAGGTGCTGTTAGAAGCAAGGTCACAAATCCTTGCGCATTCGGTCAGATTGCAGAGTATGAGCACTTACATCGTTCGGGTCCGCGGTAGGGTCGTTCAGCCAGTAGGACCAGTTGATGAGATCCACAGGCTGAGTGCCGTTCTTGAGGAGATGTTCATTGGCGGCTTGGTAGACAGCTTCGACTTTGTCGCCACTGAAGACGAGCGTGTCAATCGCCCAATCGCTATCTTGAATATCATAGATCTTTGTGATCACGGACGTCACAATGCCGAAATTGTGTCCTGCACCCTTTAGAGCCCACCAAAGGTCGGAACTGGCGTCAATGGTCCTCAAGCTGCCGTCGGCGAGGACGATATTCGCGGAGACCAACTGGTCTGCAACGAGTCCGTGGTGTCCCTGGAGCCATCCATGCCCACCCCCAAGAGCCGGTCCAAGATAACTCACGCATTCGCATGTGCCTGTCACCGTTTGCTTGCCCGCCTCCCAAAGGTGGTCGGTGACGTCTTTGGAAATGGTACCGCCCCCGATCTTGGCCGTTTTCCCATCTTTCGAGATTTCTACGCTGCTCAGCTGTCTCATGTAGATCTCGATACCATGATCCATCTTGCCCAGAGTGGTAATGGCTCCATGCACGCCATTGTAGGCGAGAAAAGGCAATTCTTTTTGCTTGGCGAATTTAACCTGAGCATCTCTCCGATTAGCAAATCAGGTCCATTTGGAAACAATGATCCTGACAACAGGAAAGATCATAAGTGAGAGCCGAGAAGAGCCAACACACCGTTTCGACAACGTCTTTCTCCGTCCCTGGAACCACAACAACGTTGACTTTGGGGGCACCTAAGATAGACCATCGTGTAGATGCCTTCTCAAATTCGGTCGACCCGGGGCAATAGATCTTGCCAGTACTCGAGAGCTTCTTTCCTAGCTCCGTCAAGTCGGGGTCTCCTTCGGGGCATTCAGCTTCATGGCTATCGCGGACAAGCGACGTAGTTGCACCGACGCTCGGTATAGCCCACGCAGTCAGGAGTGCAACCACTTGAAATGGAAGCCAGTACATTGTCAATTGGGCAAAAAACATAGGGACTTGATGCGAACCTAAGGGAACGCGGAAGTAAAATTCAGATAAATAAGATGCCCAAGTGATTGGCCTCAAAGAAAGATCAAGGTAACATCAAGGACAGGGGATGCGTCCCAATTTTAATCACTGGGCGGAATAGTACGTACGTCGCTAGCTCCTGCTACTCGCATGATGGCGCCAGTACCACTAAATCTTATTCATATACCCTTCATTTATTTCACGCCGTGGACTGGAGAGACTATATTAAACCCTGTCATACCCCTGCTTAGCGGATGCTGGATCTCCCGAACCCTACAGTCTCAGTTATCCCGATAGGTTGCATACTCGCCAGCTGCGCCTTTACTGAGACCCCCCACACTTCCACCAGGGAATCATGAGCCCGGATATCATTCCCAGGAACGTGTAGGTGGAGAAAAGAATAGATATCATTAATATGTTTTTGCCGCTTTCTATAATAATCATTAGTATTGATATTATATTGGTCTTATCCCTTTACTTGTTGAAATTTTCCCTTGCCTATTCGACCCAGTTTTTGTCCTATATAGGGAGAGCCAAATCCAATGCTGCAAGTCCGTGTTCGTCAACCGGCCATGCCGGCCTCCAAACTCCGTGGCTCCAATGTCAAGCCATTCTACATCACAGAACGCGGCCGAGGCAGCCTTGCACAAATCCACAGTTGAGCTATGGTTGCTGTATACGATTGGCGTTACTTTGACGCTACTTCGAACATATACGCGAGTGAGAGCCGGTGGGATCGGGCACCTACGGGCTGAAGATTTCCTTGTCTGGGCTGGAATTGTTTGTGGCTCACACACCTTGCAATATATGTGCAAGTTATGCGTCTCCCACAATGTTGCTAATATACATTCCAAGCAGATATTTTACACGGCGCAGACAGCTCTAGCATACAGCGTTGGCAATGTCGCCCACGGCCTTGCGAACAATGGTCTGAACCGATGCTCAACGATCTACACTGTTCTATGACAGTCCAGAATACCAGGTACGGTGTGTTTATCGATTGGGATGTTGTATCCGACATTGCGAACAAGGCACTCACACCGAGACAGAGTGATAGGCTCGAAAATTCAAGTGGCTGGTTGGACTACATATTCGGTATTGATCGGTTCGCTCAAGCTGTCTATGTTGGCGTTCTACATCCGCCTTACAGTAAGTCTTTCTTTAGTAACCTTTTTATGAAACCTTTGCAAGAATACAAAGCCTGGCGATACTAATAACTCCGAGTAGGAGGGCCTTGGTTACCGATATCGAGGCCCGGTCTATGTTGGATTTGCTCTCGTGATTGGAACTATGCTCATTAGCATTATCACAATCTTCGCGGCATGCCGTCCGTTCTACGGGTACTGGCAGATCAATCCAGATCCAGGAAGTAAGGTTCTTTTCTTCCCTTTTTTATTCCCCGCATTTTGTTTTTGGTATTGATTTATTAAATGCTACATAGCTAACCTAAACACAGATGCCTGCCAGGCTGCTGTATCCAAGCCCGTTGTCTGGGCTTCCTTTGCTTCCAACGTTTCCACTGATATCTATCTTATCTTGATTCCCATCCCCATGCTTTGGATATCCAGGTTGAAGCTCCTGAAAAAAGTGACAACGACAATTGTATTTGGTGCTGGACTGTTTGTCCTCGTCTGTGCTATCCTAAAAAGTGTCTTCGTCTTGACGGTGAGCCATGAGATGTCCCTATATTTCTGGCCGCGAACTGACATCAGGAAGACCCGGTCAATGGCGCACAGCTTGCTGGAGAATGGGGCACCCGGGAGACCTTTGCTGCGGTGGTCACCACTAATCTCCCTATGATATTCCATTTCCTTCGCCCCTTACTTTCTCGCTTGGTTGGTAGTGTGTTTGGCACTACGCAGAGAACATGCAAATCCCCCATCGGCTTTTACAAGGTCGATTGCGGCGCTGGCGAGTTTTCTAGTCGAAATCGTCGAGCTCCTGAGACAGACCGTTCATCCTATGACCGCCAATTTGACGCTCAGCGAGAGTGAAGAACATATTGTTGAGAATGTGAAGATGGATGACTTCCGTGACTCGAACGTGACGGGTATTGGAAGGGAGCGCGACGGCATCGTCGTCTCTAATCAGATAGAGACAACTTATGGAGATGGTGACGACCGTCCGAGTGGGCATGGGCGGCGCGGGTGGGAGGCTTGATAGCTACACTGTCTACTTCGTATTCTTTAGTGACGGCAAAACGCTGGGATCGCTATAGTGTACCAAATGAGGATCTCGATCCATTCCTGCCAATGTTACTGGGTTTGACCTGACTGATATCCCCTCCGAATAATGGCCAACGGTGTTGCAATCTGCTCGTTCCCTTCCCTGTCTTCTGCGAGCCAACTACCGAACTGGTCATTCGCCAGAGTGCTCCACGCCCACAAGGCTGCTCGTGGTAGATCCCACCAGCTGGGTGATAGAACGCGAGGAAGACCAGGAATATACTCCTAGCCGCTTTACCAAACGTTGGCCAACGTTTTGGCGTAGCAGTCTTGAGATATATATATATAGAGAGAGATATATGCATTATCCTTGAATATATCGCCGTTTCCGGGATCCTTCCAAGACGCTGACGGCCGAGGGGCCCAAGTAGGGCCCGTCAGCTCGCATCAGCATTGTGGTCATGGGTTGATGTCGTCTTGGATACTCAGTATAGGGGTGAAAGAGTGGTAATACTAGCAGGCCACCTAGGCCTCCCTACACAGGCGCTGAAATTCTGGTTCTTAGTCTTTCCTAACTTTATAGGCCTGGAATTAACTATAGAGAGGGAGATGCGGCCTGCCGGACGTGACTGAAGTTTTGGCATTTCATATATATATAAATATAAAGAGTGTTGTCGGTTTGACAAAGGTGAGATAATATAATAGTATAACTGTGATTTTAAGATCTCTTAATAGATATGTGTTAGGGTATAGTGACTAGAGTGTCGGTGACTTAGATCTTTAAGAATATCTATTAAGTCTGACTCTAGATATATAATATCTATAGTTACTTAGTATTCTTAGCCACTTTGAGTAAGTCTATAGCTTATGTATATATTAGGTCGAGTACACGGGATACGAGATTCCTTTGGAGATCTCAGCCCATTTGGCAAGGGGTGATCCTTTATAGGACCCCTAGGTAGGTAGCTAGGTAGCTAGATAGCGAGAGATAGCTAGGGATAGCTAGGGATAGCTAGGGATAACTAGGGATTTTCAGGGGTATTTCCAGTCCCCTGGGGATATTGCAAGTCCCCCCCCTGGTGATATAGGTATAAATGGGTTTTCTAGGGGTGCCGGCCACGCTCGTTTCGACCGATTCGAAGGAGGAGAGGTGTAGAGACGAGCGGCTTGCGTCGCAGTCTTGAGATATACTAATAGGATCCTGATAGTTAGGTGACGGAAACAAATGTCACTCTGAGGGTCGAAGGCCAGGATTACCTGCGTGTGGGTTGGAAGTTTGCCAAAGGCAGGTCGCTGAAGGGCAAAGTTGTGTCTTTTGGATAAAGACATCACATAAAATCTTGGCCGCTAGACCAAAAATGCTGACCAACACTTTGGTTTGGGGGGGGGGCTTGACCTGACTGATATCCCGGGATAAACTATTGGTTTGGAGACAACCGAAAATGCGCCCAGGGTTGGATCACCATCCTAGTATGATGATTGTGATGGATGAGATGTGAGTTGCTTTTCCGTAGAAGGATGGAAGTTGTCATGTGTGGGAGGACCGATGAAACGGTCCAGATATCGATGGCCATGTGACCCTGTCGAAAGTTCTTCACCCCCCACCAACGTTGAATGCACACCTCCTCCGGAGGTAACATCAATGCCTAATCCTGCAGCATCAAATCGTGTTCTCGACCACGCCCTGTCCATTGACAGCATGATTGGTGTGGGTGAGGTCAACCTGCGATGTCACCTTGCCCTGCCGGTCCATCCGGTCTCACCATCCCAACCCACCTCCAGCTGATATAGGATGTTGTTGCTCAGATGGTGTCTCATAGCGCAACGAGTACTCCACATAAGTTTGGTATACCCTGGAAGGCTGTCAAGTGTAGAACGAACCCTCGCCAGGGGGGAATGCTCCATACGTGGAGGGGAGTCCATGCTGGCTACGTCGAAGCAACCCCATGGTCATTGCAAGCCCGGCTGCTAAGTGGTGTTAAATCACAAGATGCTGACAGAAGAATGCTATTGTTAAAGTGCCGAGGGTAACACAGGGTCCCGTCCCATGGATACTTATATGGCGGTTTATCCCACGCGTACACTGGCAGTGCGGTCCCAGCTGCTGGCTGCGTTGAGAATATTTTATTTCCTACTATCACTTACATAAGGACCCATACACCTCGACCCCTAACCATGCGACGCATCTTTTATTCCCTCCCTTGGGCCGCCATCGCCTGGGGTGGAACCCCTCCCCAGCCACAGCTACGGGTGCTTACACGCGATGTATGTATCATCGGCGGAGGAGCAGCGGGGTCATATGCTGCCGTGCGACTGCAGGAGGCGAACCAGAGTGTTGTGGTTATCGAGAAGAAGGATCGTCTCGGGGGGCATGTTGACACATACACGGATCCGAATACTGGATCCGCGGCCGACTTTGGGGTTTCTGCTCTGCTGGACATTCCCGAGACGGACCACTTTCTCACGTCGTTGGGTGTCCCGTTCAATCGAGGATATCTCTTCAGCTCTAACGTTACCCGGTTCGACTTTCGTACTGGGAAGGCCGTACCATCTCTGGGAAACTCGACGGAGGGCCTCACCAACTGGGCGACGTTCTTGACGCAGCATCCATACTTGCGGGTCGGGATCGACCTGCCCCACCCTGTTCCCGAAGAGCTGCTGTTGCCGTTCGGCGAGTTCCTCGAGAAATACAAAATCGGCGCGGCAGCGGAGTTCGTCAGTCTCAACAACCAGGGCATGGGCGACTGGCTGCGTTACCCGGCCCTCTACCACCTGAAATACTTCAGTCTCGAGACTCTGATGGGCTATGCGCAGCAGAAGTTTATTTTTATTGCGAATCGCAACACGAGCTCCGTGTATAGCGCAGCAGCAGCCAAGATTGGGTCAGAAAATATTCTGTACAGCGGCCGAGTGGTCCAAACCACCCGTGCTAGAGACGGAGACGATACGCCCCATACGCTCGTTGTGGAGACCCCCCAGGGACCCGTGGTGGTGGTGGCGAAGAGTCTTCTGCTAGCCATGCCTCCAACTGAGTCAAACACGAAGGCGTTGGCCCTGGAGCCCAACGAACAGCAACTTGTGAAACAGTGGAAACATTCCTACTACTATGCGGGGGTCGTGAGAGTTACCGGACTCCCAGAGGATGTGGTTATCTACAACCGAGGCTTGAACACTCCGTTCTCCCTGCCCCCCCATCCCTGCCTCTACGTCATAAATCCCGTAGGGGTTCCCGGGCTACGACAGGTAGTGTACGGGAGTGACTCCCCGCTGAGCGAGGGAGACGTCAAGGCGGCCATTGCAAGGGATATTGTCGGGCTCCGTCGAGCGGGCTATACCGAAGTCAGAGCACCCCAATTCCTGAGTTTTACCGATCACAGTCCCTACTCACTATCCGTGGAGCCTGAGGCAATCCGTGACGGGTATTACCGCCAGTGGAACTCGGTCCAAGGTCACCGTAATACATGGTGGGTAGGCTCAGCCATGGAGTGCCCCAACTCGGGGGCAAACTGGAGGTTTGTTGACAAGATTTTGGCACTGATTGGGAAGACGTGATCAACGATAAATGTTACTCAGGGTCGATTAATGCGATCGTGGGAGCGAGTCATTACCGCGTATCTTGGATTTCATCTACGGAGGGATATCACTGGTGGCAGTATGTGATGTCGTTGGACGGACTGGAATAAATATCCTCAGGAATGCCATTCACTATCCTATCAGGGGATAAATCCCATACTAGTATCAGACCCCCGTAACCACTTCTACCACTCACATGAAAGGTCATTGTACATGATAACAGGCTCGGGAACACGCACAGCACAGATCATATAGTTTCCCAGGATGCGCCTACGGAATCCCGCCTCACAGTAAAGAAAATAGTACAGCCAACGCCTGCGATAGGCTTCAACATCCGCCGTGCCCGCCCCGGGGTGTTTGTCGCAGAAGTCCTTGCGAATGGCATCCCAGTCTTGAACGAAGTTGTCCTTCCACGCGAGTAGTGTCTTCCCGTAGTGAGGGCCCGTATTGATCACCGACGAGACTTCCAGCGTGCCGTTGCTGCCACGGTTCATTGCTTCCAGCAGGACACTCGGCGTAGGTAGGTACCCACCGGGAAAGACGTATTTGTCGATGTAATCTCCCACGAGCGGGTTTGCCTTGTAAAACTGTAATATTGTCAATGAAAGGCCATCTCAATTAGAGACTCTGACACAAACCGTGCTTATTTTCGTTATACCGTCGATGACCACCACTCCGCCATCTTTCTTCAGTAGGCGGCTGATCGTTTCAAAGTACTGATCCATATACTGAGGTCCAACGTGCTCAAACATCCCAACCGAGATAATCTGGTCATATCCGTTGTCCGGGCAAGGGGCCTGGCGGTAGTCGCACAGAAGCACGCGGACCTGACCTTCCAATCCTGCCTGTTTTATCCGTTCGTCAGCCAGAGCTTTCTGCTCCTCGGACAAGGTCAAGCCTGTCGCTTTGCATCCTATTTCTCGCGCAGCTGTGATTATCAGATCTCCCCATCCGCAGCCTATATCCAACAGGTGGTGACCTGATTCGATCCGCGCCTTCTTGATGAGATGATGCACCTTTCTCCTCTGGGCGACTTCGAGAGTTTCATCGGGATCGGCTGACCAGTGAGCGCATGAATAGTTCATATCCGGGGATAGAAAGTTCGAAAATAACGTATTCGATGTATCATAGTGGGACGCAATGTGTAGTCTCGCATTGTCGATGTTGTTCACCGGTCGCCACCACCGAGTCACCCGCGGGACCCATTGCAGCAGGAAACTGCCTGCGTCCAGGGCACTGGGATTTTGAATATATAACTGGGACTGGTCAGTGAGAATTTGTATTGCAACTAGGCTGTGGGACTTGCGTCGAAGACTTTGCTGAGGTTGTCGCAGTCCACTTCTTGGAGCATGTACGCCTCTGCGAACCCCTATATCTTGCTGTCAGCTTGGGTATATCACTAGAATCATGGCATATCATACCAGGTCGAAATCGGAGAGTAACCTCGTCCACAGCTTATTGTCATTGATATAAATCGTCACTCCGTCGTCAAGATGCTCCGCCAACCTTCCATCGCATAGCACTTGCTCCTCGCCGCCCACTCGAGATACCAATTTTACTGGCGCCGACGTTCTGCGCAACGTCTGCTCCACGAATTGGAAGGCATATCGTTGGATTGAGTCACTGATCGTGTCATACATAATTCACTTGGGTTCTTGTCCGGAGCAAAGAGCAGGTGGCGCTCTGCTCCAAATTCCCAATTTCATCAATTCCACCTTGCTTGAATTTTGTAAGACACAATCCGCGCCGTCACCTGTGACCACCGTGCATGGCCATATAAACTGCCAACCAATTGAGTCCGATCCCTGCCGATACATGCTGGTTTGTCGGCAACCGGACGCGAGGGGCGCCCGTAATCTTTTGAGCTGAGTGTTGACAACAAATAAGTCAAAACTCTGTCGGCAGCTATCTTTTTTGTCTGACACATCAACTTCCTGCATGTAGACGCCTTATCACCTGTGGATAGGTGTTGTTGCACGGTCTACAAATCCACTGCTAATGCTGGCAACAAGTTTTGCCACAAAACCCCCTTGTTATTAAACACTATAGCTACTGGAGAACTACATGGCAATGCGGATATACAATAATTGCCTATCTAAGCAACATTCTTGTTAGCAATTGTCATATGGAGGCCGCGGTGTATTAGCGCATCGCAGACGCCGTGCGTATCGTATCAATTCAGTATCCCACCGCAACCCACAGGAAGCTTCCCAGTATAGGCACCCATGTAACAAAGTCATTATTAGGGGGTCATAAACCCAGAGCGTTTTGAATTTAAACAGGTGGGGGAAATCGTCCACCCGAAAAAGTCTACCACACAACGTCATGAACTACAAGTGAATTGGTAAATCAATACCGAAGGATTTGAAGGCGGACTACTCCGTAGAGAAGTTTGAATGATATCCCATGGCACTATTACAAACCTGCATGTGGTGAATCGTTAGTGGATACTAGCAATGGGATTATTTCGCAGAATCATCAGGACCTTCCGGCCAGATTTGAACTGGAATTCGCCCATATAGCCCGAGAACAATGGATCTTGTTAAACCCGAAGCTCAAGTCAGGCTAAATTTCCTGACACCCAAACACCGTGTCCGTAGTTGATAGAAACCCCGCCTGATGAACATGTCGAATTCTGTTTCTGATCTGGACAAGGTCATGCAGGATAGCCAGAGATAATCTATTGGTCATACGCAAGGCATGTCAGCACTAATGCCACTTTTTACGCCACATTGGATCCTCGTGAAATGGGGTTCCCCGCCTCACCCAGGACATCATTACACCGGTTACTGCTCTCTTGGTTTCTTCAGACAATAAAAGGGCCTCAGTGTAGATCTGGATCTATGCATCTTGCTGAAAAATGAAAACAACGAGACCTCCCCGGAAATCCTAGTGATATCTACTTAGCCAACCCCAAGGCCGGGTCGGATAATGGAAAGCTGCACACGCTTCTATGTCCCTTGAACTGGGTAAATGTAAAGATAATACATAATACTGCATAATGCTTCGTCAGACGGACATCGCAAACTCACCAAGTCATTCTTTCCCGATCCTAAAACCCACGAGGTCCTCCATAAGAACCTCGAGCTTTTCCATGCTATGAGCATCAGACCACAATCTATAAATCCCCACATTAAAGACATACTCAGTCACTGCATAGTAGGGATGCTGCCGAGTACTCAGGTGGTTAGCTTCAAATAACTAATGCATCCATAATACGACAAGGCCGGTCGGACAGCCATGGCAAACTCCCAGTCAATGGATGTCTGGGTGTTAGCCACTGGGCTCCATTTAGCCTTAGAATCCTAGTCTCTATTCTGCCCGGATCAAAGAATGGAGATCCAATATCATGAACATGAGAACCCCGTCAACTCGCTGACATACTTTTCACTCCAGTTTATGCCAGCAATCAACAACCCCCCAAATTGGGGAGTGTCTACGAATTACTTCGCAGGTTTTCCAAAAACCCTGTCAGACGTGGTTTCTGCACCGTTCTCGGATATGGCGAGTACTGCAGGAGATTCTCTGCCTTCCAATGTACCAAGCAACACACCTGAGCAATACGCCCAAAACATCCATGAAGCTTGCGAGAAAACATCGGGAACGGGTCTCTTCCCAAGTGCGCACTATCGTCCTTTATCAATTTTTCTGAAGTCCACTTCGGATTGTCATCTGCCGGTCCGCGTCCCGGGTTCCGAAGCAGCGTTTCCAAGTCCTCCACCACAGGTCGATCTCTAGACGACTTCCCAGACGTACCTACATTGCCGACGACTTCGTTGTACGATCGGCCGTACGCGCGAAGGCGAGATGATGTTTCTGATTGGCGTCGCAAAGTCCGGCTCGCCGCGACAGCCAATCAAGCAGCTATTTGTCAACGTGCCAGCGCTGGCGAGACTGTCATCCAAAATGTATCAACCCTGCTCGCAACCTGACATCGATAGAACATGACGTCTCGATATATTTACAAGAGACAGTGAATGGCTGCAGACTTTGTGAGTGCTGGGTGATTGGCTATTGAGGCTAAATTTCAACTCAAATTGACCCAGCATAGTCTTCGTTCTTGTTGAAAATGGGCTCAGTTTGCATATCCCATCGTACTTAAGTGGATATGGCTTCAGTGACTATGACGGTCGGTTCAGGACATCGGGATACCCCGACTGGCCCCAGCATCCTATAATTATTGCCAGGCCCGAGGCTATCCACACCCGTATTCCTCATGGATTGTTTCCTGATCATGGTCAACATCATGTAACCCACTCTGACTCGTCTTGTCAAGTCGTGTCGCGTTTACGTTTCATTTCTTGGCGTCCTGTATCAAGAGCCATACACCATAGAAACCACGCCCAAACATCGTGGTGCTGTTGAAGGAGGTGTTGATGCTTATTGCAAGCATCGAATGTCGGTTTCTTGATTAGGTACATAACATAATCAAGGGAGGACAAGATATCGGGCATATGGGGCCTGTCCTTGATGATCTGGCATATATCAAGATACTTCTAGGGGACCACAGACCTCGATTACAAGTGATCATTACCTTCTTGGGTCGTTGCAGCTCCTCCAGCGCTAATTTACATATTGACTGGCAGCAGCTGGGCTCAATATCCACAGACTTAGAGGAGCTTCTGAGCCGTAACAAATCTTTGGCCGAGCTATGTGTTGAATCTCATGACAAACGGCGCTATGCGCAAAGAGTCGCGAGCAATTGTCGAAACAGCAGACATCCAAAAGCGGTTAACTATTTTGGCTTACTTCTTTCTACCATCAAGCCTTGCCTCGTCCATCTTTGGATTGAATGTGAAAGAGTTTGGTACAGGAACCCAGCCTAATATGAACATCAATTTTATAGGCCAGTGTTCCATGCATGTTTGGTCTCCCTGTTTCGAGACAACCGCAAAGAATGTATTCTTTATGGCGTGGAATAACTTAAGCCTTGTGTCAGGTTCTGAATCGTAGATTAGTTACCTAAATCTCCAACATCATGAGCAAGCCCCTTCTTAGCGGGTTAATCTGAAGGGCAGTGAGAATTCTAGAGAAATATAGGGGGAGGAAACGGTAGGAACATGCCAGATCAAACAAGGATATTAATTCATGTGTATTCCATAATTGAAGCAGCGTACTTCACAGTCACCGTAGTAGAGTCCACAAGGTAACATTCCAACGGACTCCGGCACGATCTGTCGGTCGGCGGAATGTCTGAGACTTGTACAGGGTAGATTAGCGACCCACCACGATCTCATGGTGATGATCAGTTTACGCGGCATCCGACCGCATGTCAAGCTTTGGTTCTGTTGTTGTCACCTGCTGGGTTTCAGTGGTTGTTTCCTCATTGAATATCTTTTACAACCAAGCTCCACGCATTTTGGACTTGGGTCGGCCACTAGAGACGTAGTGGGCGTGAACAATGGCGCTGTGCTAAATGAGCTAGGTGTTGGTCCAGCCGGTTTATCGAGAGCTCACCAATAGTCAATAATATGACACGCCTCGGAATGTGGCCTGACTCGCAGGAAAACACGCTGGGGTTATGATTATAGAAGATGTTCGCGAGGATAACGAACAGACAGAGAGTGAAGTCCTAGGACGAGAAAGATCAGGCGGTCGCTCCGAGACATCACATCAGACTCCATCGAGTGTCCACCTCAGCATTGAAGCTATCCTGAACGCAGAGACGGACTCATACCCCTACCTGATGAACCTTCAAAGACGGCATCTCCGAGACAAACTGCGGTGGCTGATGCTTAACTTGTGTCACAATCTCGCTGATAGGGCACTACGAAACGCCGGTCTCCCCGTCTGGACATTGCTCCGATCATACCCCGGACCATCCTGGCATGGTAGCCTGTCTGGGCGGTTACCAGCGGAACCTACAACTACGATCGACCAACCCCTTGACGGCGCCATTGTGTTAGGGCTGGATCGAAGCCTTTTGATGGTGACACCCCATGACAGATTATCGGAAAGAGCTATATCGTGATGGGTTATGGCCTGATAGCTAACCGCGGCGATGATTCGGGGCCAAGATCCAGACTAACCAACAATGTCACCCATGCGGCCATTGTAGTGCGTCCCCACCACGCCATCACAATGAATGTCAGGCCAGGAAAGGATCGGCAGGTCCACTCGTCCATCGTCGTCTGTGTCGCCTCCTGTGATTGGAGTTGAATTCCACTCTTAAACGGGAGACCGAGGGCATCATGGACCCCCTCTCGGACTCCGGAGAGGCCCCACCAGACCCCTGATAATGCAATCTCTTGAACTGCCCCTGATTTGCTCCCATGCGACAGAAATGCTGAAATGAACCGGCCCATGGACAACTGGACCAGGATCAACGCAATCATCGTGAAGATGTAACCCCCGCCTGCCCTGGGATCTGCGTGTTTGAAAGACACATTCCCCTCACGCTAAGGTCCCTGGTCCTGGAGAACCGACTTCTGCCGTCTTCTGAGGCGTTTGGATTGGCAGCGAGATGGTATAAGATTTTCTTGGCAGGTCCGCACTGCTTATCGTCGTGCCAGACCGGCCTCGCGAGAAGCTAGCAGGTTACAGATATAGGCGGAGATTGGATGAACTGTGCCCACCCCAAAGAAGTTTAAATACCGAGGCCCCCAAACTTGCATCTTGGAGCTTCCCTCAGGATTCCCCACCCACTGCACATCCACACACGGCAGTATGAGACTTCTTGCCGGTTTATCGGCCGTCGCGGCCCTGTTGGGCTCCGTCCAGGCATCCCCCAAGGCCCGCTCCGCAAGCACCGTGTCCTCCATCGTGGAGAACGGCATCGAATACACCGTGTTCAACCATGGGGCCACCGGGGCCAAGCTGCAGTTTGTGAACAACTCCGGTATCTGCGAGACGACTAAGGGCGTCAACCAGTACTCGGGATACATCTCGGTGGGCGAGAAGATGAACATGTGGTTTTGGTATGCTCCTACCTCAACAGCTGTCTGAACAACCTCGCGTTGTCTGCTATGCAACCAATTCGATCCCATCCCGGAGACATACTGACCGCATCCAATGAAACAGGTTCTTCGAAGCACGCAAAGACCCGAAGACGGCGCCCCTGTCGGCTTGGTTCAACGGTGGCCCCGGATGCTCGTCCATGATCGGCCTGTTCCAGGAGAACGGACCGTGTCACTTCGTCGACGGCGAGAAGGAGCCGTCGCTCAACGAGCACAGCTTCAACAACTTCGCCAACATGCTCTATATCGATCAGCCCATCGGCGTGGGCTACTCCTACGGCACGGAGGACGTCAGCGGCACCGATGAAGCCGCCCCCCTGGTGTGGAAGCTGATCCAGGCCTTCTACGAACAATTCCCTCAATATGAGAGCCGTGACTTTGGCATCTTCACCGAGGTACCCCGCCCACACCTAGCCTCATTAAGGAGACAGGACCATACTAACATGACTAGTCCTACGGTGGCCACTACGGACCTGGCTTTGCCAACTACATCCAGCAGCAGAACAAGGAGGTCGCGGCCGGCTCCGTCGAGGGAGAGAAGATCGACCTGATCGCTCTGGGCGTCAACAACGGCCTCATGGATTCCAAGATCCAGGAAAAGTCCTACATCGATTTCGCCTTCAACAACACCTACCGCCAGCTCATCGACAAGGCCGACCGTGACAGCTACTACGAAACCCTCGAGAGCGAGTGCCTCCCCGCCTTGGAGAAATGCCTCAAGGACGAGGACGACGACTTGTGCGCGACCTCCAGTCAGACCTGCTCTATGGGGATTGAGAACCCCATCGGCAACAGCGGGGACTTCAATGTCTACGACGTCCGCGCGCCGGCCAACGACCCCAACCCGCCCACCACGTACCAGGACTACCTGGCTGACCCAGAGATCATGAAGAAGATTGGTGCCAAGTCAGAGTACCAGGATTGCGCGAGTGGTGCAAACATGAGGTTCTCTTCGACGGGCGATCGTATGTTTCTTCCTGTTCTCGCTATTCCCTAGAGTGGAGGCTGACCCCGCTAGATTCCAAGTCCTACCTCGACGAGCTGTCCAATGTCGTCAAGTCCGGTATCCAGGTCTTGGTGTGGGCCGGTGACGCCGACTGGATCTGCAACTGGTACGGCAACTACGATGTCGCCAACGCGGTGGACTACCCCGGCAAGGAGGAGTTTGCGGGCAAGGACCTCAAGCCCTATACCGTCAACGGCAAGGAGAAGGGTACCTTCAAGAACGTGGAGAACTTCTCGTTCCTGCGCGTGTACGAGGCTGGCCATATGGTTATGTACTACCGTGAGTATTCGTGTCCGTATTACATATGGGGCAGTGTGCTGACCGATTCTCAGAGCCCGAACTCTCCCTGCAGGCGTTTGTGCAGACGATGCAGAAGAAGCCGATCTCCTCGACCTAAACGGGGACGAATTCGTCGCGGTACTCATTACGAGTACGGTTTACTTTCTACCGTTGTGTAAAAGAAGTGTAGCCAGTGTTTGGCCATTCCATATTGTACTTCTTGCCTAGTCTCATCGCCCTGAGGGTGGAGTCCTTGGCATCTTTATCATGATAAATATTATATTTCATTTACCAAGTCCCGTTACCTTTGTATGGGACAGGCTAGATATTGATCCTTTGTCACCGTACGTTAAAGCCGTACTTCCAAGCACATATTCCGGATGATTTACTTGAATTCCGCGATGGGATAGATGTTATATCGCCCTTAAAGGTTTGGAATACCGACCACAACTATGACTCGGTTTCGTCGATACTCGCTATACTGAACAGATGATGGGAACCGATAGGGAGCATGAGGCTCTTAAACATACTGCCTGCATGTATTTCATTGTCTTTGTCGGCAGATCTTTACTCGTGAAACAAGTTGACAATGCCGAAGGATGTACCTTGTCATCTCGAGGCACTGGAAAAAACACATGAGGCGCGACGAGTACAGTTAGTACAAATAATTCCTGCACATGTTGCCTGCTTTGTACCCTTTTATTCGACATTCTGCTTGTCAATCCTCCTTGTGCTCGCTTTGTCCTTTGTGCGTTGATTCGAACACGTTGCCTCCTTTGTACCCTTTGATTCAGTGTTTCGCATGTCAATCCTCCTTGTGCTTGCTTTGTCCTCTGTGCTTTGACTCGAACATGTTCTCTGTTTATTGCTGTCGGGGTTCCAATTGTACTCCTCCCCGAGCAGACGTAGATAGATATAAAGCATTCGTCCGATCTACACTGAGACGGTCTTTGAGCTTTCATCTTACATACAACTACAACTATATACATACGACAACAATATACGACAACTATATACAACGACCGTCCTACTACGACAATTTCGGATCAGTACATATCGTTACTTCCTTAACCTAAACTATCACCGTATTGACGCAATGACCAATTCCAGAACCCTCAGTCAGCTTCCGTCCGAGCTTCTCCTCGAAATCGCCGAGTGCCTGGAGCCTCACGACCTCTTGTCTTTCATGATAGTGTTTCCCAGCCTTGCATACATTATGCCGAGACGGCTAGTGGCCAACGAAGATAGGATCGGCGCTCTCTTGCACTACATGGCTAACGACCACGGTAGCGCCGAGATTTGCAGGCGATTGATTCCCCGGATGGAAATCGACGTCAACGCCACGCCTCGATACACAGACAGTTATTTGGAGAGTGCGATTCTGAACCAACACGACGTGATGGTCGATGCGCTGCTCGCAAGACCAGATATCAAAATCAATGGCTACAAAGCCGACCGCAGCGTATTGTATGTTGCTGTTAGGGACAAATGTATCCCAAGTCTGAAAAAGCTTCTAGCGAGGAACGATATCAAAGTCAATGCGCACAAGAGGAGAGACATGACCGTGTTGGCGCATGCTACAATGCATGGGTATACGGAGGCGGTGAGACTGCTCTTGGAGGCACCTGGAATCGTGATCGAGCCCGAGGGAAGTACTTTTGCTACTCCGCTGACTCTTGCAGCTGATGCAGGTTACTATGATATTGTGAAGCTACTTCTGCCCCTGGCACATCACACTGACGCCACAGGAGCCCCGTTGGTTGACGTCAACGCCCAAAGCTGGCGCGGCAAGACGGCTCTCATACGGGCGACCCTGAATCGACACACCAACGTGGTGCAATTGCTAATGAAACATGACCAACTCCACGTGAACGCCAGGGACGACAACGGCCGGTCCGCTCTCTCGTACGCGGCGGAGGTGGGGCACCTCGCGATCATGAGGAGGCTTCTGGCCCGACCCGATATTAACATGAATGAACGGGATATCCATCGTCGGACGCCGCTATCATATGCCGCCTCCGGGGGATTCTTCGCGGCTTGTAAGATGCTGGTCGAGCACCCCGATACTGAACCCCACGCAGTGGACGCCACGCAGCGGACACCCCTCACGCATTCCGTCCTGTCCGGGAGCGTGAAGGTTTTTCGCCTACTTCTGAGCCAATGCACGGAACGCGAGGAGGATCTGAAGGATCATACGGGGCGTGGCGCCTGGCATTATGCTAACGCTATGAAGCGAACCAAATTGATGAAAATCTTCATGGCCTTTAAATCGGATAAATACTTCGGACGCTACACCGGCGAGATTGAAGACTTTGACAGCGAAGACAGCGAAGAGATCGAAGACATCGATGATGGCGATGACGGTCATGACAGCGATGTGATGGATGAGGGCGAGGACTAGCGCGATCCGGGTATGGATGACGCCCGAATGCCCGGGTCATGATCAACACCGTGTGGACTAATGGCAGGAGGACGGTGAGTAAATAGCATCTTGCCCATTGGAACTGATAGAAGAAGGTTTTACGTCCATTTCACTGCAATGTTGCCCACTATTTGTCCTGTAAGCCGTGCTCGTTGCTTCGTCGAACCGCGTACTTGTCCATAAGACCTGCGGGTTATGTGTTCCGCATATGCGAACGGAGTCAGGTGGACAGTCATCTCTCTTGTAAGTCCCTTAGTATAAGGAAGATTACAAGTTAATCACAACGTGGGCACCGCGGGGGTTGCTAAACAGCCAAGTGGCTGTCCTTCGTATCCCGGTGTGGCCGACTGCAGTTCTCACGCGTCAGGTTTCGAGCAGGGAACTCGGAGCAAACTTTCCGGTCGGTCCAATATGGTCCTAGAATAGAAAAAAATCTCTCATTTTGTCATCACTATGATGTGTTCTCAGCCACTACTCCAAGAACACTCACCAGCACTTTGGGGGGGCTTGACCTGACTGATACCCCCAACATGTTTCGTGTCAGGGGCTCGAGGGACCAGGATGGGAGTGATTTTGGACGTCGTAACGAATGAGCCGATGCATTAGTACGATCCACATTTCGTCTGTCGGAGAACGACCGATCCCGATTGTCTGAGACCTTCAGTTCTATTCATGGATCGGATGTCGAGAAAAGATGCTCTGCCGAATCGACGTCACAGCTGCATGTCTGAGACAAAAGGGCTATATATAACCGGATCAGTGGCTCCGCCAAGACGACGCCGGCTGAAACCCGCCGCCCGATCGAGCCCTATGGAGCCGTCGCCGTATTATCCGAGACATCGCCAGACGGGGACGAGAAATACTATAAATACCGGCCTGTCCTCGTCAACATGATCCAATTCCTCACTATCACCCTCTTCAAGATCCCTGTTTCTTCAACAACACAAAACCAGAATCCATCATGAAGATCGCCGTTGCTCTCTCCACCGCCCTGGCCGTCACGGTCTCCGCGTTCGACAAGAATATCCGTACGTTATTCCTTTGAAGTCAGGATGAACGAAGTTAACTAGATGCCATCAGCTTGGGGAAAGCGGGACTACCCCTGTGTCAACGTCTTCCAAGGGATTCCCGACAACTCCACCGTCAGCCGAGGCGCCAAGATTGACATCAAGTTCAACCGGGCGCCCACCACCCACTGCGACGACAGTCTGGCCAAGTACAAGGGGGAGGCCTACTCCGCGTGGCTGTACAACAATCTCTCGCGCGACCGCGACAACATCAACTTCGACCAACAGGTCAAGGTCAAGGGTGATATCGCCGAGTCGGATGGTGCGGTGACCATCACCATTCCGAAGGATCTGCCGGCGGTTGATGATAAGACCGTTTGGTATCTGCGCCTGGATACCACTTTGAGCACTGCGCCTCAGGTAAGCCATCCTACTGGGGATCGTGATTGATACGATTAACTGACTGGATAGATGCCCTCTCTCTTTAATGCCGCGGGACCGTTCACCATCAACTAGATGGTGACTTGACACAGTCCTCTATTCGGTGCCAATATTATGCGAAGCCCACTATTTCCAGCCAATTTATGATAGCGTCGTTGTTCATCCGTCATGCATAGTTATTTTCCTGGTTTTGGCTCATTTCTAAACACGTCTGTGCCTGTTAATATCATTCACACCAAAGACAAACTCGCCCTCACGACCTGTACTTTAATTTTCTCCTTCAATTTGAATATGATGTCAAACATGAATCTTTACTCCGTCATGTATGCCTCATCCACCCCAAGTATCCATCGTAGTATACGTTGAAGAACCATCAACCTCCCATTCCAATGAACAAAGCTCCCACCACACCCGCGAGCGGCGCATACCCCCAATGATTCCACTCCCCGTGTCCATTCCTCCAGCAGACGACCCCATCCCCGACGGCGACCGCACCAACCGCCAGTATGATCCACCCCAGAGCCCTCCGGGACCCACACCACGCGGTCGCGTAGATCGCGATCCCCATGAAAATGTCGCGAATTCCGTAGACGGTCAGCAGGCTATCGACGAGATTCTGTTCGGCCTCGATAGTGGGGTAGTCGAATTCGAAAAAGGAGAGCGCGTGTTCCGGGCGGAGGATCGCGTTGATGCCAAAGCTGATGCAGATTGTGCCGAGCGCGGCAGCGATGAGGGGAGGAATCGCGGAGGTGGTTGGCATTTTCCAAATTGTAGTTTCTGTGCTTTTCTTTTCTTTCCAGATGGCTGTTGGGTTGAAGTGCAGCTGTATCGCTGGATGGGATGGAAGGTGAGACGGTGGTGAGATAGGGAGTTGAAACCCCGCTGCTGCCTGGAGGATTGTGGTGGTTAGTGGTTGGACCGGAAACCACAATGTTTTCTGACTAGTCAGATATACAGTATCATTATGACACTGCTGAATGAATGTGTGCTACGAGAGTAAAGAAATGGTTTATGGTGATGTTGACGATCCTGTCGTTGACAAACTAGCAATCAATGTTCCGCTCTCTCCTATATATATATCCCCAAAATACCCTCTATGCGATCCCTTCTGACTCCAGTCGTATAGTAATGATCTATACCACAGCCATCCTATTCTTGGCGCGCTTTCGACTTCTGGCTCCGCCCCAACACGACCGTACTTAAATCCCCCACCGGAATAGCAATCGGAAAGTCGACAGACTCCAGAAGCTGCGCGATAAATATGTACCAGATGGGCATACACAGTGCGAAATTGAATGCACCGCCGATCTGTTGCCAAGTAGTTAGCGTACCATTCCCCTGGTTTCGAAAATGAAGCAATCGGCCACTGACCACTTGTAGTTTCTCTGCCATAGCAGTCGCTCCCAGAGCCAGCTGGAAGTAGGACCCGGCGAACAACCCAAACGTGATGACGAGCAGGAACAGCGCCCCAAACAGACAGATGTTGGTTCGAATCGAACAGATCAGGTACACGAAGGTGACGATGGATAGAGCGACGTAGTAAAACCCTAACGCGGCGTTAACAGAACTCTCCCATGACAATCAAGACAAAATCCGAGGTCATACCAGCAGTAGCATGGAACATTGGTGTTTCCATGCCTTCAAGATTACTCCCCGAGGTCGCATATTGTAAACCGGTGGCGAAGAAAGGCATTAATGTTGTAGCTTGAACGATCCAGAAGGTCCCTGGTTCCGGTTAGCCTGTAGGTTTGAAGGCGACATTGCGGAGAATTTACCATATGTAAAGAAGACAGCACTAGAGAAGGTGTTTCCAATAATCCATTCGCCGATGGCGCCGATGACCTGCACCATGCCGCCAAAGAAGATATAAACCGGTCTGCTATCGTCAGAAAATGGGCCCTGGAACCGTCCAAGAAGAACTCACATAATTGCGCCACCAAGCCCGCCGGCACCACGCCATCCCATCAAGATACACGCGTTCGGCGTCGAGGCCACCAAGAACCCCATCAGACAGATTGGGGTTGGGTTTCCCAGCTTCTTCCGCAGGTCGCCCGCGACCGACGGATGCTTGGGAGTTAGGTACAGTTTCTCGAACACATCACGCGGGAGAGGCAGGAGAACACTCTCAGCCGTCTTAGTCGGACGGAGAGTACTATCGTCCTGCTTTTCGCTGAGATCGCTGGACATGGTTTGGACGGCTTCTTGGCTTTCGGTCTATAACGAACAGAAAAGGAAGATTGAACGGTTTGCGAGACAACAGCGGGCTCAAGATCTCTTCAGAGCCTTTTGCTCCCCCTTTTATAGCCGCTGGGGAACCCCCGCTACTCCCCAGAATGGCCAATGTCCACAATGATGACGACTTCACAACAATGTGGGGAAAACCCGGGGTTGAACCAAGTAAACTGGGTAAGGGAGCAGCGCCATGGAGTCAGCTGGTCTCAGGGTCTGGCTCTCTTTCTGGATCTCTGGTGGGTGAGCTCCACTGTGCCTGGAGATGGGTCCGGAGATCGCGGTATCGCGGGATGAAAGCCGCACCTCTATATGGGCATGGCTGGCACACCTATATCCAACTAATTGATTCCTATGAGAGTCCCGTTCTGCGTATGTTGGAGGTCCATATCGCACCGAGAAGCTCGCATCGTGATGGGAGGCTCGCACCACGCTCTTCCTGCCGTGTCCTGCCTCACACGTCGTAAAAACCCGGATAGTCCTTGACGTGGCAAATTCATCGCGGTACCCCAAAGCCCCTAATGGTGCTGCTGCCCCACCAGAGTAAACCTGAGGCGGTTCTTCTCGTCCAGGTATCTCATGGTACCCGAGGTGTACCCCGGAGACCCACCAGAATCAACACGCACCACCATCATTGGTACGTATAAACTGATCTCCAAATGGGCCCAGAGACTAGCCATCCCGCCCTAAACTTACACCGACCAGCGTCCTACCAAGGTTTTATGCATAATTTAGGCGGCCATGTGTGCAACACAATGGTTCTCCCCCTCTTCCACTCGTGCGGACCCAATTTTATTGGAGTCTGTGGACCATACCCCGAGGTCAATTCCTGGTCAGCAAGATGGACCACGAGACCTGTTGGCAATGCTAGCACCTGTGGACTACTGTAACATTTGCCGTATGTAGGAAGCCGTGCCGGCTCATTATAAGGCTAGAACTGCCGCCCAGTCAATAGCTGAATTTCCAGTGGGGCGAGCCATGATTGTCTCGGCCGAGAACCGAACACAGGCAGAAGCAGTGCGTGCACGGAGTACATCCAGAAATAAGGGCGATGCGACCGTGGCCAGGTTCACACAGCGCAATCCATGAGAGAAACCGTCTGCCGTCGAGCAATAGAGCATCAGGTGCCTATCATCTTCAATAGTCATAAAATTTCTAGACTGATATCTACCGGATCAGTGTTGGAAATTCGAATAGCATCAGAGTACAACCAAAACAGTCGAGTAGAAACGTGTCGCTGCCTCTCTCCCAGCAATGGATCGAGGACGCCGCGAACTCACTTACCAGAACATGAGTCCCGAATGATAAATTCCCCAGACTTTGACAGTGTCCGGTCGTCCCCTGTCTACTCAGCCAGTTCCCAGACATTGAGTGAGGATTTAACGAGTCAAGGCCAAGGTATCGTTGACCTCGCCATGAATGATGGACTGACTAGAGGATTGAACTACCCGCCCATCTGTGATCATGACTGTTATGGTGGCCTTTGTCCTCTCGCTGTGTATACGGAGAAATCGCTTGCAGAGATGAATTAAAATGTTCCGATATGTATCCATCGTTCGCGTCTGCTCGGGGATATTGAAGCGATGTCAATGCTGACAGTTGCGTCATGTATATATATATTTCTTGAGCAACCTGTGAATGAATCACTGTAGATGCAGGGCTTCCCACCGCTGATACATAAATCAGGAGTGGCTCAATGGTGATGTTTATAGAAGTGACTGCAATCAGTTGGCATGTCAGCTGACCTGCAGAGTCCTTACGCCACACTGTTTGGCCATTTATATGTCAACCATTCTTGCATACTCTCTGCCTCTTCTTCGTGTCCTTTCTATCAGTTTCCAGCTCTCATCCATCTCCATGGTTATTTGCATCCCAGGGCTTATACCACCCGGAAACATCCATTTGGCCTGTGATAAGGAGGCGAAGCCATCGGCACCGGGTTCCATAACATTGACACCACAAGCCTTGCTCACATAGGCTTCGAGTCTATGACGCAAGCCCCATTCTCGGATAATGCCCGTGTCAACTAAGTGATGTTACTTGGGCCGGTGTCCCATCTCGTTACCCTGGCCCTATGCGCGTGAAGTTCGTGCATTCAAGGTCGATCAATTGGGGCCATGTCCCCAGCAGACCATCCCTATTTTGGGCTGCCGGAAACTATCACCGGTATAAAGTCTACCTCAAGCCAATAACGTGCACGATTAGCGTTCTGGGTGGCCAGTATTTACTTGATTGAAAGTCGGTCGAGGGTGTTCGGGGACACCAGTCATGAGCGCGTGCTCAAATGATTCTCGAAGCTCCTCGAGTCCTACTCTGGTGCATTCTCGTGTGCCTTGTATGCTGCTGGTAATGTACCTCAATAACGCTCGAATGCACACATTCCACCACTTTGGTGATACTGTATCAGCCACCTGTCATATCACAGACTTCACTCCAGCAGCTCCCCCGCACCCCAAGCGGATCTATGGGCTAAAAACCTCGCCTAGACTAGGACTTTTGTCCGTGCGAGAGTACATTTACTCTATGCAGCAAGGATCATCACCGTACGGCTGGCAAGGTTTGGCAGACACGCGCTGATGGTTTTCCCGCTCAACTTGCAAACCAAATATCCCTGATTAATGAAGACTCATCACGCACATGGTTAGTTCTACCACAGCCATTATGTTATGCTTTGCTTTCACTGAAGCGGGCAGAGACTTCTGGGGGATCGTCAGGGGCCTCTAGCGCGCAACGTCGATCTCCATTGAGCCGAGGAATCCGTCATCGGTCATGTGCGCTTGACGCTCACTCCTCTCTGATCGGAATTGTCCGATGGATTTGAATCAACTGATGCTTTGATCGTAATACCTCTATCTGATTCAGAATAATCGCGGGGTTCGATGTTGGCCGGTAGGTGTTTTTGTTCCCAGGCGTTGGTGGCTAGTCGGTGGGCCAGGATTACTATTTGTAGACCTAGGTCATATTTGCTGGATTTGCTGCTGAATCCTTCTTCAACCATCAACCTATCATCGACAATGAACCATGCAGCCTACTCCACTATTCGTCTGTCTAATCGGCAGGACAATTCGATCGGTGCCCCTTTTGGACGGTTTTCTCTTCATTAGATCGCCCCTCAGGGCATAAATGCGCCATAAGCCCCCTCATGTTGATTCCCTGCGATTGATCGCTTCATCCCCTCACCGTGACTGCCACCTAAGCCCAACAAGACGTTATGGCACCTATCTGGACCAAAGCCGTTGCGCTGGCCAGCCTTGCGGCCTTTGCTGCAGCGGGCGATCTCCAATCCTGTCTAGACGCCGCCACACCCAAGGTTGCCTATGAGGGCGACCCTCTGTACCAGGCTACCGCGGTGAAGAGATACAATTTGGATATTAAAGTAACTCCCGCCGCCGTTACGTTTCCCCAGAATGCACAGGAAGTCGCCGAGGTGGTACGCTGCGCCTCGGAAAATGGAGTGGCCGTACAAGCCAAAAGTGGCGGCCATAGCTATGCTAATCATGGATTGGGAGGGGAGGACGGCGCGGTGGTCGTCGACCTGAAGAATCTACAGCGGTTCAGCATGGATACCCAGAGTTGGAAGGCCTCCTTTGGGTCTGGCTTGCTCCTGGGCGACGTCACGAAACAGTTATCCGAAAATGGCGGTCGAGCCATGTCGCATGGAACGTGCCCCCAAGTGGGCTCCGGCGGGCACTTCACCATCGGAGGCCTGGGACCAACCTCGCGGCAGTTCGGCGCCGCTCTGGATCACATTGTGGAGGTGGAGGTCGTGCTGGCCAATGCGACCATCGTGCGCGCCTCGGAAAACCAAAACCCGGACGTGTTTTTCGCCGTCAAGGGTGCCGCCTCAGGCTTCGCCATCGTCACCGAATTCGTCGTGCGCACCGAGCCGGAGCCCGGTCAGGCCGTGCAGTACGCCTACTCCTTCACTTTTGGCGACACTGAGTCCCGCGCAAAGCTCTTCAAGCAATGGCAGGCCTACGTGGCGCAGCCGGATCTCACCCGCAAACTGGCGTCAACGCTCACACTGCTCGAAGGCAGCATCTTCATCACCGGCACTTTCTTCGGGTCCAAGTCCGAGTACGAGGCTTTGAAAATTGAGGAGAACTTCCCGGGTGCCAACAATGCCAGTCTGATTGTCTTCGATAAATGGCTGGGTCTGGTCGCCCACTGGGCGGAGGAGGTCGGCCTCCAGATCGGTGGCGGCATCGCGGCCAACTTCTACTCCAAGTCGCGCTCCTTCACGGAGAAATCGCTCATGTCGCCCAAGGACATCGACCGCCTCTTTGAATTCGTCGACAACACCGACAAGGGCACGCCGCTGTGGTTTGCCATCTTTGATTTCCAGGGCGGTGCCATCAACGATGTGCCCCAGAATGCCACGGCATTTGCCCACCGTGACACTCTCATCTGGTTGCAGTCGTACGCCATCAACTTGTTGGGCGAAGTCAAGCAGGAGACTTTCGATTTCCTGGACCGCTTCAACGAAGTGACTGTCGCTGGTAACGCCGCTAGTGTTCCTTACGAGGCTTATCCGGGATACGTCGATGCCCGACTGGAACAGCCGCAGCAAGCCTACTGGGGATCGAACCTCGATCGTCTCAAAAAGATCAAGGCGGCCATCGACCCAGATAACGTGTTCCGCCACCCCCAGAGTGTGCACGGGGCGAAGTAGGTGGCTCTTACGGTGCGATGGGACTTGGAGAAATACTGTTGCCCTTGTGATGGTTCATTAAGAATTGGTTCACCATAATCTAATTTCAATAATGATTGACGTAATCACTTGCTCAAAGATGTCTCTCCTCTGTTCGTTTCCAACAGTCCAGTGGACTATCGCTGTCAAGGGTCTATATCCCACCCCCCGATGGTACCCAAGCAGTGAACTAGCACGTATAACAGAATGAACCCACCAGTGCCAAAGTTTCGGGCCGTGGACCTGGCATACCAGTGGCTTCGTTCCAAATGCTTGTCGTTCCGTTCCCGGCAAGCTGTGCCCCATAGTGGCGTTGTGAAATCAGCCATTGCCGTCGGTCCAATGCTTGACTTGACCACACAGGGTTTTCTCACTGCAACCTATGCAGATCCTTTTCACTTTGCATACATTTTTTTACAAATATGTTCCTCAATTGGTTGCTAGCAATTTCGATCAAGAATCTAACTGTTTCCATCGATCGTCCCACAGGCCGAGCGTGGTACTGTCCACATTCCCCTGCTTGCAGCTTATCCCTTCATACTGTCCTGGCCTCACCAGGGGACAACACCGTTCTTGGTAACTTGCCGTTCATGACACTGATGTTTTCGATCCTTCAATACAGACACAATATGTTTCCAGACCCTGTTGCGAATATATATAAAAGGGGTCTGCAAACCCGGGATTTGCTCGACATCTTCCAAGATATCGCATCATCGTCAATCCACATCATCAATCCAATTCTTTGAACCATTAGTCTCTTCCATTCCTCTCCGTCTAAACCAAAACCGTTCTAGGTATGCATCGAATTCCCGTCCAAGCGTAAACCACCAATCAAGTCCCTCGCTAACGGACCTAGCTCCAGCAAAAATGAAGTTCTCGTCTGCTGTCCTCGCCATGACTCTCAGCCTGGCTATGGCCGCGCCCACCCCGGAGGGCAATGCCAAGCTAGTCGCACGACAGGATCCGACTGAGGTCAATGCGGACCCTTACGTGGCAGACGAGGCCCCCCCGGTGGACTATTCCCCTGACAGCGCTGCTGAGGAGGCCATCGAGGCGGAGGCTGCTCAGGACTTTGCTCTTGAGGAGGCTACTGAGGCGGAGGCTGCTCAGGACATTGCCCTTGAGGAAGCTACTGAGGCGGAGGCTGCTCAGGACATCGCCATTCAGGAGGCCCTCGCTGGGGAAGCCGCCGTGGCAGAGGTCGCCGCTGAGGAGGCTTTCATTCAAGATGCCGCGATCGCAGAGACTATCGCTATGGAGGAAGCCGCAGCCTTCGAAGCGGCTGTCATCGAGGAGGCCATGTTTGAAGATGCTACTTTGGAGGTAGCCATCGCCGAGGATGCTGCCGTGAAGGAGGCCCTCCTCGCGGAGGCTGCTGCTGCTGCCCACTGCCGCCCTGGCTGCTTCCCCGTCCCCACCCAGCAGTGTGGCTCTACCTGTGCCAACTCCCAGGGCCAGTGCTGCGCCGCGCTCTACTAGAGAATATCCCGTCGCGGACGTGAAGTGCCATGCGAGTGGCGCTTTTTCTAGGGGTTGTTTCCTGTACTAGTTGGACTTTTCTGTACTGGTTGGAGATTCTGAGAAGTTCGGGGCTATGGAGTTGTGTACCTCGTGGGCTTTTCGCCCTTATTTAATGAGATTGATTTTGCGTTTGAATAGGTTTTACCTTATTCACCTAGATGGAGTATTGAGAACATCCGGATTCGGAGTCCTGGTAGGATTTCGCATGCCCCGTAGATGCTCATTTTTCATCGATCACCCGGAATATACTAAGCTACCGTTGATCCGCTTCCGGAGATCGTGTCTTATTGAGTAAATTCTGCGAACTTGTCCCAGATGTAGGGCAATCCGGCTGCGGACAAGACCATTTTGTCGCAGCATGCGATCGAATCCGGGGAACCAACCTTTCCGGTAGTAGTGCATTGGCCATGAAAACCGCTATATACGCTGCTCAGTCATAATTCATACAGAACTTGTTTAACGCTAGAAAGTCCATCAATACCCGCCCCGAGCTTCTCCCACCTATCATACAACCCCTACTGACTGCATCGTCACTGGTCTTTCTTCTCCTCCGTCTTGGACGCATCTTCATCCATCAGGTCACTCTTGCGCCGACGTCGCCCGCGGTCTTGCATCGAGTCCCGGATCTTCCTGTTCACCTCCCCCAGATCCTCTGGTGATCCGATGGTCAGCGGTTTGAGGAGGTCACCGAACCCCCGCGGGCGCGAGTCACCCTCGGTGCCCCGACTTTCGCTCCTATTGCGACTCGGCGGGGACGTGGACGGCATGCTCTTCAGGTTGGACTGGTAGGCATCGTCGTGGAATGATCCGTGCGTGATCAGCTTTTCCGATTCGAAATCTGGGAAGATCTCTGGGGCCAGGGTGTCAACGGTATGTACCACCTGGGCGGACAGCGCCTGGCGCTCCGCTCGTAGTCGTACCAAGGAAGTCGACGAAATGGGACTCAGTGCCACCAGAAGTGGGGGTAGTGACTTGAGCACATCGCCACCCTTTTCTCCAATTCGTAGCCCGGCAAACGAGACAGCAACCATGAGACCGGCAAAGAAGACAGCGAAGGCCCAGAGGGGGACCGCATCGGGGATGTAGACCCGAGCGTTCATCCACCAGGGCACTGTCGTAACAAGATACCGCTCGGCACGGCAGTATTGAAGCCAGACGGTCGCCACGGCGGTGTACCAGATATAGAGGGCCGGGGCCAAGCCCATGGCGACGAGGATCTTCCAGGTCCCCACCACATCTCTCCCCTGCAGCTTGACGACTGATCCCGCCAGTGCCGCTCGTTGTTTCTTCACCGAGATGACTTTCGCCGTGACAAACACGGGCCAAAATAATGCGACCGAGGGCAAGCTCCCGACGGCGAGGACCAGAAGTTCTCCGACACGGTAGATCAACGTCGCCAGAATCGCCCACCAATGTCGGTGGGCATCCCCCCATTCCACCTGGTGGTCACGAATCCCTAGAGCACGGAGCCGCCGGTTGTATGAGGCGATGGCTTTTTTCAGCTGGACGACTTGCGGTTCGTCCTGGAACTGGGTGTATCCTTTGAGTAGCCGCCGGTTCAACTCGACAACGATCGGCAGCGGCAACTTCATCCGCAGGGGCCGATAAAGTCGCCGGGTGGCCTGGATCACCATCAACGTCTCAGGGTCCGGGGCCTGTTGGGTCACCGTGCCCAGGGCCTTCTCGATAGTCTCGAGCAGGGAGCCCACGGCGTCACGCTTCGCTTTTCCGCCGGCCTGGAAGGCGGCAATTTGATCGGGATGTACCTGCACCGGGTTGCCAAACTCGACGACGGCCCGCGACCGGAACTTGTTGGGATGGAAATAATTCATTCCGCAGGGGATGATCGACAGGCCGCAGGTGGGATCCCGTGCCAGCGCTCCTAACGCCATGATGGACACACCGGCCTTCAGCGGTAACAGGTTCGGCCTATCATGGCTACCGCCTTCGGGGAAAATGCCAATGCAGCCGCCGGCCAGCAGCTCCTGATACACCGCATCAAACATGCGATTCTGGTCGATGTGCGGGGCTACCTTGAAATTCGTCCCTGTCCGCAGGGCATCCCGCAGTGGGTGGTCCTCGGGAAAGTCCTTGAATGGTTTCCGCAGTCGCAACTCGTCGGGTCCCAGGATCTCGGCAATGGGCCGCTGTTCCGGACTGCTGCGCCCAACGCGGGGCAGGATGATCGCCCCGCCTGGCATGAACTTCTCCGTGGTGAAGTCCGTACCGCGACCGCGTACCAGCGTCGGATCACCCTCGGGATCAGGCAGATAGATCTGGCCCTCCGCCGAGGTGACTTTGTCCATGGCGCGCACCACGGGCAGGGCGCCCATGCAACCGGCCATCGTGCCGATATACGGCTCATTCATAGACTTCTCGGCAATCAGGAAAGAGCTGCGACGAGAAGCCGATTCTTTCAGGATGCGCATCAGTAGGATCGAGTCGACAAATTGGTTGGCATGGGGGGCGGCCACGATAATGACGGGCCCGCGCCGGGGCACGCGCCATGCACCTCGGGAATAGACCTCACGAAAGAAAATGTCGAGACAGAAGGTGAAGATCCAGACACCCAGGTCATAGACCCAGGGAATCATATATCTTCGGGCCATTGGAGGTGGTGACCAGTGGGACTGACAACCGACGTTGTTGCCAGAAAAGGCGACCGTGGGGAGACTTGACAGGATTGAAACGGTCAGCAGAGAAAGAGGGGAATATCAACAGATCCCGATCCGGTCGGGCCGATGGGTATTGGAACGGTACGGGTTGCCCTCATGGCGCTGGGGTGTATGGGTATTCTTGGTATGGTATGTAATGCTCCACGCCATTGCATCGGCCTCGTGCTGGATTTGCGCGAGCAATGTCGCCCTTCATTGGATATTGTTCTTGCTGAATTATAGCGCAGTCATCTCGTATACTTTCCTGTTCTCATCAATCTCAGTATTCTAGTCAGCCTTGGAGTGTGGTGAAGGCGGTTGTCCTCGTAATCACATGGAGTGGATCTCTGGATAGAATGTGGAGATATATATCTCCAGGACGACCGAATACTAGGTCATGAAGTGGTCCGAGATCACTCAGATCCATCTCTTAGGATTCCCGTTGCAATAGAACAATCCTGCTAAGCCCTTATAGTCTAGTCAGTGTGTCAAAAGTGCCATGAATTGGTTATTGGACAGATGGGTAAACAATGGCTTTTAATCCTTAGAAAAAGGCATAACAAACACAACAAACATCCTTGATCATCTACCACGATGACTTGATTTGACTTGGCCCATTTGTGATATTGGCTCTCACGCCACTGTACCTCGATACATGGACCACAGAGTTCTCGATGGCTCCCTAGCTTGTAATTGATAATTCTACCCTTGACCATGGCTGGTGGGGACGGCGAAGAAACGGACTTGGCGTGGACATTCTTCCACCAGTCGGAGATCGCAACGAGCCAGCGCACTGGTATATAGAGACCGGCCTGCCGACTAGGGTTGCAATCGGAAATGGCTATCAGTCACCATGTCTCTCACCTCTTTCCATCAGGAACTGTCTGCATCGTTGCTTCAGGCTGGGTTGCTAGAGAAGTCCGCCCCTCTTATCCCCCCCCAGTTTACTCCGGCCACGCGCCTTGACGTGTCATTTGACTCCAAGGCTGTTCACCTGGGAAATGTCTTTCGGGCCAGGGAATGCAAGCTTCCCCCTGTAGTGTCATTTGGTCCTGAGGTGTGTACCTGAATCCAATCCGAAGCAATGCCAAATTCCAATTCAGCCAAACTTTAGGAGCATGCGCCATCCCGACATTATACCCTTCTCCTGGTCGACCCTGATGCTCCAACCCCCGAGGACCCCAAATTTGCCTACTGGAGACATTGGGTGGTGTCAGGCTTGCAGCCCTCGCCTGCTGACAATAAATCGTCCACCGTCCTGACTGAATATCTGGGGCCCGGTCCCAAGGATGAGTAAGTGTTGCTGGCTGACACCTCGGACTGCGAACTAACTCGGGCAGATCCAATCCCCATCGCTATCTCTTTTTACTTTTTCGAGAACCTACGGCATTTGCACCACGTAAAGAGGACGTAGGAGGGGAAGAGTTCGTGCAGCGGCGATCCTTTCCTGCCGCCAAGTGGGTGGAAGAACATGGCTTAGAGCTGGTGGCCGTCAATTGGATGCAAGGGGTCGGAGATGGCTGGTCTGGGTAAATGCAACGGCCAACATAATTCTATCCCCGGGAGGCCTAGGATGCAGGAGCAAGGTCTAGCACGATTTCGCGAATAGTTTTTGTCTACCGTGCCCGGAATCGTCATGAAAGTCGTGGATCTTATATTGGGAATGGGTCTTTTGGAGAGTGTGCTACTGTGATAAATCAAGATGCAAGCAGTCAGACATGGTGGTTTTCGCCACAATCGGTCGCATCTAGAGAGGGTTCTGTAGCATAGGGCATTGCCATTGGTTGACATACAGGTTGCTTGAGAGTGACCACACAAAATGGCCATTGCACTCTGATATACTATCAAATAATTCGCCAGGGAGTTGTTTCATTATTTCTCTGGAATACTACCCCATATACCGTGGAAACCAAGCCGAAAGTGGGTCAAGCAATTAAAGATATCGCCATACACATCTCCATCTTTCCTATCATGACCAGATCCTCATTGGAACGTAGAACTTTTGTTCTCTCCAAAATTTAGCCGACTGATTATGACAGACATACAGTGTATACATTGACGTGGACCAGCTGGCCGTGAGCCTGAACTTGCCGGACCAAATTCCAGTATTGCTGCAGCAAATCTCTTGCCATGGAAAGGACTACCTAACCTAGAGCCCCCGAGCCCGTTTAGAGTTTCTCGAGGTCAGCCGTGCCTTGGAATATGCGCTGGAGACTCCGTCTGGAACTCTCGATTGAAGTCGGGGCGCAAAATTTCTTCCAACCACAACCGATCAACGGTATGCCGAACACACCCACTAAGGCCACGCGTGCCTCACTCTAGGCAGCAATGGTGGAGTCTAATACCATCTCACTCGGCACCCGAGCCTACTATATGCACTCGGCTCTTAAGGACTGGCCGGACAATCTCTGCCACAAGGTCCTGGACAATGTGGTGTCGGCCATGGAACCGGGATACAGCAAGATCTTGTTGAAGGAGAATGTGATTCAGGAGACTGGCGCTTACCGGGAAACTACAAGTTTGGATTCGATTATGAGGCAGATCGGTCAGGTGGGCGCATAGAGAGCCAGTGGTATGGCCTGCTAGAGTCAGTTCGCTTTGAAGTTGTTAAACCCTGGACGGCGAAACCAGGCGCCGAGACTGTGTTTGCGTGAAAGTTGGCCGGACCTGTGAAAAACCCAAGATTGGCCAAGTCCTGTCTACTAGAAATTATCCTGATAGCCCCCTCTGTAATGAAATATCATGTTGTTATTAGTAGCTTTCATCTCATGACAGGAAGGGGTTGGTAGTTATCATGGCGACCATCCGTGCACGGACACTGTGACAGCTTGGGGGCCCGCATCGGCAGTCAAGCCTGTTCTATTCATGGACAGCCATCTGTCTCTCATGGTGTCTATCCTAGCGAGAATCACCCAGCAGCCATCAGTTCATTGTCGACTCAAATTATGCCAGCAACCTTTCACGGTTAATATGCCGTGGAAAAGTACCAACCTATCAATGGTAAGCGGCGCTGGCGATGTATTAGTGACGGGGAGAACCTAATGTTGAGAACGTTGCCCCCCTAATCCAACTTCATGGGCAGCTTACGTCGTGCTCACTATTTCCGTGCTGTTGTCTGTCGCTGACGGGAAAAGAGGAAAGTTCAGGTGACCAGTGTAGTGCCTAGCCCAGATCGCAGATAGATCTTTTTAGATATGCTAAGATAGCGATAATCATTACCAAATAGAACTTGCAAAAAGGCCCTCAAAAAATGTGCCTCGCTGTCATGATTACGCTTGGGCTATAGTTAGTTTGATCAGATGACAATTATGTACATCTCCCCCATTAGTGTTTATAGTGGTGGTACCATTACACATTATTATGGGAATTAGGGTCATATGGATTTATGGATTGGCCATCAACTGCTTCGCACATTCTTTGTGTACCAGGGTCATCACATTATAAACCCCACAAGATGGAATTGGTATATTGTGTACAGCAAATCATTTCCACTTTCTCCTGTTTTGAGGACTATAGGATTCCAGCGAGGTGGGACGCAGTTGTTACTGATTATTAGTAGTGCTTATAATGAGGAATTCTCCGTGGATCCTCATAACTTCTCCATTAGGATGGGTTTCTGGCCCCAAACATACTCCACAAGCCTACAGTCTATTCTATTCCGGGCATGTAAACGACTATTGAATAAAAGAGAATTGTAGCACCGGTATATCTGTACATGGTACTGGACAGTCGAATATACTCATTCCAGTTGAACGATCATCAGCAGAAAAAGGATGCTCTGTTCTCAATTTCCTCCCTGGTGCCAGAATAAGCTCGCACCCTGTCTTGGCATATATACCAGATTTAAAAATAATTAATTTGTCACTCACATTCATTAAGCAGCGGGTAGAAGTTTGGCGCCAAGTGACCAAGTGCCGCTAGGGCTGACGCCCACGTCCTTCCATAGCCCGATAAGCCCCAACGGCCCGCGCGTTTAAAGATCTACATACCCAAGCCTTGGTCTTTGTAAGTATAGGAGTGTAGGAGGCACTGGGAAATGGGATATATTATTTCCCATGACCTCCGCGAGAAATAGGATAAATCAAACCACGACCACAAACTTCTCAATATCCATAGCCCTTCCATTGGCAACTCTGCCATTCCTGATACAATGCACTTTTTTACTACGATCTCCTGCGCCTTCCTCCTCACCGCAGCTTATGCTCACCCTCAACTTGACAAGCGCGGTCTCAATGTTGTATGCGAAGTCGATGCCCACGATTATGAGAATCAAACTAGTGGGGCTTCTCCACTCATCAGCGACTGCGAGATCATGAAAAACAACATCAAGGGTGGAGGGGACTGGCAAGTCTACCCCGACGGCGGTCACCATCAGCTCATCCAGGCTGGAACATGCGCTTTCGGCGTGAAGGGCCAGGGCATCAACTCTTCCCGATTCAAGATTGGTAATGGTGATATCTACAACATGATCACTAATTCGATACGAGACTTTGGTAAGGATGGCAAAGTTGGTGCAACAGGGGTTATTGGATGTGGACTGCAGGGAGCTGATGGTGCTATTGATGTGATATGGAATATTCTCCACAATTAGAGCGACTAGATACGGAGTATTACACAAAAGGTTACATGACTCAACCCAATGGTTAGCTTGGATGTTGATACTTTTTGTTCCTAGCAGTGATTTTTTATTTGGTCTCTAAAGTATACCTGGCTCCGTGGAGGGGCCGCAATAATATTGTTTCTTTATTTATGCACACTATCATAGGGATATCTCCCTTGTAAAATCATGATATAAGAGCCATGTGTTTGAATAGTCCCTTGTTTTTATTTTAATAGTAGGGAGTGTAGTGTCTTTCAAACTTTGAAGCCTGTTGTCATAAGCCATCTAGGTCCTAAGCCCTTTACATGTCTTGTCAGTCTGATCAGTTCCACTGATATCTATCCAGCCATCTTGAAAATAAGCTTCTCAAATATTCAGGCATTGACCCTAATATGAATTCTGGACAATATGTTGGCATATTCGTCAGCATGAGAAGTATTACAATACCTCGTGATACTAAGTCACGCAGATTCCACCATCGTTCTTCCTACAAGACTAATGGGCACAAGGTGCTGGCCATGGTTATGTCAGTCGCTTGTTATAGCTCATCCCTTTCTGAGTGGTCTTTTTTGAATGGTATCACCTAATTGCCCTTCTTTTCCCTTCACGAGAGATACATGTGATGGAAGTACTTCAAGGTCCAATTGGTATTTAATATAGCGTGATGTATATATAAGAGGCTGAGAAAGGTAGTCAGTGAGAGACCCCAACAGTGCTTAGAGAGCCTGGAAATGACAATATATATGATTAAGTACTAAGTTGAGGATGATACCAGCAGTGGATGGAATCGTTTCCCCGACCAGAAATGACTTTCAATATCATCAAAGAGTCAGCCACCAGTATTAGCCCAACATGTCTGAAAGTCATACAAAGTAGTGTTCGTATCCGTTATATGTTTCTAGCACCGACTTAAAACCCATCACTGTTCCATTATGATGGGAATATCAAACATTGGTCTAACAACATTGATCCTCTCCCACGAAAGTCTTGTTCGTGGATGGATACCATACTGTAGACCCCTCGAAACAGATATGGAATTGACGTTGGTCAAACCGTGTTATAGTAGCCAGGGGTTGTGTGAAAATATGTACCCACGAGGTAGCAAACCTGTTGGAGATATCAGTCAGGTTAATCCCGATATTCACAGGTCAGCATTCCGACTTACTGGTTAAGAGATCATGAACCCTTCGTTTTTGAGAGATCATGAGTTTGGCTGTCGCCCTGGGGAAAGTATATTCTTGTCATAGATTCCACCTTAGAAAGAACTGTTGTAGAAACCTGTATCTGAAAAGATCAGTGTCAGTGCCAGACCTAGAAAACGAGTCATCTAACACAGGCTAAAGCATATAATACTAGAGCTAAAAATAGTGAATATTTCGATCCTCAAGTCTACTCAATAAGGGCTTGACGGGTGTGTGCTGGGGAAAGCTAAGAAAAATTACTATCTATGTTTACGACGCGTCGGCTTGACTTGATGACAGGAATTTTCGTAGTACTAGCAACACATCCCATGAGGTCTAATGTCTAATGTCTAGCATTCTAGCAATGTAGAATAACTTCCAATTGAAGTGCCAAGAAAAGGCTTTGCTTTTCTTATACATTTCCACAGCCCGGTATTGACCTGCTATAACAAGGACCGTCAGTATGCCGTTTTATTGCTCCCAGTATAATTTACCTGGCACTTGCTACATGTGGATTCTATGATGGATTTATGACGCACCACCGATATACAAGCTGATTCATCCGCTTTAGTGCTGTCTATCCATCACTGGCTTCCGGGTTGCTGATTTTGTTCGAAAATACACACCTTCACGACGCCATGGAGAAGTGCACTCAACAGACAGCAGCCTATGAAGCGTGGATTTCGTTTCGTGCCTATCGCAGAGAATACCCAATAAAGTAACCTTTGCACATCGTCCACTAACATCATGGGAAGTGGGGCTCACGAGAATGTGGGGCGAGCCAAGTGATTTAACATGGGCTCTTGCGGGTGATCATTGCGATTCAGCACGTCTTCGACTTGGGTCCTTGAACATGATTGTCTGATCTGTGACGGGATGGATGGGCTCAGGTCCGGAGGAATGTTAGATGTATTACAATCCATTGACATAGGGTGGCTTTCGACTGATTCAAGGTCCAACTGCATCCTTCTTCAATATAATGACGCCTTACGACGATAGAGAGAGGATACATGGCGACCGGTCTGCAGACAGCATACGCGGCTGTCTAATATTTTTAGCTTTATGTGAATGTTGACAAACATATAGACGTGGCCCGAAACGATGCATCCACCGGGATTATGAACATCTGGCACTAGACCAGGCCGCGAAACCGTCTATCGCACTCTGGCCATTGGATAATGATTTTCCGATATCTCGAATAGGCTCGACGGCACAGAGAATTGGAGGGAGTGGCTGCAGGTCCCCAGTCCAGTCAATGTACTCGCATCAAGATGGAAAGGATGTCTGTGTACTTCGTCATCCCCCTTAAAGATCTCTACATATGACGTCTCTGTATGCCGATTGATGCTCGGAACTACTTCCCCATCAAGCTTCCAAGTTGCAGAAACAACCCAGTGAAACCTTGATATGAAAGTGTTGGGGTAGGCAATCCCCATGTTATTCGTTATCGGTGCTTGGAAAGAACTAAAACCCCACAGATCCACACCTCGGTTCCAAATCGACGCAAGCGTCAAAACCCAAGTCTTCACGTGGGGTAGCCTGATATATGGCTCTTAAATGGCGGGGTACCGACCCTAAGGTGGCCTCTTGAATACTATATTCGAAGGAACATAATTTCGCACTATTATTTTATTTTCATATTCCACTACATCTCTGCTTTGCCCGACATTCCGAACTCCCTCCTCCAAGAATGGCCTCCGTCGCCCGCAATCCAAAGGATTCGATGAAATCTACCTGGCGGTCATGGGATCGAGCACAATGGACCCGTTGGCACTGGCTTATTGAGGTGTTGAACATCCATCATTTGGATCTGGATAAGGATTACCCTGTCTACCAAAAGACCGACAAGGTACCCGACGCACCGGAGCTGCAGTTTCATATTTGGGTCCTCGGCCATGCCTGTATCCCCCTCATCCTACACCAGCTCTACATATATTACTACGGACAAAACCTTGCGCCCTGGATTGCCTACATATTCTACAGCTTGGCGCTAGAAGCGATTGCTGTCCATGAAGTCCACGTCCTCCGCCATGTGGGACATCAGATTGGGTTTTTGGATGGCGATAAACATCCCAGAGATGGGGTGCCTGATGTTGGGGTTTGGACTACCGCACAGTCCCTGTTGTCAGTTATTATACTCCGTCCAATGTTCTCCGTTTTCCTAGCCTATGATGTCAACGAAGCCCCATCGTCAATTCCGTGGGTGTGGCTGTTCTTCGAAACGGGCGTATATGCGGCTGTCCTCGACTTTTGGTACTACGGCTTTCACCGTTCTATGCATGAATCGGAGTCACTGTGGAAATACCATCGCACACACCATCTTACCAAGCATCCCAACCCTCTTCTAACGGCATATGCCGATTCGGTCCAAGAATTCTTCGACATCGTTGGAATTCCTTTGATGGCATACGGCACAATGAAATTTATGGGATTCCCCATGGGCTTTTACGAGTGGTGGATATGCCAGCAATATGTTGTGTTTACGGAAGTGCTAGGTCATAGCGGTCTGCGTATGCAGGCAACAGCAGTGAACCCGTGGACCTGGCTGTTGAAGCTGTGTGGAATGGAGTTGATGCTCGAGGACCATGATCTTCACCATCGCAGAGGCTGGAAATCTAGCTATAACTATGGTAAACAGACCCGTATCTGGGATTGCCTTTTCGGAACGACTTTGCCTCGCGTGGAGACACGCCAAGACAACATCGACTATGTGAACACTGCGAAAATCCCATTAATCTGAGTGGAAATTTATGGGGTTGTGTACATAGTTTGTTTGCACTTTTCTTAGGACCAGCAACAATATCTCTCTTGTAGCATATATGCTGGGTATGTCAGATTCCAGCGTGTCTATACGGCATTTCTCGGCGCGTCGGCCCTTGTTGACTGGCATACAAAATGTTATAAGAGATTCAATAACAGGATAGTACCATGGAGGATTTGAATTATAATATTCTTTCTCTCCACAATCACTTTGGGTTCTTTTTTTTGCTTCTCTTTTTCTCTTTTTCTCTTTTCTCTTTTTTTCGTTCTTTATCCACTTATGCTTCTAATACACAAAACTGACTAGTGTCACGTTTTCCAATCTAAAATTGGGCAACAACGTGCTGGGGCCTCACCGGTAACAAAGGAAAAGGGGCAGATGATTAATGAGAGACGAGTGCACAGTGCCCAGTGACACAACCAAGGGAAAATACAAACAAAACAATGGCGACGCAAGAATGGTAAAACCAGAATAAAAAAGGGGGGATGGAAAGTGAACCTGAGAGAGAACAGGGAAGTGCAAATAAAAGGTAGGAAACTTTTTCAAACCAAGTGCAATGAACGATAACCAAAAGAAAAGGAGTAAAAACCGGAAGTGTCCGCGGAAAGCCTCCACGAAACACGTGGGTCCAGGATATGTGCGACCCCTTGTGAAACTCGGTTCACGGATACAACGATAGACGACTTCCCATGGCGCTGGGGCTGGGACTACCGAAGATGGTCGATGCGCTGGGGGTAAGAGGAGGCGCGGCCACCCTGGTCCGCAGCACGGATCGGATCTCCTTGGCACTCCGTTCCTTCCACTCGGGATATCCGGCAGTGCTTTGGGGAAACAGTACCATGTTTTCGTCGCGAGCGCCGAAACTACGAGCGCTTGGCGGAGGCGTGGCGGTGATAATCTCCAGCTCCTGGGAGATGCGTCGACAATAGGTGTCCAGGGGCAGGTCATTGACGTCGTCACCGAACGGGTTTTCGATTTCGCGACCAATGGCAGAAAGGCCTAGGATGATATATGCGGCCGCTGTAGGGCGAGATTAGAGCTTGTTGGGTACGCCATGGGGGAGGGGGCAATACCAATCGAGCCAGGGATTGTCACCCAGGAGAGGGTGTCGAAAAGCTGGAAGGGAAGCACCAAGACATAGATCCAAGTGATCTGGGCAATGGAGATGGCATAGGCCGCTGGCATGGGCGTGTCGAGCACTCGTTCCGCACCAGTGACGACTTCGTTGAGTGTGGTCAGGCAGTTGACTGCATCTGGTGAGCAAGGGGTCTCAAATCGATAGGTTGGGAGCAATCGAAATAAACAATGACGAAGCTGGACATACCGGCCTGCGTCTGGTGTACATTGTATTTGAGGGCATCAGTCTCAATCCACTGATTAATATAGGCAGACAGATGATTGAGGATCTCCAGGGGAAGGTGACCCAGGGGCTTCTTCGATCGCTTGACATGCTTCCGGGGATCGGATTCTGCGATAGACAATGACAAGGTTTCACCGGCAGATTTCCAGAAGGATTTCTTGGCCGGATCCAACCGTTGGCGGTCATGGGCATCTTTGGCGAAGGTGTCAAGATGGCCCACTAAACCTACCATATCATCGTATGCGACATCCGGTTCGAAGCGGAGTTTGTGTTTGAGGGCGACCGCAAAAGCCAGAATCAAGTTCATGGCCGATCTGATGGAGTCAGGGACAACGAAGCTAAATTGTTAACAGCAGACATACAGTTTATCCAAGACGTCTTCCTTGCCCTCTTCTCCTTCGCGCTCCGACGTGCACATCCAGATGGTGCGGGCCAGATTCCGAGAGGCTTGGTGAAGCATTGCCCAGTACCGACGTCCATCAGCCCATCTACTTTGTTAGCGAGCCAGTCCCTAGAGTGGCGGCATGAGGTGTACCTTTCATAGGCTCTGGTACTTTGGAATGACAATGCCAAACCAACAACCAGACCAGTTACGGTGAGCAAGATGTTGTCAATCCCGACTCCACCACGGTCAGCTACACTTCTATTGATGAGGGGTGGAGTGTCTCACGATCATATATGTATTTGGACACGACTGTTACCACCGTGGACCAAACCGCCACAAAGGTTAAGGGGATGATGAGCTTCGGCAGCACACTGCCGTGCATTCGAAGGAACACCGGCCATTTGGTGTGCTTGTCTAGGTCGCGAGGGCCATGCTGACACGGCCGTCAGCAGAGGAATGGTATGAGGATCAAGGCGCACACGTACAAAATACCGAACCAAGTCGGTGCTACCCTGTCGTTTCAGCGTGGGTTGGCCATCGTGAGAGTTGGCACGGCTGTCCAGTAGAGTTGGCCGAGGTGATGGACCGCGAGCAGGCGACAGGGGATCAGAGGTCGGGTGGGCTTCCAAGTCGTAATGGATTCTAGGGGCGGCTTCGGAACGTATGTGTGGCAGGGCGATCACTGGTGTTGATGGAGAGGGTGTTGTCATACAAGCAGCGGGTGCTGCAGGTGGACTAACAATGGGGAGCAAGGGCACCATTCAGGCGCTGGACAGAACGGCGCACTCTGGCGGGGGGGTGGGGGCGAGGATAGGCGAGCGAATATGAATGAGCGTGGGAGCCAAACGGCTTGCGAGATGCTGATCAAAGAGTGACTGTTGGACTGAGTCCAAGGACGATCAAGTATAGAGTTCTAGGTAGTAAATCAAGAAACGAATGACTGGTAGAGCTAAGGCTGGAGAACATTGGGCATGGAGAGGGGTGCTTGGAAATATATGACCGTTGGATGCACTACTCAAGAATGCTGGCATGAATCATGCCTCTCTTCAGCCCGGTTATTTTGTGGGTAGCAGTGGACCATGAACGGCACTGGAGGAAGCCTCCATGCAGGATGAGTGGTGGAGATGGAGATACAGGATATCCTCAACCAATAAGCCTGGCCACTTTTCACGCCGTCGCTGCAGGTCGTTTATTCCGGTGTCAGAGGATCTGCATTTAGCTGTCGGCTCCATCTTAGGAACATTCTGGAAATGCGCTCGTTGGTCCAACCCTCTCTGCTTTGTTTTGTTTACCAGTGTTGGCGCCTATGTGGGTTGATAAAAACGGATGTCCGTGGAGGACAAAAGACACAATCAGGGCCATAAAATTCATATCACTCAAATATCGGTGCCTCGGACATGGTCACCTCGGTGATACCAGAGGGCTCATCATTAGAATGGTGAGCATGAGCAGAGGAGTAAGTAGGCTGGACCAGGGCGATCGAACCCTTAATTTACCCCAAACGGGCTGGATTGGCTGGCGCGATCCTCGGTGGAGTCGAAAGGCCGATCTCTGTGGGATTCGCGACCGCCGTTGCAAGATGTGGAGCAGAAAGGCTACTGCCGGATGCAGATGCCCCTCACCCTCCCCGTTGTTGCCTATTCTACTTGAGCGACGACCATTGGCCTAGACCGCAGGGTACTCGAAGATAGGGGTTACAAGTAGAGGTCACTGGCGCGACAGAACGCGTGTGGGATGCGGACGCGCGCCTCAGGCAGCCACCTCAACAGCGTCGGATATAATACATTGAGATACTAACATATAGGAAGGTGTTTATAGCTGAGTCAATGGCTATTTTAGAACAAATTCCTCAAAAGGTCTCCTCTGGACTTGGTCAGATACAGGATTCGGAATCTGTTCCTCATACACCCCGTCCACCACGGCCTGCCCGACCAACTGGTACCGACTCGCTAGCTCGACCTTGCCACGCAACACCAGAGGCTCAAGGGCCCCCGAGGCCACTACCACCAAGTCTTCGTCCTGAACGCCAACACCGCTGATCCCAAACCCATCGGTGCCGTCGGAGGTAACCACTCGGAACACAGTCTTGCTGGAATTACAACGCAGTTCTTCCTCCAACATCGCCCAGCATTCGTCGACGGGCCCGCCACCACTCACAGCACCAGTCCGTTCCTGGACCATCTGTTGCAAGGTGTCCGCAATCTCATCCATCCCGAACTGGTAGCATATCCAGCGATGTGAGAGACATGCTCGCAGGAATCTCTCGGAGAGACCCGAAGGCATCCAGAAACTGTTCCCGAGCGCGTCGGGCGACTGGAAACATTCCCAGATCTGGGATGCGACCTCACGCTCGTCCGGGCTGAACTGGAAGAGAACCTTGCAGCGCCCCACGGGCCGGGCCCAGAGATGCAACGTAGCAAGATCGTCCGAAACCCGAGATCGATGGGGACCGATGGGCGTCGTCAGGGACTCATCGGGGCGGAGCAAACTATACTGAGATTGGCGTGGCATTCGGCACGCTTCACGAGTAAAATCAGGTACCCATGACGGGAGCGACTCGTCATGGATATTATTCGGTCGCACGGGGAAGAGGCGGAAGATCGCTGGGCCCATCTCCCGGTTGAATATCAACTCCGTCGTCTCCCGCAGCACCTGCTCTACGGGCTTCTTGTAATCAGCTGGATACGCCTGTTGAGCGGCTGGCGCCATCCCGTACAGAGCAAAGATCTTATCCCGTGGATCGCGGCAGGAATGGGACGCTGTTCGGGCCATAAGCTCCCCAAGAGGCTCACTTGGGATCTTACTGAAACGATTGCGTACCACGTAATTCCGCCCAGCGTGGTTGGTGAACATGCCGTACAGGGCGGAGTCGGGTTTGGGATTGAAGTCATTCGCCTGCTCGAACTGCGCCCGCGCTCGCTCATCATGCTCCTTGCGGGGCCGAGTCTTTCGTATGATAGCAACTTGGGCATCGTCCAGTTGGTTGCTTGCCTTATCAGTGATGACTGTGCTTTTGAAGACAAGGTTCCCACACATGCAGATCGGGTCGTGTCGCGGTAGGTGGTACTCCTGGTACGTCCACATGCGGGTCCAATATGGAAGATGAATTAGGTCTTTCTTCCCAAGACAGGCATCTAGCGTGGCTGAATTCTTGTTGTATTCCGTGTTGCGACTACACCAGGCTTTGATGTCGAGTTTCCACCAGAAAAGTGTTCTGCTGTTGACCTTTCTCTG